AGCTTTCAAAGAATGACATTGGCAGACTCAAGTGTCCCAATAGTTAGATTGTGATTTAAAAAAAATATATATATTTTGATTAGTATGCTGTCAATAGTGACGTATATAATCAACACAGTGCAATAATCCACTGCGCATAACAGCGAGCAATAGCTTCATGTGTGTTTATAAGGCTTAATTGTCTTAAATGTCAGATCAACTAATTTGCAGGAACAAAAGTAGGTTGCTATTTTTAATAACTAATATATATATATATACAGTTTAAACTGGTATTTTGGCCATCAATGTTATTTGTAAACGTACAGTGTGCCATAAAGTTCACAATGTTTACAGTCCGTCTGCCAGTGCAGCTGAATGAAGATCAGATGAAGCAGTTCAGTGTCTGATATTTACTTAAATTAGCTGGTTAAAAATAAAATTCATTACAGATATTCAATATACTTTTTTTCATTACATCCAATCTCATCTGTGATGACCATTAACCTCAATTTGTTTTAAAGTAGGTGCATTGGTTATGTTTTTTTCTTTTTTTTTCTTGTTGTAATTATAAAAATGAATAAAGATATCAAAGACCATTTACTTTATGAACTTTGGTGGTGATGACTTGTTGGTGAAAAGCAATGCTCACTAGATGGCAGTGTGCTAATTCACAAATGCTGGTGCTCTGTCCTCGCAGAAAAACAAAATGGTCACACACACTTAATCCAGACCTCCATCAATGCTGTTTGAAATACGGATTTTCCAGAAAAGAAACTTTGAAATGAAAATAGTATACAGGTAAATACTATTTTGAGTTTTATTTTATTTTTTTATGAAGTTTTACCTATCTCGTTTAAATGTAACCACATTTTTATTTATATTTTATCCTTTCATTCTAAAACTTTATCAGATTTAGATTTTCAAAGTGCTCTGATAGTTTTAACCCCGCTATAATTCTTATTAAAACATTGGTTTTCGTATGTCTGATTTCCTCCAAAGCACAAAAGCGTTTTAACTTCTGATTCTGCATGCGACATAATGTGCCTTAAATTAACACTGCCATTATTGTGTCGTCTTAAGTCCCGTTAGTACAATTAGGGGGTTGTAAAACTGAGTTGAGGTGAGATGGCCGCTGCCGAGGGAGAGGAACCAAGGATTGCACCAGTCACCAATGCCAGCATGAGTTTTCTAGGTTTTCATAATCTGATACTACGGTCTGTGCAGCAACATGATCAGATATTACAGTCATGGCTGCAGCATGATGCATTGTGAAGACCTGTCTTCTAAGTACGAGGTTTTTAAAAGTTAAATTAGTTGATTAGATATGGAACAGCATAAGTAGACCAATCCTTGCAATGTAGCAATATTATATTGTGACTAGTACTGGTCTGCCTGCAAGCAAAACGCTGTTTTAAAATGCATTATATAATCAAACATAGATTAGCAATAAAACCTATCTGCATTGTTATCCTATACCACTATAAAAGTCAATGCCAGTAAAGGTTTGAGTGCTGTATCATGCAAGGTCAGGAGGGTGAATGTGGTCAAAGCAGTGCGAGACATGCAAACAGTGCATCTGTCCTTGCATGTCACAGTATCAGGGTACACTGTCGACCTGCAACTATCTTAGGCTGCTAGCGTGAGGAGCACCCTGAATCTAGCCCAGAACAATCCCAAAATAAGTTCAGATACTGGCCACGGATAGATACTATGAACCCTAGGGTTTGTATAGACACTAGCATGCTAACTGAGCTGTGAGGGAGAGGATGCAAACACAATACCTCATTATGTGCACGCAATGTAGGGGAATTACAATGAAGACCAGGAGTCAAAGTTGAAGTTCATTCAATCAGTTGAAGGAGAGTTTACTGAAGACCGAGTTCGCCACACTTCCAAAGGCTGTATAGAGCACACTGGTGCTTATAGTTGTATGGATAATCAGTTGACGTTATTTCTACAAGTTCTTATAAGTTAACAGTACAGATCATTCTAGCAGCATCCGAAAATGGTATTCTGTTCTTTACGCAAATGAGACAAGTTGACATGCTTTGTCCTAAGGATCACAGTTAAATCATGAATTCAGGAAAGACTCACCTCATCTGGGACTTTTTCCTGGAGACTATTCCATTAGCATGGTCACATGCATCTCATAAGAATAAAAAACAACCCCTGCAAGCATATTTTGATAAAACATAGGTGATATAATTTCCCTTTTGGCTGAGTTTTTGTCAGGACTTCAATGGAACAGAACATGAAAACTGAGACCACTGATCCACATAGAGCACTGATAGAAACTACTACACGATTCACTGCCATAGTTTAACATATAGTGATCAATGGTGCTATACATCCTATAAATAATTACACATGCTAAGAATCCATATATGCCAGTGGATACATTTTTGACCTTCATGATCTTAGGCACAGTTGTCTTTACATGTCTTATACAGCTATCATAAGAATAAAGTTCAAACCGACAATTCTCTTTTTACAAAATATGACTCTTGGTTAATTTTGGTTGTACGAGTTAAGTACAAAACAAGTACATATTTTTTCTCTGACTGGAAGCCAGGCTAAATGAGTAAAAACTGTTACTGCATTCCTGACATGGGGTCAGACCCTCAGTCACCTCTCAGATACCAAATACAGACATTACCTGTAACAGAAATACTACAATAGATACACTGGTTTTAAGACAACTATGATTTCCCAATTAATAAAACGATACAAGAAGAGGGATTGTAGGCTAAATCCACCCCCTTCAGCAAAAATATTTGGGAATCCATAAAACAGTTTAAAAGTCCCTACTTCATATCTGAAATCAATGTTAAGTATTTTTCTTAGGCCACCTTTTAGCCAAGCATTAGAATGTCAGATTTATAGGCTTCAAAAATCTGTTTTTCAAACTTGTACACAAGCTCTAATTAAGATTTCTTGAAATAAATGTAAAGCATCCACAATAAATATATTTAATTGCGCATTTTGGCTGTGGACATAAATGATACCTCAAATCATGAGGCGTATTGAGGACAGGTGTGCTATTACTTTTCTAACAGATTGAGAGTGAGAGAGTCCTGGAGTGACCCAAACCATATCAGAATATCATCATCATCATCATACAGCTGCATTGGACATTTTTAACACAACTTGGCATCATGATTGTGACAAGTCAAGAAGCTTACATTTTCTTCAGAAAGTGTAAAAATCTAGTTTTAAGTAAGTGATATGAAATGATCATGGGTGAAATGGGCGTTAACACAATCTGGAATGATTTAATATGTCGGGGCTACTTTAACCACACAGAACTGGCAGTAAATACAGAGACACCGGCCCTGAACGAGTCATGATCTACAAGCTCGGCTATCATATGACTTAATTACTCTGCAGTTTGATCCTGGGGTGCCCCATGATATGAAAAATCCCAGCTGCCTCTGAATCAAATAGCAAAATAATACACAAATTTGGGTTACTTGTTTTGCATTCTGCGTACATTATAATGCATTGTTTGAGTAGAATTTCTTCCATAACTGGAATACAATTCAGGTCGAATTAAAGATATAGACTGGTTTATCGTCTAACTCGGGCATTGCAGGGAACAACAAAAGCTATAGCTGGATATGCACCATCATGACTAGCAATGTGACATTTGACAGTCAGATATACGGTATATAGACAGAACAAAAACTCTCAGTCTGACTCTTGTTGGAAACATTAGGGTGTGTGTACCTCTTTAAAGGACATATTTTCACTCTATAAAGGGGTATGCTATCAGCTCATCTGTGATTGGTCAACACACTGAAGAAACCGGGGGAAATTGGCTGGTTAGAAAGAATGGGGTGTGGTCTCTGCTTGCAGCCGGGGTTTATGCAAGTGATCCTGAAATCATGCGAGTTTCTTGGAACATCTTCAAGACTTCACACTGAAGAGCATTTTGAACATGATACTGAGACACATAATGCCGAGATAAAGTGTAAAATAGTTGCACCCATCAGGCACATAGAGTAGAAATGTTGTTTTAGCTTAAGAGCAGCATATCGTGATTTGATATTGACGAAATATGGCAAGTGACGTCACCTAAAGGAGAGAAGGTACACACCTTACATATGAACAGGAAGTGATGCATACCTATTATGTCATGTCTTGTATCTTTCGTATAATCCATATAATCGACTGTGCTGGCCATGTTAAAGGGATAGTTCACCCAAAAATGAAAACTCTGTCATCATTGACACCCTCAAATTGTTCCAAACCTGTATGAGTTTTTCTGCTGAACACAAAAGAAGATATTTTAAAGAATGTTGGTAACAACCAGACAGTTGACAGTAACCATTCACTTCCAAAGTATTTTTTCCTACTATGGAAGTCAATGGCTTCCGTCAACTGTTTGATTACCAACATTCTTCAAAAATTCTTCCTTTGTGTTCAACAGAAGACATAAGCTCATACAGGTTTGGAACAACATGAGGTTGAGTAAATGATGACAGAATTTTTGTTTTTGGGTGAACTATCCCTTTAAGATTTTAATGTTTATTTTTGTAACTCTTGTGGTATTCTTTTAACAGTACAGATCATTCTAGCAGCATCCGAAAATGGTATTCTGTTCTTTACGCAAATGAGACAAGTTGACATGCTTTGTCCTAAGGATCACAGTTAAATCATGAATTCAGGAAGGGCGGGGCGGCAGTGGCTCAGTGGTTCATGTGGGTTGTCTACAAACCGGAAGGTTGGTGGTTCAATCCTCGGTTCCACCTGACCAAGTGTCGAGGTGTCCATGAGCAAGACACCTAACCCCGGCTGCTCCCGACGAGCTGGATGGCGCCTTGCATGGCTGCCGTCGCCCGTCGGTGTATGAATGAGTGTGTGAATGGGTGAATGTGAGGCAAATGTAAATCGCTTTGGTGGCCATTGGGTCTGTGAAAGCGCTATATAAATGCAGTCCATTTACCATTTTAAAGGATTGAACTATGGATGACTGTAGTGTTGTGTGTTTCTGACAGCATATAAAAACATGAAAAACAGGATTAAGAAAATATTTTGTTTTATTATAAGTCTGGAAAAAGTGCACTGAATAATAATTTAGAGCTGATTTTTTCCCCCTTTGGTCAACCATATGAACATAATGATCATAAATATGAAAAAGCATCCTTCCTCAACACTTTTTACTGCAATCATCTTCTTCCTCTTTCATTCCACTGATATAAATTATACACACACGCTCGTCTCAATAAATTATAACTCTTATGGTTTAAATAAATAGGCTTTCCAAACACAAGACCAAAATCTGTGCTGGCATTAACTGTCCAAAAATCCAACAAACTGGATTAAAAAGAGGAGCAGTTCTTCTCCAGAACTGAAACATTGTAACAATGTATGTGGTTGTAATGTAACTCCTTGTGTCTATTGTGTTTTCAGGTTGCTCTTCTGAGTGAAGTCTGCTGTCGATGGACGCCGGTGCTGTAAAGTTTGTTTGCTCGTTTCTCAAAAGCGTTGACCATCTGTTTGACCACCTCGTCGAAAAATACTGTCGCTAATTGTGAGTGGAGCAGAGATTTGAACTCAAATGACACCTAGAGAGGGGAACAAAGGTTTTTGGGTAAAATTAGCACAATTTGCAAATATTAATTTATGTATTTGTATGATTTGAAATAGCATGCTTTTTTATTTACTTTATTCAACAAGGGCTTTGTACCAGTGTCAATGAGATATTTTGAATTAGTTATTATCTTTATGTAACTGTCGTAGGCCAGTAAAAGCTGTGCGTGTAAACCTTACTCCCCTGGCCTCAAGATTAAGGTTAAGATTTAGTATTTTGTTGTCTTTGTTTTAATTTTTTTTGTCTAAAAAAGTTTTTATTCATTTTTATTTCAGTTTTAGTAACAAATGTTTTTTTTAATAATCCTGCTTTGTACTGATGCTAACATTCATTCAGTTTTGATTCTTCTTCAATGGGTCCTCCTCTAATCTCCCAAATCCCTGTCGCTTTCCTGTGATGTCCATCGCACCACGTCTAATCCGGTGACATTTAGGTCATATAATTCCCTCCAGCACTTGAATGGTTATCATGCCTGTCTTTGTTACTGGCTATTTAAGGAGAACCGGAAAGGCAACCCACATGTGGTAAAAAAAAAGCCACTGATCCGGTCTAATACTTCTGATCACTTTCTGTTCACAACAGGAATTATTGGATTAAACCACCAAAGAGGAGGAACTGGAGTAAAGGAAGTGTCAAACTGATGAATGTAGATTGTAAAAGTGTCTGTTTTTGCTAGTTGCACTACTTACAAAGAACTCCACATTGCATGATTTGGCTTGGCCTGCAGCTCCAGGAGTGAATCGCCACAATGTCTCAAGGTGATTGAAGAGTGTCCCGTCTGTACACAGCGCCTGAAACACATGCACACACTTCAGACAGACGGCCCCAGACAGCTTACTTGGCCAATATGTAAGCTGATCCTATGATACATGGACATGTTGAAGGCTTAAGTCAGATTTACCCTTGTTAAATGAGTATCACTTAATCTAAAGAAATCTAGTTCCAAATCACTACCTATTTTTGTTAAAACAAGAATAATGTCTTCCATTCACAATTGAAACGACTTTCTAATTTCTAAATAGACTCACTCGGACTTGGTGGTTCGGGATGACTGTGACCTCAGAGGTGTAGCGTTCGACGATCGGGGGGAACCCGATTTCAAGTTGAGCTTGCATGTCCCCGTTCCGCCCTCTTGTGACCTTTGACTTCTTGCACCAAGGCACAAACTGCTGGTACTGGTCCACACTGGAAACAACGTTGTACATCTGCTCGGGTGAGTAACTGGAGGGAAAATGAACTTGCGTTACCAAAGATATTATTCAATGAAAATGAATTTAGATTAAAAGTGAAGATTTTATGGTTTTATATCTAGTGGTGTGTACGTACCCAATGCTTCGGCTCTCTAAGTACTCCATTCTCCGTGTTATGAGGGGGGCTGATAAGTTAATGAAGCTCCGGGTGGGCACCACTTGAGAAGAAGCTGAAGGAGGAGGTAAACTCACCCGTCCTGCTGCTAAGATGCCACATGAGCTCAAATGTCTACAGAAGAAACAAACAGTTATTCACTTAACAAAATTAGAATACATTGTCATATGTGTCTAAAGGTTTGTACCATGCAACTTGCATGTTGACAGGTTTGTTCTCTACAAATACGTTGTGACGCAGTGTTTTAAGAAATGTCTGTGTTGACCCAGTAAAATGACGTACATTCTAGTAGTAAAGAGTAGACGATCAATGGTAACCTGTTTCTCGGTTGCATTGCATGGCACGCGGCCAGCAGCGCGCGCACTGGCACTGCATTATTCAAAAGATGAACGCGCTTCGCTTTTAGTAAAAAATAAATCCTTCAGATCTTTCAAAAAGCAAAATTTATATACTGGATGAAAGCTATGATATATTTACGATACAGCACCAGAATATTTGACAGGAAATACTATCGTTTTTTCTTCTGGTAACGTTACTCTTGGTACTTTTCCCTCACAGCACTTTCAGTTTCACCGTCTCGTGACTTCTCACTCCCCCGTGAGTTATTTTACAACAGTTTAGCTGCTCTTCTGCTTTGTTCAACATTCCCACACAATTGAGAACAATTTACAACATAGTCGCCCAATTCAACTGGTTTTCACCACGGCAACCATTTTAAATAAGCACAAGATTTTAAACTATGTTGTACAAACCAAAATGAATCTGGGCTATTTTCTGTTACATTACGCGTTCTTCAGATATATATATATATATATATATATAAGTTATATAAAAAGTTTTTACATTGCAGTTAGTATTGTAGGTCTACAAGTTAAGTAGCCTAATGCGCTTTTACCTGAGGGAGCAGCTGGAGTTTCTCCTCATGACATCGCACGATTGTCTTTCCGACATCTCCAGAGCCCGGAGTAAAAGCGAACTGGCCTTTTTTGCCATTTGTGCTATTCGAAGCTTGTGAAATCACTGAAACTACAAAAAGTGCTCTGCGCAATGCTGTGTCGATGGCCGTAATAACAGGCGGCTCCGCTGTAACTGAGCGAAAGTGGAGAGGTTTACTATTAAGGGCAGAGCTGTAGAGTGACCTTTACAGTCTATGAGAGTGACGCATGAGAGGGGAGGAGTGGAGACTCCCGCAGGTGCTTAGTCGATTATATGAAGTCATTCACCTTCAGGGGTTTCACTCTGGCGAGTCGACTGTCTGGAACTAGCTTTAGGACAGTACGTGGTTCTCAGCCTTTTTGACTCCAAAGCCCTCAGTTGTTCACAATAACATTTGCCCTCGTGACATTTCGGTTGTTTATGATTTACTAGATTAAAGATAAAGATGTTTAAAAATGTTGCTTTACAGTTTCTACACAATATTTTAGAGCTTAGCATAACTAGAAAAAATTATGGGCCTATTAATAAAATGTATAAAAATGCCCATGAGTTATGAGATCTTGAAATTACACAATTAAAAATCAAACTCATATACAGTAGTAGACTAGTAGGCAACTAGGCTACTAGTAGTAGGCCTACAGGTTTGCCAAGACTATGTTGGAAACCAGATGTTGAGAGAGTGAACAAACAAAATTTTTCGATTTAGCCTACACCATATTAAAAGGAAACCCTTACAAAAAAAAAGTTTATTCAAGTGTGCTATTAGTATAGTTCTTTTAAACTATATATAATAACTACTTTTAAAAATAAGAAAGAATACTTTCCGTCTACTTTTTATGTACTTCTCAGAAATATACTTCAAATTGCATTTAAGTATACTGACAGAAAAGTCTACGATTGCTCACTCAAATGTAAAATAACGTGATCATCAAACATTAAACAGCGTGTAAATCAAAACTGCTTAATGTTTCCAAATGAAATGAAGCGTAACATGTGAAGCTTTGGGGGTGTTGGACTCGATCTACTCCATCTGTGTTTTGATCATCGTTCTGAATCTGATCAATGGCAAGTCTTTGACAAAAATTAGATTTTCTCAACTTTTTTGTTTAAAAATTTTGCCTTTTTTTATGAAACTTACCAACATTCAAGTGTTGATAAAAAAGGATGCATGAAGCTAATAAAATGTTTTTAAAATTAAAGTACAGTTAAAGGTATTTTTCCAAGTATAAAAAATAACATTTGAACATAGTAGTATAGGCATCCTGCAAGTGCAAAAATAATATATAAATAGTAAACTATAAGTATAATGTTAAGTTCACTTAAAGAAAACGTGTATTATAAAACTACTAAACTAGTAGTTTACTGAGAGTACACTAAAAGAGCAAAAAGATTATAATTAGTAAACTACAAGTATGATGTTAAGTTCACTTAAAGAAAACTTGTAGTATAAAACTACTAAACTAGTTTACTGAGACTTCAAAGTTTCAAAAAATACAAATTTGCTACAAGTATTAAAATAGTAAACTACTAGTATACCCATAAGTTCACTTGCAGATGAGAAACGTAATTATGAACTAGTTGTGCACTTAAAGTTTATTTATTTATTTATTTATTTATTTGACAGGGACAGTGTACATTATTGCTGCAAATGCACCAGAATTAGCCAAAAGGCTATTTTTCATCCATTGTCCCTGGACAGATCTTAACATTGTCTACCTAAAAAAAACACAATATGAAGATTACAGTGACCAATACAAAAAAACCCCAGTAAAACAGACTACTGTTTACTACTGTTACACTTATAGTACACTTAAACATATACTTTTATATACTAAATTTAGTCCCAAGCGGTATTAAAATAGTACACTTACAAGTTTACTACTAGTACATATTGACATTAGTCTACTTGCTGCATAATTATACTTAAAAATATTCTTGAACATTACTTAAGTATACTTCATAAAATGAACTTGAAGTATACTTCTTTTTCGTAAGGGAAGGCAATCATAGTTTCCATTTCTTGCTGATTTTAAATAACTGTAAGTCGTCTTGAGGCCCCCTTGGAAGTTTGCTGTTTGAGAATCACTGCTTTATGGTGAGCAGAGAACCAATGGCATCCTACAACAACAGTCTCCTTTCTACAGAATTGTTTTTGTTGTGTTCTATAACTAAATACTTGAAAAAATGTGACTTGCCCTAAACATTAAATTCAATGATTATCTTTTTTTGTATGTGATATTTGCCATCAAATATGTTTTACAGAGAACATGGGCCATAACCTGTCTAGAACAGAGGCAACAGGATCTAAACGACTGGAGGGGAGGAATCAGCCTGACCCATCATGTCATTAACCCATGAAGAGGAACAGAAATAATCCTGATAAGGCAGATTCAGTTAGTCGCCGCCTTTGGAATTAAGGTAACGTCACAGAAAGGCTTAAATGTTAACTTTTCAGTCGGTACAGGATTGCAAAGTGCAACTTATTTGTGTTGTGTAATAACTAGAACGTCAGGCATGACGTTGCAAGCATGGTCTTGATGTAGAGAATTTGGTCTCTCAGAGTCAGGTCAGAGTCCACAATTTCAGATGAGTTGGCGCTGCGGTACACATGGCAAAGACAGTCAATGATATTTGTACTTAATCAGCCTAGTGCCGAGAGGAGCAGTGTGTGTGTGTGTGCATGTGATATAAAGAGTTAACACTGAATGCTCTACACACTTGGTCATTATAACTATTGAAACTGAAATATATTATGACCTTAAACAAAAGGGTCACCCCTTTGATTTATTTCAAACCCATGAACTATTCCCATATGCATCTCAATGGCTGATCCTTTAAGCATTAAGTGGCTTAAGTTGGTTATGTGACTGTCCCACCAAAACGGATCTCTCGTGTTAGATCTAATCCCATTCTACAGTCCCTGATCAGAGTCCCTAAGGAAGATTGGATATAGTTAGGAAGGATACTGTGGCACGCAAATTTGTACATCAGTGTGTGCATGTTATTGCACCGTATCAATGAACAATCTCATCTTCCTTCCTTCCTTCTAGGGCAAAGGAAAGGTAGTTTGCAAAGTATCACATAATGTTTTCATAACTGACTTAGCTTAGGTTAAGGAGCTATTTCAAATGCTATATATATATATATATATATATATATATTCTACAGATTAAAAAAATGAGAATATAGGTGTAAGTCTTCTGTGAGCCTGTGATATGTTGGGCATCAGTGACGTCTGCATGTGACGATCAAGATCAGTGTCCTTGAATGATACTGAATGAGAGAAAAATATTGACCTTGCACAGACTCGCTGTTCTCTGATTCTAGTAAATGATGTGGAACACTAACGGTTTTAGGTGAGAGGAAAAGACAGTGCTGAACTCTGTACAGAATTTCAACTCAAGGGCTGAGGCTTAGAGAAGAACACAGACTAGTAGACAAAATACCCAAAGCTTTTATTTCCACTGGCTCTGTTGTACAAATCACAGTTATTCAGAGTAGTGATTCAAGCATAAAGTGCCAGCAGAAACACTTCAGTTTCAGTTGAATGCTTAATATATCAAAACTTTTAAATTGTAAATTTACTGTATTTCATAGTTGAGGGCTTTATAAAAAGAATCGATGTATTAGCATCATATCTTTGGATCTGTGTCGGGTGCAGAGAAGATGAGTTTGCTCATTGCCCGGATGTACTGAGAGCCATCCATGGAGGTGAGTTTCAGGCTGCTCATGGGTAGTAGGGCTCTGTTAGTGTAATATCTGAGGAATGGAGTCGGTGCTTCAATTGCCTCCAGATATACCTAAATGTAGAATTAAGAGCAGGATGGAATATGTTAAAATAGTCATGGCTATATATTTGTATAGAATATCTCATAAAACAATGGGTAAATAGCTAATATATAGGATAAAATGGGGGAAGATGCTCGCATTTCCTTTTAAATTGTGACATATTTAGATATAGCCTGTACATATTGATGATGCATCAGCCAGTGTGTCGTTAAGGAAAATAAATGGAAACTATTTAGTTGTTAAAGCACAAAATGCTAAATTAATCAAAAAGGCCACTACTGGGGTAATACACACATACACAGATCACTATTTTCCAGACACAATATTAGATCAATAACCTCAAACCTGTTTCGACAGACTAAATCTCAATTATGTTGATATTCAGATAAAATAATAATTATGTTTGTTAAATACACTAAGCGCTATATAAATGTAACCAATTATTATTATTATTGTTGTTGTAAAAAGGGCCTCATAGGATTTCAGTATATTTACTTTATTATATTACTTTAAGATTAATATTATTATTGAATTTGTCTTCGTATTGTTGGGCCAATTGCTTGTACGTTACTTATAGACCTTTTTTTCTTAGTGTAAGCTTTGAAATAATATTCAGGTAAGATTATAAAACAATTTAAACTCAAATCTATATTTATTTTGCTCTGTCAGTTTGTTTTGACTGTCTAAATCAGACACAGTCCTTCACCCTCACTCAGAGGTTGACGGCTTTCTGCCAGTGCTGAATGTAGCACCTGTATGATGTCATCAGTATCCTGAGCCTCATTCTGGAACACAGACTGGCAGTGCTGCAGGTACTGATCATACAGGCTGCGTGTGTGTGCGTCAACCTCCAGCGCCTCATCGCTGGCCTCAGTCCTCTTCAGGTTCATCAGGAAGTCTGTGTTGACTGGTCCACATTCAATCAGGCTCACACTGCAGCATGGGAGATGGAATGTTTAGATGGACTTAGCTAATTGTATGGGTGCCTAAGCAATTTATCTGAAGAATATTTATAGGCAAAAAGGTTCTGTTTGGTTATACAAGCACATTGTATAGTTATTTACTCACTGAATATTGAAGTGCTGGAGTAGAATAGCCAGGCTCTCACAAGCGCCCTCTACTGCAAATTTGCTAGCGCAGTAGACCTCATTGAATGGTAAACCTGAGTTTCAGACAGAGAACATAAACGGTAATTTATTTGTTTTACCCCATTGGCAAGTTCTAGGGTTTCATTTCTTGTTGCAAGCAAAAACATCTGACGGGATCTAAGCTTAAAACAAGAAAAAAGCATTTTGCCGATGATGTAAGAAAAATAAACACTCCAAGAGAGATTCTCTGAAAATTATCTCTGAAAAAGTTTCGCTTGTTAGGAGGATGTTGCCTCCTTTGGCATGCTCAGTTGGGGTTTAAAATACAAATTTTCAGTTATATTATCAACTGCACTTACACTGTCAGATGTGAACAAAATTTGAACTGAATTGACCTGGATAATGACACTAACTTTGTAACCTTGATGCTGTTATTGAACTGAATTGAGCTGGATAATGACTCATCTCATGTAGAGCTGCATGCTTTATATCTGAATTGAACTTGTTTCATAATTTATGAATTCTCCAACATTATCAACACTGTGTCAAAGCAGCCTCACAGTAATAAACTGGAATACAACAATCTGTATTATACAAAGTGCTATATAAATAGACATGACAACTTGTCATTTTTCAAAAATGGAAAAACAAGAGAAAATCAATTTTGCAATGAATCGCTTTGCTTCGCTGCATGTTTTTGAAAAATCTCACTTTCTCTATCTCCATCCCCACTCACCCTGTAGTCCTCCCATGCTGCCTGTCACAAGGATTCGTCCATGTCTCTTTCTCTTCATGTCCGGTAGGAAGGTCTGAATGGTGCGAAGTGTGCCCAGCAGATTGACGTCCAGGATTCCACGTATAGTGTCCAGCGAGTGAGCTTCCAGAGGGCCCATCAGACCTACACCTGCATTACAAACTAACACAAAGATATTAGGAGGGAATCAATTAAATCATTTATCCCAAAGTCCTTTGGTTAAAACATGGTTTATATTATATAAACCCCATGTAAGCACAGTGGATATAAAGAATGCCTATTCATGTGGACTTTTAACCTTAATCTTTATACGCACCTTTTCCCTTTGAAAGGGCATAATGTCTTACGTTCTCTTACCCAGTATGTCAATTCTGCCCTCTGTAACATTTCTTTTGGCATCAAGTATAGACTGCTGATCTGTCACATCCATCTGTAGTATGGCCATAGTGTCTTTATGCAGTCCTCTCACACTCTCCAACAGCCGTTGCTTCTTGTCCAGGTTCCGCATGGTAGCGTAAACTAAACAACATCAATAATCAATCGTACTTTTTTTAAACAATGATTGTAACTATATATAAAGCTCTCTTTCCACTAACGATAACAGTAATTTTTAGACATACATGTCAGTATAAACTATAAGTAAAATGAACCACAGAAATGCATTGTTTTTTGTTACATCAGTTACCTTTGTAGACTTTTGACGGATTTGATGCGAGATGCACAGCAAGACTGAGCCCAATCCCTGAAGAGCATCCAGTAATGAGAACAACTTTCTGCTCCATTTGTGCAATAAAACATCAGTCCGCAACACTAGAGACGAGCGCTGCATTTGAAGTGGTCCGTCTAACTGCTTTGTCTCTGATTTAAATGTTTTAGCTTTCTCCGTTATCACAAGGCCAGCTTGGTGTAAACATTCTGGTTTCACACTCTTTTTTTTTTTTTTTGCTCAGCAGGTGCAACTTCGAATTGACACATACCGTACATGTCACCAGCTGTGGTAAATATTGAATAACATGAAGAAAAGAAATATTCAGTAAATAACTTTGTTTTTTTGAGAATGTTAAATTTATGATGGGGGTGGAATCAATCATTTATAGATCTTATATTTTCAATCATACGTTCAATGTTTTAACCCTTTCATGCATGAATTATGGTAACCTTAGTCAGGATTTTTTTCCTATGTGTTTTTATTGCTCTTAGGGCATGAAAAACAAGATAAAAAAAAATTACACTTATTTTTCAGAGATTTTTAGATGTCCACTTGAGTGGACAGCATGCGTTTATGGTTTAAACTGAAGAGATACTGTATTAAACATAATGCAGTAATAACACCGTGATATTGTGTGTATTTAACAAATCAGTCAATAAATGTATATAAAAATCATGTGAAAACTCAAATATATACAAAAAATATAAATGCGAAATATTGCAAATGCAATTTAACTTCATACAAGTTGACCTTCGCGTATATTTGATATCAGAACATAAGGACGTGATTCCATCAGAGATCTCTACAGCCTGTCAAAGTACAACTGTGGAAACCCAACTCAGAAGCTCCAGTCCTCCGGTGTAGAGTATGTCAATTTACCCTTATTGGCTGATAATTCTGATTATGTGAAGATTATCAAGAGATGGACACATTTCTAACTCTCTGAGAAAACCTATAGCGATCAGGTGTTTTCAATCGCATTACTGGTAACGCATTAACAAGTAACATGCATAACGCAATCAGATTACTTTTTTGATGTTACGAGTAAAGTAATGCATCAGTAACGTGCATTACGCAATCAGATATTTTTAATGATCTGATTTTTAATGTTTTTTGGTAATAGCTAAATCAATATTTTTACTTATTCATTTATTCAAATCAATTTTTCATAAAGGAACATTTTCTTGGTGATTTTGACAGCTGAAGATAGATAAAAGAGAAATTAACAGCAATGTAAAAAAGGATTTTTCGAAGTTGTAAATAAAATTGAAGTAGCCTACGTTTTGCGAGAAAAAACTATTTTCATGTTTTTCACAATGTTTTGTGTTACTTGCTGTTTCTCTAATAAATTGTGAAATTTGCTAGCATTTCTGAGTAAAAATTGTTTTACACTTTCTTTTTTTAAACTGAAACTGCGTTGATCATCTGTGTGTGTCTGGCTGTTGCATGATGTCATGCTTGTCTGTGAAAATACTCACTAGTAGCCTACCTCTTAAGATAGGAAAATTTCATAAAGTTTAGAATAATATTTTCATTGACATGATTTGTCTTGCAGTCTAGTTTAGGGTGAGATTGATACATTTTTTTACCTTCATAACACCTAAAAAAAATACCCTTTAAAAACAAAACAATATAGCACTTCTTTTTTCATTTCTTCATTATATCTTCACAATACATTAAAACAGGAACACAAAACACCAAGTTCAGTAAACTTGTTTGAAATCTGTTTAGGAACAGCTGCACCTTAAAAAGTAGAATGAACAGTCAAACTGAGTTACGGGTAACTGAGTAACAGTCAAACAAATAACTGAACTTGTATTAACAAATTTAAAAAGTGCATCATGTTTTATATGATCATTTCATATGGTTGCAAGTGTGTTTGTGAAGAGTGTAAAAAAAGAGAGCACTTTACACATTTTAACTACTATAACTGAAAAAAGAAACCACATAACTAGACCTTCTGAATGAGAAAACATTTCATATTTAATAAAAAAAAAATTAACAATGTTCATTGTCCATAAAAGATAATCATGCTTGTATTATTTACATCGTAACAGTATATACAAATTGAGTAAAATACAGTGGTTTATGGTTAATAAATAACAAAACAGGACTATTAGAGTAGCAATATCATTTAAAAAATCCTTGCTCAAAGTTTAAGAGAGTTCTAACTGACACATGACATATATTAGTCCATAACTTTAATCCACCTCTTCAATAGTTGGTCCCTGGGAAGCGGCCCCTGATCCGCCCCGTGCCTGAGCTCCACAGCCTCCAGCTGGCATCCCTCCCTGATAAAGCTTAGTGATGATTGGGTTGCAGACTTTCTCCAACTCCTTCAGCTGATGTTCATACTCCTCTTTATCAGCCAGCTGGTTGTTCTCTAGCCAGCTGATGGCGGCATTGCATTTCTCAATGACTTTCTTCTTGTCATCCTCACTGATCTTGCCTTTCAGGTTCTCATCTTCCACACTGCTCTTCATGTTGAAGGCGTAAGACTCCAGGGAGTTTTTGGCAGCAATCTTCTCTCTTTGCAGATCATCTTCAGCTTTGTACTTGTCTGCGTCCTGCACCATTTTCTCAATCTCCTCTTTGCTCAGTCTGCCCTTGTCATTGGTGATGGTGATCTTGTTCTCTTTTCCAGTGCTTTTGTCCACCGCTGACACATTAAGGATTCCATTGGCGTCAATGTCAAAGGTCACTTCAATCTGCGGGACTCCACGTGGTGCGGGTGGAATTCCTGTGAGCTCAAATTTACCCAGCAGGTTGTTGTCTTTTGTCATGGCCCTCTCTCCCTCAAACACCTGGATCAGGACACCGGGCTGGTTGTCTGCATAGGTGCTGAAGGTCTGGGTCTGTTTGGTGGGGATGGTGGTGTTGCGTTTGATGAGGGCTGTCATGACTCCACCTGCAGTCTCGATGCCCAAAGATAGTGGGGCAACATCCAGCAGCAGCAGGTCCTGGACATTTCCAGATGTGTCACCCATGAGGATGGCGGCTTGCACCGCTGCACCATAAGCCACTGCCTCATCTGGGTTGATGCTCTTGTTCAAGTCCCTGCCGTTGAAGAAATCCTGCAGAAGCTTCTGGATCTTTGGGATTCTTGTTGATCCACCAACCAGAACAACGTCATGGATCTGAGACTTGTCCATCTTGGCGTCTCTCAGGGATTTCTCCACAGGCTCAAGTGTTCCCCTGAAGAGGTCTGAGCACATCTCTTCAAAGCGTGCTCTGGTGATGGACGTGTAGAAGTCGATGCCCTCGTACAGTGAGTCGATCTCAATGCTGGCCTGAGAGCTGGAGGAAAGGGTTCTCTTGGCTCGCTCGCACGCTGTTCGCAGCCTCCTCAGTGCCCTCTTGTTCTGACTGATGTCCTTCTTGTGCTTCCTCTTGAATTCTTCTACAAAGTGATTCACCATGCGGTTGTCAAAGTCCTCGCCACCCAGATGAGTGTCTCCGGCTGTGGCCTTCACCTCAAAGATGCCATCTTCAATGGTCAGGATGGACACGTCAAAGGTGCCTCCACCCAGGTCAAAGATCAGGACGTTGCGTTCTGCTCCTTTGCCTTTGTCAAGGCCGTAGGCGATGGCTGCAGCCGTGGGCTCGTTGATGATTCTGAGGACATTGAGCCCAGCGATCACTCCGGCGTCTTTAGTGGCTTGCCTCTGCGAGTCATTGAAATAGGCAGGAACTGTGACAACTGCATTTGTGACCTTCTGCCCCAGATAAGCTTCAGCAATCTCCTTCATCTTCACCAGGACCATAGAGGAAATTTCTTCAGGATTAAATGTCTTGTTTTCGCCTTTGTATTCGACTTGAACCTTTGGCTTTCCGCTATCACTGACGACTTGGAAGGACCAGTGCTTCATGTCAGACTGCACTACTGGGTCATCAAATTTCCTGCCAATCAGCCTCTTGGCATCAAACACGGTGTTGTTGGGGTTCATGGCCACCTGGTTTTTAGCTGCATCTCCAATGAGCCTCTCTGTGTCAGTGAAGGCAACATAGCTGGGTGTTGTTCTGTTCCCCTGGTCATTGGCGATGATCTCCACTTTTCCATGCTGAAACACCCCCACACAGGAGTAGGTGGTGCCCAGGTCAATTCCAATGGCTACTCCTTTTGCTGATGACATGTTTGGTTACTAGTGAAATCTAGTAAAACAGAAAAAAGAACAATAAGAATTTTTCTAAATGTATACAAATTGTTGTGCATAGAAAATAGGGTAACACTTCATTTTACAGTCCTGTTACCCATGTACTTACTATGTACTTATTATAGTAATTACAATTACTGGGTAATAACTAGGTACTAACCCTGAACCTACCCCTAACCCATGTACTTACCTTATATTAGCCAGTACTTTCTAGGTAAGTACACTGTAAGTACATGTAAGTACTGTACTGTAAAAGGAAGCGTTACCGAAAATAGGTCTTGTTGTGCTCATACAGTATAATAGTAAAAAAAAAAGTGTAACAGTGAATACAGTGGCCATGCAGTTGCATAAACTGCTTAGACTAGTCTTACAAATTAGTCATCTAAATTTATTTTTCAAGACTGGACCACATTTTTTTTAAGTTACATAAAATGGCAGATCAGTCTAATTTGAATTCAAAATTCACTTAAATCTTGGTAAACTGCCAGTTGATCAGACTTCTTAAGACACAGTCAGTCTTAAAGGTGGCTAAGTTTATGCAACTGCAGGTCCCCTGCTTGTTTTTTTTCAGGAGAATATAGACTGTCTGCATGTAATAATAAGATAGTAATATACAAAGCTAATATTGAAACATATTAAGTAGATTCATGAATAGATGCATAAGTAATAGGCTACTACACAATGCATGTAACCTAGACCCTAAAGTAAAATAAATATAGACTTACCGTAGAGTGATTCTTCAATAAAAATTAATTTACACCTCGTCGCGGAAAAAGTCAATACAGACTGGGGTTTTTATCGCTTGCTTCACAGATCGCTCTTCTTCTGATGAATTTCGTTATCTGCCATCCATCCGCTCTTTAAATACACCACAGCGCGCACCCGGTCAAACTCTATACATTTCTGGAAAAGTCGAGTGAATCAGACCAATCAAAACACAGAAAGCGGACGCGTCACGTCAGCTGTCATTCTTAGGCAACTGAGAGGAAGTTTCTGGACGCTTCCAGAATTGTGCTGTGAAATTACGCCAAAACAGAGAAGAAAAGTCAAATGAATTGCAATGAACTATAAAAATATGTCTTTAGCTATCATAGTTGAGTGCTTGATAATTACGTGAAATATGAAAAAGTGGGGTTTCTAGTCTGGTCGCTTTATCATATAAAAAAATAAAATGGCATTAGGTCTCCCTGCAGTTAATTCTAAAACAAGTATTTTATATAAGAGCTTAGTGCTTTTAACTATATGGTTTAAGTTTGTAAATCGCGTAATGATTGCGGAGCCTGATGAGTCATGATCATGATCGTTAAAAACATCGAGTAAACAATTCACTCCAAATTGAACTTTTTGTTGGGTTTATGTAGGCAGGCTACATCAGTTTCACAGACTTATAAATGTCAAGTTATTTGAATAAAACATCTTGTGTTCACTAATTATTCCAGTTTTGAGTAAAGCTTTAAGCTTGCTTAATTCCCCCCAGGGCAACACGGTTGTTATAATAAAATATCAGACAGTTAGGCTATGTTAATGATGGAATAAACTATAATTTGTATAAAGATCTTGACATATTTTCTCAATTTTACGCATTGAATAGGCTAATTGTATTACTGTGTAGCCTAATTAACTAGTCTGAAATTCCAAATACAGCGATGTGTAATAGACCATTTGAACATGCAGCTTTAGTTTGCTGATTAATGAAATTGTCATTAGGCCTACATAACATCCACCCAGCTAGGTTTTATTTTGGCCACTGATGCATTTCACAGTCCATAGCCTACATAAATTAATTTAGTAGCTTTAGATGAACTATGCGTTTGCAATACATTCACCGTTAAGACACATACGAGGTGAGGTGTCTTGTGTGCCACAATTGCTCAACATTTGAGAAAGAATAATGGGTGAAATGAGAGAAAAACGACGCCCTGGGTGCACAGTGACCTCTGTTGACAATAGAGCAGAATGACTACGTGCCACAAACTTAAGTCACCAATGTTCCAGAATCATATATCATCCCCGCAGTCATACAGACATGTAAAACTTAGGGTAGGCTACATAACAAAAAGAAAAAAAGGAACATACAAAGAAATACAGCTACTGAAAAGGACAGTTCCAACAAAAATACTTCTTATGTAATAAATTAGTTTGCCTAGACCTAGACACATTCTCCTGTGAGACTTTTTGTTTCATTGTAAGTTATTTGATTATTCGGACAGTTTAATTAAACATCGATTTTAATTCACACAGATAACATTAGGCTATTGGTTGTTTCTAATTACAAACGTTATATTACAAAACTTAAAAAAATGTAATGGCATTCGAAAATAATTGAAACAAAAGTTTCTACATGAGTAGTCTATAATCAAAGCGTGTTATTTGTACATTACTGAATTTCCGTACGGACTTATAAGTATAAACAGTCCAAACTGTTCAGCGTTTACGAGATCACTAAAATGTTATGCCTTCATGTGGTCCCAATCACAGAACACTCCAGAAATAGCTAGAGCAGGACTATACGATGACGCAGCGTAGTGGGTGGAGCCATTCCGCCTGTGCTGGTTTTTGATTGGTCGAACTCGCTGGCGCTTTCGAGAAACTTCAACAGGGCCATGTAAGAGAATATAAAATAGGACTGTGGCAGTGCTTCGTTATAAACTTCGGGATAGTTAGGAACACATTGGAAAGAGCGAGACGCAGCGAAGTGTGTGCCATCTTCTAGACAACGAGCCACAATACACCTGCCACACAATATCTAAATCATAAAAGGTAAGGGGAAAATTAATTTAAACTACCACTGTTCTTTTTCTATTGAGTTTATATACTTAGGCTGCCTACGACATAAATGTGTACATTTATAACTAGCTTTATCAGACATGAAATGCTTGCAGTAAATAATGTTTTATTCTATATTGACATTTAATCATGAAACAGATTAGTATACTGTATACTCATCTGTTTCATGATTAAATGTCAACAAAAATATGCGATGAAGAGCCACTTAATGAATTAATAGCCTACTTAAGAATTTATATACGTTTTTAACAAATAATTATATTTGACTATGTATTATATTTAGTCCTATTATACATTATTAATAATAATAATAATGGTCTTCTAATTTTTCAAATCATTAGTGTGAACAATGAACGTACAAAAAAAAATTATAAAGTTTTTAAATCTGCATAATATTAATATTAATTTCATGGTTAAAATGTAGCGGTTTTACATGGTAATTTTCCTATTTCTTTTCCTTGTTAAAGACAGGTAGACTTTAAAAGAAACCAAACATGTCATCAGCAAAAGGAGTAGCCATTGGAATTGACCTGGGCACCACCTACTCCTGTGTGGGGGTGTTTCAGCATGGAAAAGTGGAGATCATCGCCAATGACCAGGGGAACAGAACAACACCCAGCTATGTTGCCTTCACTGACACAGAGAGGCTCATTGGAGATGCAGCTAAAAACCAGGTGGCCATGAACCCCAACAACACCGTGTTTGATGCCAAGAGGCTGATTGGCAGGAAATTTGATGACCCAGTAGTGCAGTCTGACATGAAGCACTGGTCCTTCCAAGTCGTCAGTGATAGCGGAAAGCCAAAGGTTCAAGTCGAATACAAAGGCGAAAACAAGACATTTAATCCTGAAGAAATTTCCTCTATGGTCCTGGTGAAGATGAAGGAGATTGCTGAAGCTTATCTGGGGCAGAAGGTCACAAATGCAGTTGTCACAGTTCCTGCCTATTTCAATGACTCGCAGAGGCAAGCCACTAAAGACGCCGGAGTGATCGCTGGGCTCAATGTCCTCAGAATCATCAACGAGCCCACGGCTGCAGCCATCGCCTACGGCCTTGACAAAGGCAAAGGAGCAGAACGCAACGTCCTGATCTTTGACCTGGGTGGAGGCACCTTTGACGTGTCCATCCTGACCATTGAAGATGGCATCTTTGAGGTGAAGGCCACAGCCGGAGACACTCATCTGGGTGGCGAGGACTTTGACAACCGCATGGTGAATCACTTTGTAGAAGAATTCAAGAGGAAGCACAAGAAGGACATCAGTCAGAACAAGAGGGCACTGAGGAGGCTGCGAACAGCGTGCGAGCGAGCCAAGAGAACCCTTTCCTCCAGCTCTCAGGCCAGCATTGAGATCGACTCACTGTACGAGGGCATCGACTTCTACACGTCCATCACCAGAGCACGCTTTGAAGAGATGTGCTCAGACCTCTTCAGGGGAACACTTGAGCCTGTGGAGAAATCCCTGAGAGACGCCAAGATGGACAAGTCTCAGATCCATGACGTTGTTCTGGTTGGTGGATCAACAAGAATCCCAAAGATCCAGAAGCTTCTGCAGGATTTCTTCAACGGCAGGGACTTGAACAAGAGCATCAACCCAGATGAGGCAGTGGCTTATGGTGCAGCGGTGCAAGCCGCCATCCTCATGGGTGACACATCTGGAAATGTCCAGGACCTGCTGCTGCTGGATGTTGCCCCACTATCTTTGGGCATCGAGACTGCAGGTGGAGTCATGACAGCCCTCATCAAACGCAACACCACCATCCCCACCAAACAGACCCAGACCTTCAGCACCTATGCAGACAACCAGCCCGGTGTCCTGATCCAGGTGTTTGAGGGAGAGAGGGCCATGACAAAAGACAACAACCTGCTGGGTAAATTTGAGCTCACAGGAATTCCACCCGCACCACGTGGAGTCCCGCAGATTGAAGTGACCTTTGACATTGACGCCAATGGAATCCTTAATGTGTCAGCGGTGGACAAAAGCACTGGAAAAGAGAACAAGATCACCATCACCAATGACAAGGGCAGACTGAGCAAAGAGGAGATTGAGAAAATGGTGCAGGACGCAGACAAGTACAAAGCTGAAGATGATCTGCAAAGAGAGAAGATTGCTGCCAAAAACTCCCTGGAGTCTTACGCCTTCAACATGAAGAGCAGTGTGGAAGATGAGAACCTGAAAGGCAAGATCAGTGAGGATGACAAGAAGAAAGTCATTGAGAAATGCAATGCCGCCATCAGCTGGCTAGAGAACAACCAGCTGGCTGATAAAGAGGAGTATGAACATCAGCTGAAGGAGTTGGAGAAAGTCTGCAACCCAATCATCACTAAGCTTTATCAGGGAGGGATGCCAGCTGGAGGCTGTGGAGCTCAGGCACGGGGCGGATCAGGGGCCGCTTCCCAGGGACCAACTATTGAAGAGGTGGATTAAAACACCTCATGAACTGAATGGTGCAGGGACTGATATAAATCTTTTCTCTTTGGTTCTTTCATTTTGTTTTCAGGCCTTATTACATTATGATTCCTTTTTTTATACCCCTAATGCTCACACCTTTCTTCAGTCAAAAAATGATATGTAAACCGTCATATCACTGCACGGTATTAGTTTACTCCATCTGCTCTCGAAAACATTTTGCTACTAAATAAAGTGCTCTGCAACTTGACATTTAGTCAATATGTTTTAACTTAAAAAATAAGCTTGAAATTTCTAAGAGGTGATTTTACATTATTTTTCATTCATGTTTGATTACAGTTACATGTTAATAAATGTTGTGGTAAAACTATGTAAATAAAATGTTTAATATTTATTTCAAAAAGTGTTGTAGTTTTTTTTAAGTACTCTAAAACTAAATCTAAACAGTGACCTTATATTTCTTCAAATAAATAAACAAACCAGTAGATGGCATTCTCAAACAAGAGCCAGGCAGTATCCATGTATACATTGCATATATCAAATAAATATCTATCAAAAATGACTACAGGCCATAAAGACTGACATAACACAAAAGGCACCGAGATTATAACCAGAGTTGAAGTTGCAGATTCACTAATGACTTTGGGCTAAAATCTTTCTACACATTTATGCTGTAGTTACTGACATAAGCAGCAGGGGTCAGTACATCCTGACTGTAAAACAGACAAACACAAATTCCTCTGTCTTATTTCCTGGAAGGCTTTGAACCCAGGCATGAGCACAGCCAAAAAGAGACTATGACATTATCTTCCTCGACTTTAGAGACTGATCCCTGCCTCATCCAAACACCCTACCAATACAAATAAACTGGCTCCTTCATGGAACAATCCCTCACACATACATAAGATGTTTAATGGAATTATGCAATTCATCTAGAGTGCAACACCATCTGGAGTTACTAAAATAATATTGAATGTCAAATTGTAGCACACAGTACAAAGATACACAAAAGTACATGAGGTGACCCTTACTTTACTGCTCATATCCGATTTCAATAATTCAGTGTCAGATGTGTTAAGTTATTTTGTTATTCAAGTGCCACAGGTGAGACTGTTCACCATGGCCACATGACTGCAAACATGACTGTTTATACATATGACTTATAAATGGACAAATATTCTGAGAAAACACTTATGTGTGAAGTTTTAAAAGTGTAGCAGTTAAAGAAATATTTAAAACAAGTTAAGTTCAATTTACAACATTTGTGGCATAATGTTGATTATTACAATTAAATATTTCAATTCTTTAAACTCCACTGCACTTACTATGGAAGCAAATTAAGGATTTTAATATAGGAATTTGTGAAGGATTTAAAAGCAGAAATGTGAAGCTTATAGTATTAGAAAAGAACTTACATTAATTCATCTGTTAACACTCGTGTTGTAATTGAGCTGTAAAATGATGTTTAAATAATAATTTATACACTTTTTAGGGTTTCAGGCTTTTCGTTTACAACTTTTTTGTCAAATTAATTATAACTTTACACAGAAAAGGTTAGTAAGCAAGTTTTCACTCTAAAATCGTAGTATAATGTCTTGTGGTGATACTATTGTAACATATTTGAACATTTGTGACTCACTGTAACCCACAGCTGTTGGGTTTTTTTAAGAAAGAGGGGAAAGTGGACATTTTTGTGGCAATAAACATTATGCCACAAATGCTTTCCATTGAACTTAACTTGTATTGAACCCAAAATATTCCTTCAATCCTACTGAAGCTATTGGTTTTAGTCATAAGTAACACATTCGACCATCATTGTAACAGCTGCTGATGAGTTATAATGAGCACTGATTAGGGTAATTATGTTGGCATCAGGCATGTGTGTTTCTGCTGTGACTGCAGCCAGTAAGTAAGCCATGAATGTGAGTGTCAGGCCACTACGTGTGAAATGCAACATTTCAAACCCTCTCCAGTTTAAAGCAGTGTCCATGGCATGACAAGGACGGCCCTTTTGGGGGCAGAGCATTCCAATCAAAACATGATCCACCACAGAAAGTACAACCTCAAGAATGGAGGAACAATAAAAACAAAACAAAAACACCTCATCAAAAACAGAGGGACAGTAAAGAGGATCCATGTACACATATAGCATGGACACATAACATGCTCTTAAAAAACATCCTGGTACAGCTCCATGCTCCCCACACATATACAGTACATTTAGCTGTTTGTTTGTTTGTTCCATAGTAACCCTAAATCTCATCCTAATTGTATGGGAACAAATATCGTAACTCTGCACCCTTTTAATTTATTATCAGACAAACAGATACTCACACCCAAACACATGCAGAATGCATATAGTTCACCTCTAAGTTGATCCCATCCAGTGCTGTTTACACATACTACAACCACTATACGTGCTTACGCCCATAAACCAAACTAAAACACATACTAGATTTTTGTTTTTTTAAATAAATGGTATTGAATAGCATTAACAAATGGCAACTGATAAAAAGAATGTTATGCATAATATAGTAATTATGGTACAATATAGTAACTACATGTAACATGTGTGTAACAAGGACACTGTAAAATAAAGTATAATTACCTTATTCGTTAATCAGCATTTTAATTAAATTCAATAGATTAATCTGTCAGTCTTTGTCCAATTTAGTTTTATTCTTTGTTTGTGTAAAAACAGCTACATTGTTGACGGCCAGGCTGGTCAATGTAGAAATTCACGAAACAAAATATATAAAATATATGTTATCATTACATAAAAAATAAAAAATAAAAAAAAACATATCTGGTAACAACTAAAGCTTCCCTAAAATGCATTTTCATGATTAAAAAACCAGCTAAAAAAATAGCTGGCTGCAAAATAATAGTCATTTTAGAACATTGTATACATTAACTGGCAATAAAACTAGACTATTCTAATAAATTTACATTTTTAAATGACACCAGTTAATGCATTAACTTTCCCATAAAACAAACTGAAACTAAATTCTAACTAAAATGAACTATGAGAAAACTAACACTAAACTAAACTTAAGGCAAATTGAAAATGTCTGTATAATAAATGTATATATAATAGCACATCTACCAATAGGAGCATCAGCAGACACGAGGTGCACATGCTCATTCTGCTGCTGCTGCTGATGGTGGTGATGCTTATAGGATGATTATAATGATTAGCTGCTACAACAGCACATTGGTGGACCCGTCCACTTAGGTGAAAACATCAAGGGTTGCTAAGAAACAATACTTGTGGTTGGGCCTTGTAAGGATACAGCCAGCAACAGAGCAAGAGGTCAACACCCCTAAAGCCAGGCTAAATATAACCCGGAGTGGAGAAAGAGAAAGAGAAAGAGAGAGAGAGAGAGAGAGAGAGAGAGAGAGAGAGAGAGAGAGAGAGAGAGAGAGAGAGAGAGAGAGAGAGAGAGAGAGAGAGAGAGAGAGAGAGAGAGAGAAGGGAGAGAGAGCGAGAGAGAGAAATGGAGACCGAGAGAGAGAGAGAGAGAGAGAGAGAGAGAGAGAGAGAGAGAGAGAGAGAGAGAGAGAGAGAGAGAGAGAGAGAGAGAGAGAGAGAGAGAGAGAGAGAGAGAGCGAGAGAGAGAGAGAAAGGGAGAGAGAGCGAGAGAGAGAAATGGAGACCGAGAGAGAGAGTGTTGGACTTTCTTTGGGATATCCTCTGCCCTCTCCTCTTTCAAGAATACCCAAGGACAACCCTCGCTATTATTAATAGCGGTAAGAAGCTGTTCCCACAGAAATGTTCCTTCACTGTAAAAACTGATAACTGTTTTTTCACAGCTGTGAAATCTGATACCCAACCCAACCTCCTATTTAGATAATGTTTGTCCCTGCCTTTATGACGATCTGTGCATCTTTTATTTCATAGAATGAGATGTGTCAAAACACATTAAATCATAAATGGTTTCAATGGTGCTACTATTCATTTTACCCAACTTAAATAACAAAGGAACAAGTTTTATTGCATTAGCTGCTTTTTTTTTAATTTAGAAGTTGCCACATGAGCACTTTAGATTACTTGACAAAAACATTTTTAGGGGCAGAACATTTTTCAAAGCAAGCAATACATCCATTCCTAGCGTAAATGTAAAACATCATTGTAAAAAAAAAAAAATATTATTATAAAAAGTTCTTTTCCGGGTCCATCCAGATGATCTTATGAATGTATTCACGTGCCTTCTGCGTGTGTAGCCTATATAGAGGTGTTAGTCATTAAAGACCGGATTACGGCACCATACTTTGGAGCCAGAGATTCAAATAACCAAGAATAGGGACAGTGCTGAGAATTTAACACCATTCCTGTCCAACACCTGTCACACACTTGTTTGGCACGCACACATGTACACAACATACTGTACACGTGTGTAAAATGACATTGGCCTCTGCATATGGTACACTCTTAAAAATAAAAGTTCCAAAGGGGGGTTTACGCAGCAATGCCATAAAAGAACTGTGTTTGGTTTCCAAAAGAACCGTTCAGTGAACAGTTCTGTTTTCTTAGTGTAAAGAACATTTTAATAATCTAAAGAAACCTTTTTCCACCATAAAGAACCTTTTGTGGAATGGAAAGGTTCCATGGATGTTAAAGGTTCTTTATGGAACCATTGATGCCAATAAATAACCTTTTTTTTTTTTTTTTTTTTACTATATTCATGTTCATTTATTTAAAAAGTGAATGAGAAAGAAAGGCCTCATTAATCACTTAAGGAATTTGTCAGTGGCGGTTAACTAAAACTATAACAGCTGAACCACTGTCAAATCTTCCCAAGCTGTTGTTCCCCCTTATTTTCCCTTTTATTACTCTCTCTGATTCCTCAATTGCACATTTTTCACTCCTGATCTTTTTCTTCATACTGGTTTCGCTATCTCCATTCTACACTCCTCTCACTCGCCACTGTATATATTTAACCTTTAATTCATCTCTACATCTTGGCTTTCCTGAGTCCCTCTTCTCTTTCCCTTGATCCATCTTCCTGTCATCAGCAGTGTCTCTATATGTTCCGCAGGGCAAGTGTAGACCTAAAAGGGAAGACACAAAATGACAGAGTTACAGAAGGATAAATATACCCATAAAACCAGGGAACTAACTTATCAGTTCCATGTGTCCCATCTCTTTCCAGTAAAACATCATATGTCCTGCTATCACCACTGAATGAAACAATTCCTATCAAACTTCCTGTTCTTAAAGTCCAAGTGCTTTGCCATTTTGTGCACTGCTATCTTGCACACCTATAGCAGCTGGTTTACTGATAACATTTAATGATATTTCACTAATATGTTTTCATATTTCATAAATTTACACACACACACACACACACACACACACACACACACACACACACACACACACACACACACACACACACACACACACACACACACACACACACACACACACACACACACACACACACACACACACACACACACACACACACACACACACACACACACACACACACACACACACACACACACACACACACACACAAAATATTTAATTTAGTTGTCAAGAATTACTTATATACCTCATAAATCAGGGCCAGGGTGTATTATAAATCTTTATATACAAATTATTTTGTAATTTTGAATATAAGAATATCCACAAGTCCAATGACTGATTCATATATATATATATATTTTCTTTTTTGCAGCTATGTGAAACATGCTGCAACATGAGCACAGACATGCCAGCAGCACCGGGACACATTCTGTGGGACGACAGGGTGGCAGGTCAGAATCATGACACACAAGCACACCTGATGGGGCCAGGGTCAGAAAGGGAGCAAGGGGTCTAAGTTGAAAAGTCACAGAGAGTCAGTGGTGAAAAATATTTAAAGAACTTTCAAAAGAATTAAATAACAGGAGAAAGACAATAGAGGATGCATGAGACCTGTGTGTGAACTTTAACATTAACACTGGCTAAGAATGGCTAAATTATCTGCTGTACACCTCATGCTCTCCATTTCTTCAGCAGCACTGGAGCTGTGGCTGGAGCAAAAATCCAACAATTGGGTTGAGCTGCTGCTGGTCCACATCACTCAGATCTATTTATACAGGACACACACAACTGCAACTCAATCTACAGTTACACAAGTACCAAAAGAACCATCAGCCCCCACCGACACAGACAAGAGTGTCTAGTTCCACTGTGACACCTACATAACAATAGCTGAAGTAGGAGAACAAGTCTTCACGCAAACATTTCAGTGGGGAGAGGCAGAGAATGGTTTTCAGAGACTACTGAGAATTGTAGACCAGCATGAATACTGTTAAAATATATATATTTTTATTGTGGACAGTATTATTTTATTATTATTTAAATACTATTTTATGTATATTTTGAATTAGTGTTTATTTTAGTTTAAGTTTTAGGGGTTTTTTTTAGTGATATTTTGTCATATTATTCTTTTTATTTCAGTATATTTATTTTTAGTATTTTAACTTAGAAAATGAGAAATATTGGCTTGGTAACTAAGTTTTTTTTATCTACTATTTTTTTTTTTTAGTTTAATTAACGAAGACTACACTTTAACTGTTATAGTCTTAATTAAAAACAACAACACAGATAGTGGTATATGTTCTATAAAGTGTGCTGTCTTGAAAATAAGGGAATGAGTGATAGAGATTGTTTGCCAAATAGCATATAAAGTGTGAAAAAAGTAAACAGATGATGAATGAAAACATTATCATAAATCAGGGTTTCTCAAACTCGGTCCTGGAGGCCCACTGTCCTGCAGACTTTAGCTCCAACCCTGATCAAACACACCTACCTGTGAGTTTCTAGTGATCCTGAAGACCTTGATTATGGGGTGGTGGGGTGGCGCAGCGCACCTTGGGGTGGTGATGGCGCAGTGGATAAGACACATGTCTTTGGTGTGAGAGACCCAGGTTCGAATCCACTGTGAGACACCAATGTGTCCCTGAGCAAGACACTTAACCCCTAGTTGCTCCAGAGGCGTGCGACCTCTGACATATATAGCAATTGTAAGTCGCTTTGGATAAAAGCGTCAGCTAAATGAATAAATGTAATGGAAATGATTAGCTTGCTCAGGTGTGTTTGATCAGGGTTGGAGCTAAACTCTGCAGGACAATGGCCCTCCAGGACCGAGTTTGAGAAACCCTGTAAATGATCATCCGTTGTATTGTTTATAATAAAACATACATAAGACATTTACTAACCCATCTGACAGTCTTATAATGCTCTGGTGTGCTTGTATATGTATTGCACACTACATGACCAAGTGCGTGCCAAAACATATATATACATGATAAGACTTATATATTCTAAAAGTTCTGATCCAATCTGACTTCTGACCTGTAATGCTGCCTGAATCATAATCATACACTGTTGGTTCATTGGCCAGAGGAGAACTGGCCCACCGACTGAGCTTGGTTTTTTCCCCATTCTGTCACCCGATGGAGTTTTAGTTCCTTGCCACTGTCGCCTTTGGCTTTTGGCTTGCTTTGGAGACACTTATATTCAACAATATTATTGATCTGCCTGCATTGACACCATTATGAGAACTGAACTGAGCTGGACGATGACATCACTGTTTTCTCCAGAGCGGCTGTATATATAAATTAACTAAATTAATAACTTTTTTATAACAGAAATGAACCATCAATGTACTTAAGCTGGACTATGACACTATTTTCTTCTAGATCTGCTGTACAGACGATTTAGTTTCAGCTGACATTAGAATGACAGAGTAAACCCACTCTAAAGCAAATGATCTGCAAGCCTGTGACTTGATTGAAATGACCATCATCTGTCATTTTTTGTTGTTTTAAATTATGATGCCAAATGTCTTAACCCACTCACACAATATCATTTTAAACAACTAAAGATCTCCACACAATACAGTGGAAAAAGAAGAAATAGTACATGCAAAAAATTTTAGTTTGTCCTACTTTATCCATTGCTTTACTTCATTTACCCCAATTATCAGCTTTTAATTGAAAGCATTGCATTTTAAAAAAAGAAAAGAAAGTTAAAAAAAAAGAAGAAAAGATAAAGAATGGGCATTAAATGGGCTAAAATCACATGGTGGTTTCTTCCTGTCGCTGATTTGGTTTGACAAAAACTATTGAATCAGTCATCCATCTCTGTCTATTCATCCAAACTATCTGTCAACAAGATAAAAGACTATAAACACAGAGCCCTCATTTGTACCTTAATGGCCCTTCTTCCTACTTTCCCCCCTCTTTCTTTCCCTCTTAATGCACTCTTACTAATCAATCCCTCCTCAGACTGTTTTACAGCACATTTTGCCATGTCTGAAGTGCTGCTACCCTCACTCACTTTTTCCATAACTGTCCATCCCAGGTGCTAATCCTCTCTGAGGATGGAGACCTGACAGTCTTCATACATTTTCAAACGTACCCTCACATTATAGTTCTTATAGAATGGATAAATATTTTAATCCCGTACCACATAATTGTACACATAATTATAACAAAGCCCTGCATGTCCCCACAAAAATCCAAGTCCTTGGTCATGCATATCAACATCCCAAAATCATTTGAGCTATCGTTCATCTGACCCTCCACCACCATCACCATCCCAACACCACAATTCCCCATTCACCGTCTCCATTCCCCTGTTGGTGCATGTTCCAAAAACAGACCCCAATTTTAACCCCGCTTTCAAGGCTGCTCACACCCGCTGCAGTTGTCACCCAATTGCTCCAATCACATCTCTTCATCTCATTTCCCAAGGCCTTGCCCCCTTCTCCACCATATTTGTATTATTTCAGCCAATAGGGGGCCTCCTCTGGGTGTGACCTGAGCGATGGTTTGCCTGGTGTCTTTATAAAACTCTACGGAGATGAGTGGAAGTTTGCACTTTCTGTCAGCCCTGCGCTCCAGAGGAAGGAGAGCAGAGAGAGAAAGAGAGAGGGGAGAGAGAATCAAGGGGCCATCTGTTTTGTCCCTATCCTACACTTTAAAAGTGTTGGTGCGTACTCTCTCAATCTTTTTTCTTTTCTTTTTATAATTAAGGGATTCATTAGTTTCTCAATGACCTGTAAAAAGTGTTAAAACCGGACATTTCTCAATTTTTCTGAGTGGAAATCCAACTTACCTACATCTTGTTTTGTTTTTGTGAAGTCTCCCCTTTGAGCAGACAGGATGGAGAACGCACACACCAAGGAAACAGCAGAATGCCTGGCCTACTTCGGCGTGAACGAGAGCACAGGCCTCGCTCTAGATCAGGTCAAGAAAAACCAAGAAAAGTTTGGATTCAACGGTGAGGAAAGCATGGATAAAGTGGATGGAGGCTTCTTAAAATATGAATGGATCTTTGATTACAATGAAACAAAGTTGGAGTGAATTGACAGAACAAGCAATTTTGAAGCAAGAATTCCCAACTTAGTATCAAAAATGTGTTTTGTGTAGAATGATTAGTTGTGATTAGTTAGTTGAGAACAGGCATCAGACAAGATGAATGAGTAACACTGTATCTTAAGACTTATTCAAATGCATTCAAAACTGAGAGAACACATACATCTCCTGAAGTGTTTTCTTACCAGAACATGCTGCATTTAGAAGAAATTAGAGCCAAAGGCAAAATAACCCTGAACAGATGCACTGATCCATGCTGCACAATAACATTAAGTTGCAAAAGCAAGATTAGAAAGACAAAGAAAGAAAAAAGTGACAGCTGAAACACAGGAACCATTTTAAGCCTACAGGGACTTCAGTAGAAGGTCAAACAGAAGGACAAATTGCTAGACTACTAATTGAATAGTTTTATACGTGCGATCTAATTTCAGAATGAACCATATTATACAATTATTTAATATGCTATGTTGTGGTGATTGTTGATGGGAAAGATATATTAATCGTCCCCTTGGAATTATAAGGTTCTATCTGACATTTTTGTCAAAATTTAGTTATTCACATATTCTTATTCTGTGACCACTTCTTTACATTATGTGATGTTGTTTTTTAAGTTGTGTAGATTTTGGAACTTTTTATTTAGAAAATAAAAAGGTTCTTTCTACACAGTCAAATGGAATGCAAAAACTTTAAAGTTCAATATCTCAAAACTGCTCAGAACGCAGATAGAAGCTTATAATTCCAAGGGGACGTAATGTCTAATTCTAATGGTTCTGTTTTGACCACCTCCTCCATTCATCTTGTCGACTGGACTAAATCAACCAATCACAGAGCTGCCCGCTGAAGAAGGTAAGTTTTTCATTTACTGTTTTTATTGCTTTTATATGAGAAGACCTAGACCTAGAATTGATGACATTTCTGTATTTTACGCATACTGTCTGTCTATCATACACATCTATCTACCTACCTTCTCTCTCAGGCAAGACCATCTGGGAGCTGGTGGTTGAGCAGTTTGAAGATCTCTTGGTCAGGATCCTGCTGTTGGCTGCCTGCATCTCTTTTGTGAGTAAATAGAAACCGCATGACATCAAATGTAGTCTAAATCTTCAGAAACCTCACTTTCCACAGGTAGTGCTTCAGTAATTTCATAGCCTGGGTTATGCTGACCTGGGTAAAGTCTAAAGTCATAGAGCTGTAACATTTTAATGACTTCACAGGCTTTCATTTATGGGTGCAGACAATGATTAATAATGTACAAGAGAAAGACAGGGACACATTTCCCACATTCACATCCGTTCCTGTCAATCAAATTAAACGGTAACCCTTCAGCCCGGTGTATATAATGGGTAGACCATAATCCAGCTGTTTATCTGTGCCGGCTAGTATGGAACCCTTTCGGTTGCATAAAACAACACCGCTAGCATGAGGCATCTTTTTTTTTAGTCCCAGATGCGCATATGCCCTTGCTGTTGAAATTTGAGTAGCCTACATTCCGTACTGATAATGAAACCGTCGGCACATAAAACTGCATTTCTTTCTTTCTTTCTTCCAAATCTGTTTTGGGATAAATGAAGCAGGCAGCATTAGTTCTGCTGTTTTGTTCAGGCCCATGACATCACAGCTGTCATTATGGCCTTAGAAGGCCAGGAAAGAAGCTTTGAAGAGAAGCAAGGACAGAGAAATAAAGGAGAGAAAAAGAGAAAAGAAAGAGTGAGCGATTAAGACAGAGAGAGGAAGAGAAGTGTTATTTTAAGGTGGTCTTAAGCCAGTCCAAGAAACTGTATCCACCCACAAGGGTCAAAGATGGAAGGAATGAAAGACAGATCAGTAGAAAGACTGTAAAGGTGAAGAAGAGAAAGACAGATAGCAGGTGCTACCGTGCCGTAAATCGAGTAAAGTATGCGCACATGTGAGAATTACTGGAAGAGGATCAGCTGTACACTTCAACCATAACTCAATGTTAAGATGAAGTGTAAATGTAAGTGTAAGTGTGTGTGTGTGTGTGTGTGTGTGTGTGGTGGGGGGTGGGGGGGGTGCAAAACTTACAGAGGGTATGCATGCACACACTCATTCACAATTTCACACACACACACACACACACACACACACACATAGTAGATCTTAAATCGATTTATTTTCCTCTCGAATGGATCTTAGATATCTTTCTCACACTCCAGCTCTCTCTCTCTGTTCATCAGGTACTGGCCTTGTTTGAGGAAGGTGAGGAAACCGTCACTGCCTTTGTCGAGCCTTTGGTCATTCTCCTCATCCTTATCGCCAATGCTGTGGTTGGAGTATGGCAGGTGAATATGCACATCAATTTTAAATTCACAATACAGTGGCCCCAAAAGGTATTTGGACACTGAAGGCAGCCTCAAAACAAAACAAACACACAAATAAATAATATAAATAAATAAATTCTATAAAATGTCAAAATAAGATGCACTTATTTAAAAAAAAAAAAAAAAAAAAAAAAAAACCAATTATATATATATATATATATATATATATTAAGAAATAAAATAATCAACTTTACTTTACAAATAATCTTTAATTTTAGCCATTTTCAACTTGATGCCATTTGGTTTGATATTTTGTGATCTAATACAATAAAATTCATACATTTCAAGAGAAACTTAAGAGCCTAAAACTGTAGAACTCAAAGTGGTTACATCACAGGTTAAAGGCACGGCCGTATTTACCCGGGGCCTCAGGAACACAAATGACGACAATGGTAAAAATACTAGAGGCTGGTCAGATTTCATCAAGGGTCCATGGGGCTGGCACAATAGTAATTTAGAAAGTATGCACACCCTTGGAAGGAGAGGGCGGTCAAGGTGTAAAATCCTAAGGGGAGCAGGAGCTGATCTAGATGTTTGTTTTTACAGGAGCGTAATGCAGAGAGCGCAATTGAGGCTCTAAAGGAGTATGAGCCAGAAATGGGCAAAGTCTACCGCGCTGACAGAAAGAGCGTACAGATGATCAAAGCCAGAGAGATCGTTCCTGGAGACATCGTGGAAGTGTCAGGTATACCAATGGATCTGAGCATCTGACAGCAGAGCACTGGTAGCACAGAACGATCCCATAATGCTCACACACATCAGAATAGCCCAAGCATCTGAAAATGGAAATGCAGAGTAAGCAACACCTTCAAGCCAACTGTTACACTGTGTAACCACAACGATGTCAAGTAATGAGACATGTGTAGAGGGGACAGGACTATATGGGACTCATGCCCTTGAGAAAGTGTGAGCATCCTTTTAAGGCAATTAAGGGGTGTGTGTGTGACAGTGGGAGGAAGAATATAGAGTAATGGGATCAGAAAGGCTGAAAGAACACGCGAGAGCACGAGCAAAGAAAAGGCCTGTATATAAATACATCCCAGCACCTGTTCCTCTACTTGCCCTCTCTCGATCCCTAGCCCCTTCTCTTTCCCTCTTCCACCTGTTCCTTCCTCATCACTCATTTTTTCTCCAGGCCTCTTGTTCACCACTATGAAGGTCAACTTGTCCTTGCTTTTCTGTTTCACTCAGTTGCCCCTTGATCAGATCCTCCTTTTTGATCTCTTAATCTTTCACCAAAATATCTGCAAACATTATTGACAGTGACATCTTTAGACTAGATTAGGGGCCAATCCTGCTTCTTGTGGGTAATTTTCCTGCAAAATGTAGCTCCAACATATCTGCTTGGATGTTTCATCAATCCTACTAACATTGGTTAGCTGGTTCATGTGTGTTTTAGTAGGGTTGGAGCTAAACTCTGTAAGAAGGTGGACCTCCAAGAACAGGATTGGACAACCTAGACTGGACTAGAAAAAATATAAATCATTGCCAAACCATTAATCAGATTGATATTCTAGAGAAGCTTTGAATGTACATAAATTTAGAGATGTTTATAATAAAATAATTGGAAATATTGAAAGAAAACTGATGAGACATCTTAACTCCTAACACTAAGTGTCACTCTAGAGCCTTTCTATACTTTGTTAGTATTAGTTTTGAGCATGTATTGCTCTTCATATATGCGTGTTCTCAATTCTTAACTTTTTCCTGTGTAGTTGGTGACAAAGTCCCTGCTGATATCAGAATCACCGCGATCCGCTCCACAACTCTGCGTGTGGACCAATCTATCCTCACTGGTTAGTCTCTGATTTACAATATCTGGGCTCCCAATACACACACAAAATACACATACTTCTTTGGCCTTCTATGACCTCCTTTATCACTTTATTCTCAGGTGAGTCTGTAAGTGTGATTAAACACACAGAGTCTGTTCCTGACCTCAGGGCTGTCAACCAGGACAAGAAGAACATGCTTTTCTCTGTGAGTTTCCCTTCCTTCAGCCTTTTGTTGCTGTTCTCCTCTGTCTCCAGCACTAGCCCTGAAACATCTTCTCCCTCTCATTGTCCCAGGGCACTAACATCGCTGCTGGCAAGGCTATCGGAGTTGTGGTTGCCACCGGTGTCTCAACTGAGATCGGTAAGATCCGTGATCAGATGGCTGCCACTGAGCAGGAGAAGACCCCCTTGCAGCAGAAGCTGGATGAGTTCGGTGAGCAGCTCTCCAAAGTCATCTCCCTCATCTGTGTGGCTGTCTGGCTTATCAACATTGGCCACTTCAACGACCCAGTCCACGGCGGCTCCTGGATCCGTGGTGCTGTCTACTACTTCAAGATCGCTGTGGCTCTTGCCGTAGCCGCCATTCCCGAAGGTGAGAATACAGGAGTCATGAAACAAATCAGTGTGAAATCAAGAGTAAAATGCAGACAAGATTCACGACTGCCCTTTTCAATGCAGACTTTGTAAGTTGAGGAAATCCAACAGAGTATTTGACTCTTTTCTTTTCCGAGCAGGTCTGCCTGCTGTCATCACTACCTGCTTGGCTCTGGGAACCAGACGCATGGCTAAGAAGAATGCCATCGTCCGCTCTCTTCCCTCTGTAGAGACTCTGGGCTGCACATCTGTCATTTGCTCAGACAAGACTGGCACCCTCACCACCAACCAGATGTGTGTTACAAAGGTTTGCGAGAGTCTAACTCCAAAAGCAATCACTAATGTACCAGTCATCTCGATACAACCAGAAAATCCTTCTCCTTTACACACCATTTTAAGCTTCATTCTCTTTGTATTTAGATGTTCGTCATTGAAAAGGTGGAGGGTGAATCTGTGGCTCTTGACCAGTATGACATTTCTGGATCCAAGTACACACCAGAGGGAGAAGTGTAAGTGATTTTATATTTATTAAGTGACACTCACGCACAAGCACATGCAGACTCACCATTCTTCTTTCTTTACCTTGCAGTACTAGGGGGGGACTTCCTGTCAAGTGTGGCCAGTACGATGGCCTTGTTGAGCTGGCAACCATCTGCGCCTTGTGCAATGACTCTTCTCTGGACTTCAATGAGGTAAACAAACCTTTATTCTGTTTCCAACTCATCTAAGCTATTCCAATTGTGCAGCAATAACAGAGCTTTACTCTCACTCTTTGTTTTACAGTCTAAAGGAATCTATGAGAAAGTGGGTGAGGCTACAGAGACTGCCCTGTGCTGCCTGGTTGAAAAGATGAACGTGTTCAACACTGACGTCCGTGGTCTGTCCAAGGTTGATAGAGCCAATACATGCTGCACTGTAAGTATCTCAGTCTCTTCTGCACCCTTTAAGTTCATTTTGGACAGCTGTATTGTGTCTGAATATATTTCAGTTCTAAGTTAAAATCTTTAGTCCTGTTTTTATGACTGAAATATCACAAGGATAGTTATGATAGTAGTATTTATTTTATGGCTGGATTTTTGTAATGGATTGAGATGTGCAAGTGTTAAATGCCATGTGCCAAGATTTAATTTTCAGTAAATTCCATATCGGTCATTATATCTATTTAGTTTGCTGCTCTTGATTTCCTAGGTGATCAAACAGCTTATGAAGAAGGACTTTACTCTTGAATTCTCCCGTGACAGAAAGTCCATGTCTGCCTATTGCTCCCCTGCAAAGGCCTCCAAGGCCCCTGTTGGAAACAAGATGTTTGTCAAGGTAAGACCGATCCTTAAAATTAACTAGTAAAAATGAATACCTTAAAAAAAATCTCAAACACAAAACCGTTATTGTTGTAGGGTGCTCCTGAGGGTGTGATTGAGAGATGTGCCTATGTGCGTGTTGGCACCACCCGTGTGCCCCTGACTGGTCCAGTTAAGGATAAGATCATGGCTGTGATCAAGGAATGGGGTACTGGCCGTGATACCCTGCGCTGCCTGGCTCTGGCAACCCGTGACAACCCTCTGAGAAGGGAGGAAATGAACCTGGAGGACTCTACCAAGTTTGCTGAATATGAGGTATTTTTGTTAAAGAGAGATAAACATGGCCAAATATTCCTTCTAACATGATTTAACTGTGCCTTTTTCTCCTTCTTTTTTTCCTTTCCTCACAGACCGATCTCACCTTTGTGGGTTGTGTTGGTATGTTGGATCCTCCTCGTAAAGAGGTTGTTGGATCCATTGAGCTGTGCAGGGCTGCTGGCATCCGTGTGATCATGATCACAGGTAAACCATGTTAAATTTTCAAATCACTGCTGACATTTCTTAAAACAGCACTGTAACATGTCATTCTAGGCAGACTGTTTGTTGCTCTGTGACACAACGATTAATCCTGCTTTGCCTCTTTTTTGAAAACTATTCCTGAAAACAAAAACAAAAAACAAAACAGGTGGTCATATTGTGCACAACAGTAAACTTGCTTGTGATGCTAACTTCACAAGTTAGCGGCAATTATCATTTAATCTCCCACAATGATACTTCACTGGCACAGAACATTTGAAAAAAGAAAAGGTTAATATTAATGCAGTAATCATGAAAATGTCATACAACTTTTCTCGTTTCCAGGAGATAACAAGGGTACCGCTGTGGCTATCTGCCGCCGTATTGGCATCTTCACTGATGATGAGGATGTGACAGGCCGTGCTTTCACTGGCCGTGAGTTTGATGACCTGCCACTGGCCCAGCAGAGAGAAGCTGTGCGTAAGGCTTGCTGTTATGCTCGTGTCGAGCCCTCTCACAAGAGCAAGATCGTTGAGTTCCTTCAAGGCTTTGATGAGATCACCGCCATGGTAAATGAACTGAATGGAGCAAATTAAATGGGACAAAAGACCAAAGACCATCTTTGACCAGACAGGATCTTGGTCACTTGGTCAGAAAATGTCACTCCTTTAAGTTGAAGTGGACTGCATAGTAGTTTAGAATCCACTAAACTTAACATGCTTGTGTTTTTCACTATAAAATGAATTCTTACCTTTTTAATATTCCATTACCCCCACTATACATACTCCAGACTGGTGATGGTGTGAATGATGCTCCTGCCCTGAAGAAGGCAGAGATTGGCATTGCCATGGGCTCTGGCACCGCTGTTGCCAAGTCAGCCTCTGAGATGGTCCTGGCCGACGACAACTTCTCCAGCATTGTGGCTGCTGTTGAGGAGGGCAGAGCCATTTACAACAACATGAAGCAGTTTATCCGCTACCTCATCTCCTCTAACGTCGGTGAGGTCGTCTGGTGGGTGACAGCCTCTCGCTCACACACACATATATCTATTTACCTTCTGAAATCAGGCATAGGTTGATTCTAAACCTTATTTATTTTCTCCATCTTTTTCAGCATCTTCCTGACAGCTGCTCTTGGTCTTCCTGAGGCTCTGATCCCCGTTCAGCTTCTGTGGGTGAACCTGGTGACTGACGGTCTTCCTGCCACCGCTCTGGGCTTCAACCCCCCTGATTTGGACATCATGGGCAAGGCTCCCCGCTCCCCCAAAGAGCCCCTCATCTCTGGCTGGCTGTTCTTCAGGTACCTGGCCATTGGAGGTATGCAACTTTCAATTCTTCTAATTTATTTGTGATCCATTATAGGTTCACCATGCATTCATGCCATTCTACCTTCCCTGATTACCTCAGATTGCATTACATATTCTGCTCAATCTCTTTTTCTCTCAGGTTATGTTGGTGCTGCAACTGTTGCTGCTGCTGGGTGGTGGTTCATCTACTGTGACGAGGGCCCTATGGTCTCTTTCTACCAGCTGGTGAGTCAAGCATTATCTTAACTATAATGCGACAGGCAGTGTTGCAGTACTCAATACAGAGTCTAAGACCATATTTTATATGACTAGTTGAGATCAGCTCTTTCAAGTCAGAGAGTATACCAAATGCTCCTAAAAATATGGTCTTGAACTTGAGTACTGCAGCACTGGCTACAGGAATACAAAAGCTGCTGCCTGACATCTCTGAATGTTGAGAATTAAGCAATTGCTAACTACAAAATACAGTAACAACGTGATACATTTCACAATAAAATAATAATGCTGTACCTATTCTCTGTCACCAGTCCCACTTCATGCAGTGCACTGCTGAGAACGAGGACTTTGCCGGTATTGACTGCGGGGTGTTTGAGGCTGCTCCACCCATGACAATGGCTCTGTCTGTGCTGGTCACCATTGAGATGTGCAACGCTCTGAACAGGTCAGAACTGACCTACTCCAAACCCAAACATCACAAAGCAGCTCAATGTACTTTTTTTGTTGTTGTTGCCGATTGTAACATACATGTTTTTGCAGCTTGTCTGAGAATCAGTCTCTGCTGCGTATGCCTCCATGGAGCAATTTGTGGTTGGTTGGAGCCATGTCTCTCTCCATGTCTCTGCACTTCATGATCATCTATGTGGACCCTCTGCCTGTAAGTACTGCATCCATCCAGCATGCTAAATTTGGTTCAGTTTGTTTATCAATATCACAGGCTAAAGGGTCTGCCAGTAAGGGGCGACCAAAGACATATTTTCCCAGGAGACCATGATTAGGCCCGGCCCATAGACACTCACATTTCCCAAACGCTGCTGGATTTAATGGCAAATGCATTAAAGTGGCAATTCATTTGAAGTTTATTGCATCATTCTGTTTAAATCCAATTGCTTTTTATCATCTGTCATTTCTCATTTGCTAATCTCGGCCTTTTTTCTAACAGATGATCTTCAAGCTAACCCATCTCAATGTAGAACAGTGGATCGTTGTACTGAAGCTTTCTTTCCCCGTCATCCTCATCGACGAGCTGCTCAAGTTTGTTGCTCGCAACTACCTGGAGCGTGAGTAACAAACTGACAAATTTAGATTTATAATAATTAAATAAATGATAAATACATTTTCATGTAAATGTGTAACAGTTCCTAAATACTGATATTTAAACTAAATTAAACACTCTAAGCATATTTAAAATGTAACATACAAACACAAAACTAAATGTTAGTTAAAACAACTTACTGTATGTAATGAAGACTTGACTAACTAATTGAATATTAATAAACAAATAAATTCCCATGATGATTTATTAATTTCCCTTTTAAAATTGTATTCTCCTATACTTATCACTTTTAAACCCTCCTCTCTGCACCCCATTTTTTCCAGTGGTGTAAATATTCCTTCTCTTTTACCCTTCTCCTTCTTACTCTTTACTCAATCCCCTATTTAACCCCTCTTTATCTCATTCCAGCCTAATCATGTTCCTCTCCATATTCCTGTAACAAAGCAAGGTATCCCACAATCCTCTCGGTCTCTGCCTGCAGCCCTGTGTCTGTTTGTGTATAGACAAATTGTGCTATGTTCTTTGGCTTGTTGATTGACATGTAAATAGTATACTGTCAGTCATGGAGCTGAATCAGTGAATGACTACAGTAATGCTCCATATAGTAATACATGCCATTGTAGATGCTTAATGTCTTAATGCTAAATTCATCCTCATATGTGGTTCTGTCTGGTTAAAACTGTACAGATTCTGCTCAATTAAAGCAATTAGTTTAAAGAATATTTACATAATTATGACTTTAAAGATATTTAGGATTATGTGCAGCAAATCAATGTATGCCTATAATATATATATGCCTATATTATTCAAACTTTACAATAGTGTTGTGGACTAATCTTTATGGCATCCTGTCTCACATAACTGATTTTCTTCAACAGTGAAAGATGAGAATCTAGTGTCCAAAAAGTGGGACTGAAAAAGAGAAAAAGAAGAACTGAGAAAAACACAGAACGAGGAGTGAAAAAGTGAACACTGTGAACCAGTGAAAATCACCCATAAAATGTTAAACCTTATTGGAAAAATAAGGAAAAAAAAAAGTTATTTAAGTAAAAAGTGTTATGTATATGTATTAAAACTTAATATATATATTGTTAATAACAGTATATTCCAATGAAAATGCTATTCTTAAAATAAAGATGTGTATAAAAAACAAGCGTGGTCCGATACAGTCTTTTAGTTTATTCTTAATTTTTCATATTTAATGTGTTCAGATTTGTTACCAACATTGTGCTACATTTACACTAACATTTATTAGCCCCATTCAAACAGATTTAGTGTTTTATCACAATATCATTAACATATCATTGATCTTCCACTGCTCATTGGCTCAGGCACCAGATACTTCATAATGAACTGATGGCTCTTTCCAGTAAAGTGACTTTGGCCATAAACTGAATGCACAACTCATTACTGTAGAGATAATAGTATAGTGAGGTGTAACTGTAACACAAAATATATGCTGATTTAAGTGATGACACCTTTTCAGAATATACTGAGTTCTCGCTCTGCCAGAGAGAACGTTTTCACATAAAAATCATTTGAGGTATAAAAAATTTACATTACATGTTACATTTTCTTATGCTGTTTAAAGTTTTAATGTATTTATTGTAAAGTAAGATACATTTTATCTTTTAGTTTTAAGTTAACTGAAGGAATATGCTAACACTGTTGCTGGTGGTACTCAAAAGATTTCATCATGGCCGGGGACAATTGTAACACTAGTTATGAATAAAAATATTATGAACTAAAAGATTTAAAAATAACACAAATAAGCATGATTGCACTGGTAATTTCACAAAACATCATTAGATTATTATCTAGTCAAAAACTAGTTACAGTTAAAATATATATTAAATAGTCAAATATTTTAGTAAAAATGATGCATCTCATTTCTAACAGTTGTATTCATTACCTACTTTTACTTTAAAGCTGCAGTCCGTAGCTTTTTTGGGTTAAAAATTATCCAAAATACATATTTGAGAAAATACATAACCAGCCAGTGTTCAAAACTCTCTGCTTGCCTTAGCTCGATTCAAAGCGGTAAGCTTGTAATAATGTTTTTAATTCCAGTGGTACTGGTGGATTTCCGCGGGAGATTCGAGCATGTCTTTGCGTTATTACGTCACATCTGTACACATAAAGGAGTCTCGGCTAGTCGACTCGGCTATATTGGATATTGTGAGAATGCTGGAGGTGGAGAATTATAGCTTTTTCTCACAGCACTTGATATAATTAAACATCAATTTGATGGCGGATCCAGAAAGGTTCAAATGACAATCGCCAGTGACAACAGATTCACCCGCTGTAAAATGCAAAAGACTTCAGGGACTTATACAGAAAAAAAGAGACTGCAACGAACCGGCCCATGCGAGAACAAGGATACATATTGGAAGGACATTACATGTAGTCACGCAATGCTGACGTTGTTAGCATTAACAATTTGAGAACAAAGTATAATTTGCACGGTTTTGCGTGATATGATAAGCGATTTTTAGATTTAATCAGCACGATTTACTGCAATGTCAGAACCAGAACAAAAGTGGATGTTTCTTAATTGTTCAGGTGACATTTCCCGGTGAAAATTATTATATTGGTCACTTCCAAAAAGAATAATCTGTGATTCTGAATGCCAGTATCCACACCGGCGCGGTGACTGACAGCTGCACAATCTCCTCAAACATTGTGTTCATCCACACTGTGCCGTGTCGAGGGTGTTGAAGTACAACTCACGTAAAGTTGATAATTCCGCGAATGACTGCAATTGCAGATTTCGAACAGAGATGGCGACAAAGAGGAAAAACGCCGGACTGCAGCTTTAAACAATTTTTACAGAGCTAATAAAATAGATTAGCACCAAAAATATTATTAATATAATTAAAGCCACATGTTATAATATTTTATATTATGAGTCTTTATCAATATATGTTTATTTATGGTACTGTTACTTTGGCACATAGATTTTATTTTCTTATAGCAAAATATGTCAGGTTGATCTATAGTAGTTTATTATAATAAAACAAAAAGAAAAAAAGTACAATTGCCCCCAGTCTCCATCCCCAGTATGTTTTTGGTTTTGATTTTTGCTGGTGACAAGTGCTGATAATGACTTATATTTATATCTGTCAGTATCTATTAGGAAAGAAGGATTAGGCCAGCAAGATACAACTTACACTGCAGTAGCATTAAGTCTAGTACAGACAGTAGTTAGAATTTCACAAAATTCAAGTATTAGCAATTCCAATTTGTTCAGATTGATAAGGAATCATGTTTAGCCGGTATGTTTTGAGATCATTAGAAGCATTGTGAATCCATGTGTGCAGGAATGGTCTTCGATCAATGTCAATGCATTTCTTTTAATGTAGGCAGCCCACCTCAACTTGGCCCTTTCTGAGGACCACCTCTTTGCCCACAGAGGCTCTTCCTTTCGGTCTTCCGAAAAATAGTCACCTGTTCTTATATTTATTGTTTTATGTGGCATCTGCAGGTAAATCAGTGACTTCTTCAATCTCCTCCCCTAGGATCTGCTTGACTTGGTTCAATGATTCTGCTTGGCGAATCTGCTCCAACTTCACCTGAGAATGCAGAGAGAGGAAATTAAAAACTATTTAAAAACCGTGCAAACTTTAATACAAAATCAAACTGTCACAGTTATAAAGTATATAACTGGATATAAACAAGATTTGTGAGCTCACTACAGAATACAAAATTGCAGCAGGACATTCAAGTCATGTCAAAAATTAATTAACTACAAAAGGTCATTATTTTTTAAAGTTTATTTTTACTTGTATGAGGGCAAATGTTTTCTAATCGTAAAAATATTACACAATGTGTAATTTAATATGAATGTTGGGGTATATTTGTTTTATTGTTTTTACATTTATTTTTATAAAAACAGACATACACAGAACACAATAATAAAATATCTATAAATAAAGTTGTTTTTTGTTAAGGCTTCCTCCTGCCTTATGCTCTCTCATTGAATGAGATACATTACTGTAGCATGGCTCAAACTACAAGAATGTAGCAATAAATTCAAACAAATTATCATGACACGTCAAAAATTGAATCGCCGAACTGCTCATGGTTAAAGTTTTAGTGCAGACCTCGAAGTTTTGTCAGCAATAGCAAATTAAGAGTAGAAATCATGTAGTGAGAGCACATCCTTATGTGTACATCAAAAATTGATTGTCAACAGAGACTGCATTTATAGAAGTAGGGGTGTCGCAATATACCGGTGTTGACGATAATCGTGATATTCAAAGCATGAAATATCGACATCGTGTTAATTTAGAGTGTGCCAATATACTGGTATTGGCGATAACCACAATGTTTAAAATAAATAGGGCTGTTATGATAACATGACACTTAAATAGCTACTCCAGCGCGAGTACCTGGTTGACCTCTCAGGTGGCTGTATTGCACCCACTGACACCTATCAAACAAGAAGACGCAGCCCGGGCCGCGCAGCTAGCCTACTCTGAAGAATGTCATCTGAGCGAGAGAGTGAAACACTCTGTCCACACCCGAAAAAAGTAAGCTCGCCTGTATGGGAGTTCTTCGGCTCAAAAGAAAACAGCACTTTAAAGGGGGTCGCACACCGGACGAGAAGCGCAGCGCCACGTCTTTAAAATTCGAACACATTTTCTCTTCGAGAGTAGCCTACACACACCGGTTGTGCACCATTCGGCGTCTGTCCGCAGCGCCCAGCAACGGCTCAGGACCTTGTTCAAAATCCTGCTGCGACACAGAGCGCCATTTACATAATTTTATATTAAATTTACATTACATTTGTCTCAAATCAGCGTAAATGACTTCACCCTGTGCTGCAACATTTAGTTTTACATTCATTTATAGAAATCAGCTGCTTGAATGAAAATTGCTGGTGTTATCGGATTTTCAGGAGAGATTCTCAATTCATTCAGTTAATGGATGCTCTGAGGTAAAGTGTTCAGATCACAGACTCAGCAACTATTGCATTTAATTGTACAGTACAATCATAACATAGTACAGACATTATCTTAATTTCATGCTGGCCATAAACTGAGAAAGTGCGCGTCCGGTGTGCGATACCTCGAGTTGTCCTACACGCGACGCGGCGCTGCAGAATGTGTAGCCACCAACCTTTTTACCCATCTCCGTGTCCATCACCCAGCGGATTACGCAATTTTACAGAGAATAAATTGCGATTATTTTACTTATTTATTATTATTTAACTTCACATGCTTGTCTTCCTTCACAAAAATTTGCCATGGATTGAGTACGCAAGAAGTAAAAAATACATGCGGCTTGTGTTTATCAGTACCCTACCCTTATATATTATGTTTGTTGGGTAAAGTAAAAGTAAAAATGAATTTGACTGATAACTACAGATATCGCGATATATCGATATTGTGAATTCTTTTGGCCACAATAACCGTGGTGTGAAAAATCTAACATTGTGACAGCCCTAATTAGAAGAGTAAGAACTTCATGCTGATCCAGTACCTGCAGTGACTGTGAGAGATGCACAAAATCCTTCTGCACAGCCTGACTAGTGTCTAGTTGAGTGCGCAGACTGATCACCTGACTGCGATACTCTAAACACTGCTGCTGTAACACCGCCTGAAAGATAAAGAGAGATGTAAACTACCATAATAAAATTCAATAATATTCAACTTTACACACCAAGATGCAGGCCTACCTTCTCCTGGATGTGAGATTTGTTCTCTTTCTGAAGGTGAGCAAGCGCCACCCGCAGACCCTGCACCTCCACGCGACACTCCTGCAGCTCAGCCTTCAGCTGCACACACAGATGGAATAATGGCTACGTTCTCACTGGAATACTGGCATTGCGCATCGTATATACACAGATAGTATTTGAAACAGTTATGCAATATACAAAAAACATTTTCAACAGCACTATTTTACATGGTTGTCACATGGCCGTATTATGTGCATGTTTAATTTTGTGAGAGCATCCAATTATAAGGGATGAATGGGATTATTTTTCCATTTCGTAATCCAATTTTGTGTAAAAATGTCTTAACTCTTCGTAATGTGATTAAATAATGAGACGGTCATGTTATAAAAAAAAAAGTATATTTAGAATTAGAATTTATATACAACAACAATAATACACCGATGATATCACTGGAAATGGTAGGCCAAGTTGGACTAAAAGCAAAGGTCATAAACTTATAGAGAAATCCTACACAGGTTACAATGGCACTGAAGTACAAACAAATGGGATTTGACGTTCAAAAGACATTTGAAGGATTTAATTAATTGTGAACCTCCCCTCAAGGAGGAGACCCCCCCCCCCCCCCCCCCCCCCTTAGAATTAAAGGTAGTCATACCTTTTCCCTTTGGATCTGTATGCGGTCCGTCTCTACTGTCAGGCTGGCAAGCTTGACTGAGGGAGAGATTTTAATCACAAACTGACACTAAAATATCAACAGCTACCCTTAAATAACAACATAGGATCTACACTAGAACTGACTAAAAGTCAAAGTATATGTGACTTGCCTTCTAAAATCTCTGGAGGAGCAGATGTGACAAGAAAGATGAGGAGAGGAGGTGAGAGAGGAGAACACACACGCGCGTCAATGCAGAGAAAACAATCAAAAGCTTCAACAAACAGAACAATCTGGCAGACATGAATCAAATGTTTTATTGCGCAAAACTATATAGCTTGAATGCAATGTAAGTCACTTTGGATTAAAGCATCTGCCAAATGTATAAGTGTGAATGTAATGTAATATATTATAGACTGACCGCTCTCCTCTGTGCGTGTCTCCAGCTGTTCCTGTAGGTTGACAATTTCAATACGAAGCCTCTCCTCACAGTGAGCTGCCTATGTATAGAGATATACAATGACTTAAAGACTCATAAACACAAATACACACACAACATTCAATTCTTCCAGACCTCTGGCTTCCTTTCGTCAAAATACACACTCGCATACCTCTAGAGTTGGACTGTGAGGCGGAAGGCTATTTTCATCCACATCAGTGTCTTCACCTTTCAACTTGGAGAGTTCATTACAGACTCTCTTCTGAGAGTAAGACAGCTCTGCCTGGTTAAAAAAATGCATGCAGACTCTTAAAGATCTCATCAGGACTCATCAGGATTTTGGCTCATGGAGTCAACCTACTACTCACCAATCTGCTCTGAACAGCATTTTGTGACTGGCTAAAAGATTTCTGTAGGTCTTGAAGGAGGGCCTCAGAAGTCTGCACCTGAGACTGAAGTAATGTCAACTGCAATAAACAAAAGCACAAAGATATCAATATATGAGAATTTGTTCTGCAAGCAATCATCTGCAGCCATGCTATAAGAAGTATGCTCAGAGAATTTAAACCACATTAGAAAAATATATTATATAAAAAGTTTGGTGTCAAACTTTAAGTAAAATTAATACCTTTATTCAGCTTCAGGATACATTAAATTGATCAAAAGTGACAGTAAATACCTTTATAACGTTGCAAACGATTTCTATTTCAATTAAATGCTGTTCTTTTGAACTTTCTATTCATCAAAAGATATTTTGTTTCCACAAAAATATTAAGCAGCACAACTGTTTTTTATCATGAAATAAGAAATTGAGCAGCAAATCATCATGATTTCTAAAGGATTGTGTGACACTGACTGAAGACTGGAGTAATGATGCTGAAAATTCTGCTTTGCATCACAGGAATAAATTACACTTTAAAATAGACTAAAGTTAAATCTTACCCACTCTAAAGTTTCGAACAGTAGTATATTGTATAAAGCTGTATCTCAAATTATTTCTTTATCTTACAAAAGGGAGAATTTAAGACAGTTAAAGTCCATAAGTGCAATGTAATCCAGACATAAGAGATGCTAAAATAATTTTTTGCATATCTGTGCTTTTTAGTGACGAAAGACAGGAACTGAGAGTTTCTGTACCTGTTTTTGTGTCTCTGTGCTTTGCACATCCAGTTCTCTCTCCAGATCAGCTTTCTGCTTTCGGAGCTCTGTCACCTCCTCTTGAAGCTCTACAAGCTATAATGGCATGGCAAAATATTCAACAAATAAGTTGAGAGATGGTGGCATCACGCATTGACATCAGTGATCTCTAACGCACTGATTAACAAACAACAGGCTAGAAATGTCCCACACTTTTTTAATGGCAAATGTCTATGATGTTTTCAACTGTTTGCAACTTACTGGATTAGGGCTGCACTCATGAAGAGCAATTTCTAATTGATAAAATATCTTACAGTCAATCGTAACTAGGAAACCTTTCCATTACTTTTTAGTATTTTGTCAATTTCAAGGCCTGGTAACAGCAGTTTTAAAATTTCCTGATACAGTTGTCCATGGCAATAAAAAACCTGCTAGAAAGACTAGAATTATACTGACATGTTCTTGCAATTTGTCCCAGTCAGCATGCGAGATCAGCTTGTGTCCTGGTGGTGGCAGGTAGATTGCTTCAGGCACCAGCGTTCCTGTGGACACTAGTGAGGCGGTGTCTTCTTGAGGAGGCGGATGTCGGGGCATGGAGGGAGTGTCCAGAGAGAAAGAAGACATGGAGGCAGAGTCACAGTGCTGGGGGAAATAGTCCATCATAAGGCCTGTTGTCTCTGTATCTGACGTCTCTCCCAACAGCTCCAGTGGATCAGAGTCGGACCCTGAGCCCTCATGGTCAGAACCTCGCGGGGGAGAGGAGTCACCCTGTGGCCCCTCACTGTTGGGAGAGGTACCCTCCAGCTTGCCCTTTTTTAAGGTGCCCTTATTGCCCTACATGCACAATGAGAAGTGAGAAATGATTTAGAAAAAGACTAAAAGTGAAAGAGGGACACTGTAATACAGAAAGTGAAAGAAGTTTGCAATAATATGACTAGGGGAAAAATACTTGTTTCCTTTTTGAGACATAGGCCAAGTTGTTGTTTTTTTTTTCATGTTTTTTTGACATGAGTCCTTGGATAAGAGAGAGAAAAAAAGAAAAAAGAGGAGGGACACAGAAACACACTAACCTTAGTGTCATGGGGCAGAACGGCTCTCCTCCACTGTGCTCGCTCTGACTGCAAAGCAGATAATCTGGCCTCATACTGAGCAGCTGTTTCTAAGGTGGGGAAATAAAAGAAGAACTGGATGTCAAGGAATTGGAATCAGTCATTGAGTAATTATGAAACATTTCCTGTCGCTTTAGTTCTTTGGGTAAAATTCTACTTCGTGACTGAAAGTGGAAAAACACTAGTTTACGCGGCTGCCCAAAGACGTGGCTCGTCGCACGTGAGGCTGTAGTGTGTGTGTGTGTGTGTGTGTGTGTGTGTGTAACCGTCCCAACCCAGATAGATAGAAAATATGTGGAAATTATCCAAAGTGTACCTATGTGCCAGACTCGATGCCAGAAGCACGCGATGCAATATTTTTGACAAGATAATTGCTGCCAAGACCGGTAACACGGTAAATCTTATAAGGCACTTAGAAGCACACAGAATACACTTCAGAGTAGAAAGTTTATCCGTCTTCGACTGCAAGAACTGGAGCGCGTCACAAATGAACCGAAACTCAGCATATAGGGATCTCCCAGTCACGTGACCCCTTGCCGCGTGTCAGCCATTTTGACGGAATACATCCGTCAGCTACTCAGTGGCGGATCTATTATTAGGGGTGGGCCACCCCTAATAATAGATCCATTGCCGTGGGTAATATATATTATTAGTATATTATTATACTAATAATATAATTATTAGTATATTATTATACTAATAATATAATTAGTATATTATTATACTAATAATATAATTATTAGTATAATTATTTTTATAATTAGCCTAAATATTGCAATACTTTGCGCTACAGTATTGATATAATTGCGTGCGCAAAATATCTCGATAATGAACAGAATCGATTTTTTTCCTCCACCACTATCTATTATTAGCGCAGCGTCCGTCAGCTAACTCTTCACGTCATGTCATCGCACTTATTATTAGCATCACAAAAAGAAATAGCCTGTACAAGAGGAAGATAAAGGAATTAAGAATCATAGATCCATATGAACCACCACAAGTTCTTTTTACAGGCATTAAATGTGTAGAAAAAGTTCCTGACATTGAGTTCGGTGACATTTACAGCTACCTTATTCACTTCCAATCGTGCTACACCGGAGCTTCATTAAAAGCATACAAAAGCAGGCTATCGGTATCACGAGTCAGGATGGGTCAGCAACTCTTTGATCTGGACTACAGCGGGGAAGGATTTTTCAATCATCACCGCAAAGGTTAATCAATGTATTTTTATCACCAAATTATATGCCTACCTATAATAATTTTTAAACTGAGTTTACAGGGAAAAACACAAAATAAAAATCACCAACAAAAGATTAAGTGCATCTTAAATGAATTTGTTGAATCTAGTTTGATCCAAGAAAAACGAAATAATATGCGTATATACTTTTCTATACTTGTAACTATCATACAGTGACACTGACTGTTGTCACTGGAGTATGATAAACTGTCATTGAGACTGTCTCAACCTGTGTTTCTGACGATTTATAAGAAGTGTCAAATAAAATACAAGATCAGCTTTCGGAATAAAGACATTCCTTTTGTATGATCACGTATCTGATCGCATCCAACTGCATAGCATCGCTCAGGCATGATAGGAATATTTCGCGACGAGCTGTATTATCACCGGCAGTTTAGCATTTTCTATTCCGTCAAGATGGCTGCGCCAAATGGGGTAGGATACTTGCCTCACAGACATGAGAAATAGGCCTATAGACGGTCAAAATATGTCTACTTTTAAACGAAACAATTAGAAATAAATAGTTTGATTACCCAGTGTTTCCCAAACCTGTCCTGAAGCACCCCCAACACTGCATGTTTTCTTTGTCTCCCTAATGAAATACAACTGATTTAACTCATCAGCTCATTAACCCATGTGATAATGAGCTGATGAGTTGAATCAGGTGTGTTTGATTAGGGAGACAAAGAAAACATGCAGTGTTGGGGGTGCTTCAGGACAGGTTTGGGAAACACTCCATATAGGCGCGCGCATTTACTACTGCAGGAATGATGAGTCAGCATCGCCATAATCACCTTTGCAGCCAACACACTTAGTAAACACTTGTTCATTAATAAACAATTAAAATATCTCCTTGCTATTGTTTCCGGACACATCCATAATCATTAGGCTACTTTCGCCAGTGCTTTGCGGCAAGCTTCATGTGTGCTGAGCGCGAGGCATATATCCCACCCCCCAGTAGCCTATATTTAATTTAATTCACATTTATTTGTATAGCATTTTTCACAATACATATCGTTTCAAAGCAGCTTTACAGAAAATGCATGTGTCTAAATTACAATTTAGAGTGATCTGTTATCAGAGGTGACAGTGTGTAATGCATTTCAATTCATTTTCATTCAGTTTCATTGTTAAACAATGCATTAAAGGGGTCATATAATGGTACCTGCACTTTTTCAAGTTGATTGTACTGAAATGTGTGTTGGCAGTGCCTGTACACAATCATCATATAATGATAAAAATACATCCAGTGTTTTTGTTTTAATCTCCTTATATGTTTTCCCCTGCCTCAAATCAAGCCATTCGACCGTGTGACGTCACACGGTCGGAAGCCCCTCCCGCGATTGTTGATTGACAGGCGCGTTTCAACAGACCCGCCCTCGCTCGTGAGCCAGCTGTCAATCATAGTCTGCGCGGACCGGCGCGGTCATTGTTGATATGCTGGAGCACTGTCTATGAGCAGAATGGAGTCTAAGCGATTGTGGTGTTCTGTTCTTGGGTGCAATAAGGAACCCAGCAGTCATTTTCATGTTCCTAAATCCGAACCGCTGAAGACGCAGTGGCTGAGTTTTGTTTTCGAAGGGAATATTCCCCACGAGCAACGTCAATGCTTTCATGTTTGCGCGAATCATTTCTCAGCAGACTGCTTTATAAACGAGGATCATTATAAAGCTGGTTTTGCTAAGGAGCTGCTCCTGAATAAAGGATCCGTACCAGATATTCGTGTTCCTGCTGAACCTCTAGAACAACTGAAGTGAGTGTAACGTTTTATTAAACTTTATATTAATATTTATATCTTTGCAAATCGCTTCACGATGAATGAGTCTAAGGTTTACACTCAGGGTACATTACTGCATGTTTTCTATGTACGACGTTCTCCATATAATTCATAATCCCACGTTTATAATGAACAATGCGTTATGGTTATTGTGTTACAAACGTGTACGCACAGAACAGAGAGGCGGAGTGAGCAAAGCTCATGATCATTTAAAGTCATATGCACTGAAACGGCATGCTGAAAACAGAGCTGTTTTTGACCAGGTAAAATAAGAGTTTTCTTACAATACTAATGAGAATTTTTAATTAAAGTATATTACAAACTTTTAATTTAGACCCTAAAGAATTATACTAGCTTGTACAAAAATGCCATTATATGACCCCTTTAAGTTAAGGAAGAAACAATGAGCTCATTGAAGTAAAGAATACATGTTGTTAAATGATTAGGAAACATAGAAAACTTTAGCATTGGTGCTTTTTTACATTCTCAAAATATGTGTGTAAAAAGTCAACAAACTAAAAAAAAAAAAAAAATTAGGTAACGTTATATTGTTAAAACTAGGGGTGCTCCGATCAGGATTTTTGGGGTCGATCACCGATCGCCGATTACTGGAAGCTGTATCAACCGATACCGATCACCGATTACAGGGTCTATTTGAAGACTTCTTTTTATCATGTAGCATTACTTATTAAACTATATTTAACAACAATGTACATTAAGTATTACATTTAAGAGAAGACAATGCATAATGAATTGACACCTGTGTATTTATTTGCAAGCAACATGTATTAACATAGCAGCTTGGTTATTGGGAGCAGCTTAGGGCTTGACATACAACTTTCCTGTAGAATATAAAATAAATAAATAAATAAATAAAAGACAGAACATCTGAGTCTTTAAATTTAGCTTTAGACTACTTTAAACTAATAACAGCAACAAAAAAGGCTATAGCCAAAATAATGTTTTCTAATACACTTAAAGGACCACAGGTAGTAAAGTACACAGCAACAAAAAACAAAAACAAACAAAAAACTAACAACTTCCATATCTGTATCTATAACTTTGCTTTTTTCTGGGATGCTTAGTCAGATTTTGTGGGCATTTAGAGAGGAAGAGAGAGGTACAGAAACCTTTTGTGTGTGTGTGTGTGTGTGTGTGTGTGTGTGTGTGTGTGTGTGAAGAACCCTTGCAAAATTATTTTAAAACAGATTAAGAAAGCCACCACTACTGGTCATATCTATGGTTAGATTGATTTTTTTTAGATCCAGTGAAGTCTGTCCCACAATGTACCTAATATAAATAAATAAAACCTCTTCAGTTAACTAGCAGATCATTCATTTAGTTCGCTATTAAATAAGAAATCTAGCGCTAAAATGTGTTTTTGAACTCAAGCTGTGCGCTCGTTGCCGCGGCGATCAGTTGCATGGATACAGTGCTCTGTGTCTCGCGCAGTCTTTACTCGGACGCGCGCTTCAATCTATCGCCGTTGCGGACTCTATTCATTCCGGTGTAATCAGAAAATAAAACACAAACGTATCCTTGCTTGATATAACTGTAACCGCTGATGAACATATTCAGTTTTGATGAGAGAAAAAAATATGTACGAGTGATTTGACGGACGCACGGGGAGGGGGGGTTGGATACATTTTTGTCATTGGTTGTTGCGTTAAATCTTACCCAGATACAATAGTGCTATTTTCTGAATGGCTATTGTGTAGCTCGACGAACAACACCAGAGGAAACGCGCTTGATTCATGCCGGTTCCACAGTGAGAGCGGCGCGGCCAGAGTTTTGGCCGCTGCGGCATATTAAATATATTACAAATAGTTTTTCAGCGTGAGAAATACAATGTGTGGCGGGAGAGCGTGACAAAAGACCGAAATGAGTGACTGTCACGCTCAATGCGTGACACTTGAGAGCCCTGTTGTAGAATTGCCAGACCGGTGAAGCCATTTTTACCAGGGCGTAAAAAAATTGTCTCGCGAGTTTTGCGTCATCTGATCGGCTTTTCTGGATCGGCCTTTATAGAGACCGCCGATCACACATCCCAAAGCAATTATCGGCCGATCATGATCGGCGCCCGATCAATCGGAGCACCCTTAGTTAAAACTGGTTACATAAAATTGGTATCGGAAAAAGTATCGTTCAGGAACCGGTATCGAAAATGTTGTTACGATACCCAGCCCTACTTGGATATATACACATCACCATAGGGTAGAAAAGACTATCACAACTTCCATTTCATGCTGACTTTAACCCTCTGGGGACCAAGAACGCACCCGTGCGTTTTGGCAGATTTTTTTCACATAGCAGAAAAATAGACTTAAACTACTCCATCATTTCTGGTCATACAGAGTTATGAAACATATATAAAAAAACTGTTAAATGTCTACTTTTTTATGTGCCCACCTACAATCGAAATAAAATATTGTGCTTTTGTAAAATAAAGAAAATAAACAGGGTGTGCGTTCTGCCTCTCCGTGACCCACGGAGAGCGCGTGCTATTCAAACGGTAATGATCTGAAGCAACACATTGAGACATGTAAAACGCCCATATAAACTCTGTAAACACACTTTATTTAGTCAGATTAATGTACTGTCGTCTTGCGCGGCTGTGAGGAATAATCCTGGGACATTTACCTAACTCAGAACAAGTGCTGGTTTATTTTCACTTCGAGGAGCCAGCTGAACTGTAAGTGTTTTATGCTTGTGCTTTGTTCTAATCGCGATATATAATAACGTTAGTGTCTGTGAACGCAAAAATAGCCTACTGTTTAAATTTGAATCATGTTTCTGTGTGTGTGTGTGTGTGTGTGTTTGACTAGTTTAGGATAGATTATAAAGTTTTAACTCTAAAATAGACATCAAATAAGCTTTTGTTAGCAGTTTCTGCTCATATGTTAAATATATAGTATGTTTTGTAAAAAATAAACTTATCAACTGTTAGTGTTTGTTCCAGCTAGGCTATATCAAAATAATGAATCCTTAACTTTGAAATAAGTATAATAAAAAATGTATTGGCATACTTTAAAAAATAATACTTTATAAGAGATTTATGGAAAAAGACAATTTTCTTTTCAAGATGTTTCCAACTCTAACTTTGAACCAATTCTATTGAATGGCCCATATAACCTATTTGAACAGGATTTGTTTCCAGGTATGACTAAAAAATGTGCTTTTGACTTTCATTTATATTTTGATTATATATGTCTGTGTGTACAGGTCCTTCTAAAAAAATTAGCATATTGTGATAAAGTTCATTATTTTCCATAATGTAATGATAAAAATTAAACTTTCATATATTTTAGATTCATTGCACACCAACTGAAATATTTCAGGTCTTTTATTGTTTTAATACTGATGATTTTGGCATACAGCTCATGAAAACCCAAAATTCCTGTCTCAAAAAATTAGCATATCATGAAAAGGTTCTCTAAACGAGCCATTAACCTAATCATCTGAATCAACTAATTAAAGCTCCAGTCGGCAAGTCTGGCAGATTGAGTGGATTTAGTAAAATTTTGAATGTTTACAACTCTCATGCCCCTCCCCCACTATCAACGGATACCCTCCCACCCAGTTCATGCTCGTCAGTGCCAGCTCTGGTCAGTGCGTGTGCACCAGATTTTCAGTGAACGCCAGGGCTCTCAAGTGTCACGCATTGAGCGTGACAGTCACTCATTTCGGTCTTTTGTCACGCTCTCCCGCCACACATTGTATTTCTCACGCTGAAAAACTATTTATAATATATTTAATATGCCGCAGCGCCCAAAACTCTGGCCGCGCCGCTCTCACTGTGGAACCGGCATGAATCAAGCGCGTTTCCTCTGGTGTTGTTCGTCGAGCTACACAATAGCCAATCAGAAAATAGCACTATTGTATCTGGGTAAGATTTAACGCAACAACCAATGACAAAAATGTATCCAACCCCCCGTCGGCTGGGTGTCACTCTTACCTGTCTTCAAAACTTGAGAGCCCTGGAACGTGCCCGTCTCATCAGCATCCATCAACACCATGGAGTATTTGGAGGTATGCTGTCCTGGCTAATGTACCGATAGATTGCATTTGCTGACGTCATTTATACTCTAAATGAGCTTACTTGATTTTCCGCCATCACTCTTCGTTACTGCGCGAACTTCAGGCGTGTGCATGTGATTGTAACGTGCGCGAGGGGTGGCGTGTGCCCGATCTGTGATTGACAGTCAGATCTCACACCCCCCTGCGCTGATTGGACATGAACCGGGAGCTGTGGATTTTTGCAAAACAAATAACAAGCTCCAGGTGGAGTTAGAAGCTCGGGGTTTTTTCTAAAACCACTTTATTTATGTTGTTCTGGCAGATTATAGTGTCGATTTCACTGAATATGATCAAAAAAATGTTGCCGACGGCAGCTTTAACTCTAAACACCTGCAAAAGATTCCTGAGGCTTTTAAAAACTCCCAGCCTGTTTCATTACTCAAAACCGCAATTATGGGTAAGACTGCCGACCTGACTGCTGTCCAGAAGGCCATCATTGACACCCTCAAGCAAGAGGGTAAGACAGAAAGAAATTTCTGAACAAATAGGCTGTTCCCAGAGTGCTGTATCAAGGCACCTCAGTGGGAAATCTGTGGGAAGGAAAAAGTGTGGCAAAAAACGCTGCACAACGAGAAGAGGTGACCGGACCCTGAGGAAGATTGTGGAGAAGGACCGATTCCAGAGCTTGGGAGACCTGCGGAAGCAGTGGACTGAGTCTGGAGTAGAAACATCCAGAGCCACCGTGCACAGGCGTGTGCAGGAAATGGGCTACAGGTGCCGCATTCCCCAGGTCAAGCCACTTTTGAACCAGAAACAGCGGCAGAAGCGCCTGACCTGGGCTACAGAGAAGCAGCACTGGACTGTTGCTCAGTTTTACATGTCATTCGGAAATCAAGGTGCCAGAGTCTGGAGGAAGACTGGGGAGAAGGAAATGCCAAAATGCCTGAAGTCCAGTGTCAAGTACCCACAGTCAGTGATGGTCTGGGGTGCCATGTCAGCTGCTGGTGTTGGTCCACTGTGTTTTATCAAGGGCAGGGTCAATGCAGCTAGCTATCAGGAGATTCTGGAGCACTTCATGCTTCCATCTGCTGAAAAGCTTTATGGAGATGAAGATTTCATTTTTCAGCACGACCTGGCACCTGCTCACAGTACCAAAACCACTGGTAAATGGTTTACTGACCATGGTATTACTGTGCTCAATTGGCCTGCCAACTCTCCTGACCTGAACCCCATAGAGAATCTGTGGGATATTGTGTAGAGAAAGTTGAGAGACGCAAGACCCAACACTCTGGATGAGCTTAAGGCCGCTATCGAAGCATCCTGGGCCTCCATAACACCTCAGCAGTGCCACAGGCTGATTGCCTCCATGCCACGCCGCATTGAAGCAGTCATTTCTGCAAAAGGATTCCCGACCAAGTATTGAGTGCATAACTGAACATAATTATTTGAAGGTTGACTTTTTTTGTATTAAAAACACTTCTTTTATTGGTCGGATGAAATATGCTAATTTTTTGAGATAGGAATTTTGGGTTTTCATGAGCTGTATGCCAAAATCATCAGTATTAAAACAATAAAAGACCTGAAATATTTCAGTTGGTGTGCAATGAATCTAAAATATATGAAAGTTTAATTTTTATCATTACATTATGGAAAATAATGAACTTTATCACAATATGCTAATTTTTTTAGAAGGACCTGTATATATATTGCATTCTTTCTTGTGACACACCAGAATGAAATGAATGCATCTTTGTCTTCTCAAGTGAGAATCACCTAATTAAACATGAGGGGGTTGGGCCGTTCACGCCCATTCGCATATTGCCTTTCAAACAAAAAAATGTTTTTCACAATTTAAAGCAATCTATGGTGTTATGTGAATGATTAGAAAGGATGATTTTCAGATCATTTTGAAGCAAATACTCTAGGCCACAACTTCCATTAGTCAAAAGTCTTCTGGACACATATTTAGTATGTGTTTTGTGGCCTTATTTCAGAAACTTTCATTTTTAGTTTTATCAATAAACATGCATAAACAAGATTCTCTCAAAAATACAAACATGTACATACATGTTGCTCACATATTATGGTAGCCCTGTTTGTGCTAAATAGAGTGTAATTTCACCTGTGCCAGTAATATGTTTATAAGCAACTGAAAAAAAGCACAAATGTCAGGGCATGTCAAAACATCTCAAGGACCCCAAAAACACCTTTGTCCCCAGAGGGTTAAAACCAGTCTGTGGGATTTCTGACACATACAGAAGCTCCACTTAACCAATCAACAATCCCCAAACATACTTGTGCTTTACCTCCACCTTAGGTGGACCATATTAATGCAATTCCTCCCTCCCTCCCTCTCACTCTTCACCTCTCAGAGCCTCCTGCAAGGACTGAATCTCCTGGTCGCATTGTTTTTGCAGATCCTGCATCTCCTCCTGTTTGCTCAGCTCACAGATCCTCGCCACACCCTGCCAGTGTTCCAGCTGAGCTCGGCACTCGATTAGCTGCGTCTGTAGTTCTGCAGAGAAACAAATACAGGACTTCTGAAACTCCTCTAAATAGTAGCCATGTTCCCTTTCTTTTCCTCCGTCTCTTTTTTAAAGAATCGTTTCAAACAGGTGCATAATATGAAAACAGGTGCATAATATGAAAACAGGTGCGAGACAGATAAGTGACACACATGAAAGAGCTCTACTTCATTAACAAGATGGATTTTGCCAAAAGCAGATTAACCCTAAAAGTAGCCTAAGGTTAATTGATTTGATTTGTCCAATGCCTATTCAAGATTTAAACCTGACACATGGCAAATATTCTTATATTGACTCTAGTCGTAAACACCTGTTGATTTATGCTGCACCGCTTTTCTGCTATTATTCTTATAAATAGAAAACGGTCCACAATTTTTGTAAAACCTATATAAAATGTAATGAGGTCTGTACGCTTTATTTAAGCGTTGTCATCTACATGATTGGATATGTTTGCAGGTCGAGTTCAAAATGGTCATTACTTACGGATTTATGCTATCGTGCTATCGGAATTATCGTAAATAAGTTAACGTTACTAGTTTTCCCCTCTCAAGTCGAAATTTGAATGCGACGAGCTCGTAATGACGACATCAGAAGTGGGAAGTAGGAAATTTCCGATAGCACACGAAGACAGCGTTAATTTAAAAAATCGCGGAATAACTGACAACATTTTTTAACTTACATCGACACACTGTAATTTAACATGTACTAATATGTTCATACCATCATTCTCCTCACTGCGCGATGCTGGTGTGTCCGACACTTCCATGGTCTCAAGTCATTTGTCTCGATATTTTCGTTTAGTTTCGATATTTTTCCCTTCGTTTGCATCCGTCTTCCTTTTCCTGTGTGAAGTGCAGCAGGGCCGGGCTTCAACAAACTGCACCAAGAGTTCAGGAAACAACTTTCCCCGGTTCAATCCTGCGGATGTTACCTAATCATCCTCCCTAGAGCCAGCCAGCCAGCCAGCTAGCCAACCAAACACACACACGCAGACTGGTTTAAATCTAGTGAGCTGAGCATCACAGACCGCGCTTTTGGGCCTCATAGGCGTCCGAAGACTGGGAGCGCGCGCCTGTGATGCTGTCTAGGTAGGCATCTCACTAGATTATGAGACGGATCCAGAGAGGATGTGGACGATCCAAGAGATCCCATGAGGTCTTCGTTGAAAATATATGCAGTCATGACGTTTAATGTTTATTTTTTTTTAAAGCATTGTTTTGTCAATTCAATGACAAAAACGAGTGAAAAAAATCGTTGGGGGAATATAATTTCTATATTCACTATATAAATCTCCATGACCAAATACTTTAAATTACAATACTCGTAAAGGCTTGACTAAGTATTTTACTCTAACAATTTGGGCTCAGGCCAATAATGGTCACATGATTTTGTTTAACATTAGATTCTGATTTCATAATATCTAAAATATACAAATTACAGCAAAATAAAGAATCGGAATTTTTTTTTTTTTTTTTTTACATCTGTAATGCACAAACACACTAATGCAACAGATTCCAACGAGGATTTGGATGTTGACTTTGACCTAGTTAGGAATCTTTCAAGCCCTTGCTTTGAAAGTACCTGAATGCCAGTTAAAACCAATACACATATTTATTATATTTTATTATTCACAACCGCAATAAGTTGACATAAAAGTGTAGGAAACCATGGTATACAAAAGCCAGCTTCAATATTTCTATTAAAATTGACAATGATGTGAATAAATACCAGGAGTCATTAGAATATCATGCCATATATGAAGGGCTCCTTATTCTTCAGTCATTGTGGTAATTTACCATACAATACAGAGTATTTTAGGTACAAGACAGAGAAGAGGATGACTTTAAAAATGCTAATACACAACAATAGGATATTTCAGAGCATTAGGTCCAATCTCATAATGTGCCACTTCAATTAACCTTTACAGTACAATTGTATTGCAATGAGATAAAAAATAAAACATAGTATTGGTCCACAGCTCCATCATTATTTAATGCTGGAAGACGGAGCTTACAGGAGCAGTAATGTGTAACTAAGTGCCCATAAAATAGCTTATCCGTGTCAACAACATTAGAGGAATGATTAGATGCAGTTTAGTGGTACTGCTGGGTCCTGTGTTATTCCCATCCAGATCCTTGAAGTGTAGAAACCCTCTCAGTTCATGTCCTGATCACCCACACTCTGACGCAGGTACTCCTCATAAAGATTTTTCTGCAAAAACACACCAGCAAATCATTAGATGAGTCAGTTACCACTGTAGCCGTCTTTAGATGCGTCAACAATACAAATGCACACTTTACCTTTTTGGTCTTGACCACCTCCTGGACATACTCCAGTTTTTCCTGAAGCTGTCTCTTTTGTTTCCCAGAGAGTGTTGGTTTAGTCCTAAATGGAGAGAAAAAGAACACCGACACAAAAGTACATGGTGTAAAGAGGCATGCATTAGATATACAAAAAAAAACGTATACATAAAACAATCATAAAATAACTGAAAGAAATTAGATTTTTATTTATATTTCCCCCCCACAACGTTATTCACTATTCCACTCTGCTGCAGTTCTAATATATATATATATATATATATATATATATATATATATAAAGTTATATAAAACTTTTTCACCATATTAAAAGACTCACAAAATTATTCACTAATATTTCCCTCTGCTGCAGGTAATTAAATAAATAGGAGGTTTTTTTTACCCCAACAAAATTCACTAAACTTCCATTCTGCTGCAGACCTTAAAAAAATACTTATTATATAAGCCCACAAAACCTCTAAATATTCCAAGACTCACAAAATTAGTCCTTCCCTCTTCTGCGGACAATTGCATATTTAAAAAATAAAAATAATAATAAATATATGAAATTTGATAAATAAATAAAAAACATTTACTACACTTCTACTCTGCTGAAGGTCCTAATAATGTAATATAATAATAAGTAATAATCCATAAAAATTCTGCACTATATTCCAAGGCTCACAAAATTATTTACCAATCTTTCCCTCTGCTGCAGCTCTAAAAAAACTAAGTAATAATAAAACTGCTTTTTGTACTTTTTGGAGCTTGACTCTGGTAAATATATCCTTATGTGCACCACAGAAAAAGCCAAACTTAATCAGGGTGAATAAATTGCAATTTATCCCTTTAAACTACAAGAGTCTGCAAGTATAAAGCCCTATTTGGGCGGTAATTGTTTCTCATGAGGACATAAGGTATTTTCAACATTTACAGGAGCTAGTCAGTGATTTTTGCCGTCCGAATCCAGAATGTCAGTGTTTTTCCCCCCACCACCCGCGTAAAAATCCCTGGCCGAATTACCTTCTGTTTTTGGCTGACACCAAGGTTGTGTGGTAATTGAATTGCCGTCCAAATCTACATCGGAGTTTACAAGAGGTGATCTATTCAAAATTCACCATTTAAATCTGTTTTGACCACTGCGGAGCACCGTGCGATATCTGCTGCGCTTCACTGTAATTTGTATGCATTCTAAATATGTACACTTTCATTACTGAAATGCTGGGAATTATTTACAAGAACAATATTTCATCACTGCTCCACCTCAGTGAAAGGAGAAAGATGAAAAAAAAAAAAAACATTTGAAATGGGCCGTTACAGCAATAAAATGTATTATATAGGCCTAGGCTACATTAAAAATAACCAAGCAGCTTTGCGTTTACCTCATGTAAATAAGAGGCTGCATTAACTTATTTCCACTAGTTTCCATATTTTTAAAATGACATCCATCATTTTGAGATAAAAATACAAGACGGAACCATTTCAGCTATCCCGTGTCTATCTTCCTATTTTTAAACAGGAGATTTAATAGAATATTATTTTCCCATTATAACATTAAATATGAATTTATTAATATTATTCAAAACAAATGGCATTCTATTTACAGCAGACAAACATGTGACTGACCATGTGAGCAGCGCATTCCCGGGTTCATAGCATCACAAAACTCGCTCCTCCACCGTGAATAAATCGCCCTCCGAATGCATGAGTTTTATCACTTAGGTGCCATGCCAATTTATTTTTTACAGATATTCACATGAGAAACAATTACCATCCGAATAGGGCTTAAGTTTATAATCTGCTTTTTTCACCTGAAAGAGAAGCGTGCAAGGAGGAGAAAGATGAAGGACAACAGAACCAGTCCAGCACAACTGTACAGCTGCACTTCCACTGACAGGGACTCAAACACCTTCACTGCAGGAGCCTGAACACACAATCCCACACTTACATCAGTATATCTACAGAGAATCACAAACACACGTACACATGAATGCATAATATACATACGAACCACATATAGTGAGAGTGCCTCTGTGCCTTTATCACCCAGCATGAGCTCCAGTACTTCTCTGGAGAGGCTGCCAAGCACCAGGGCGACGAGCAGCAGCAGGGGCACAGTGAAACCCAGCATGCCCAACAAACAACCCTTAAAACGTGCTCGACGGTTCTCTAAACTGCAGAGCCTATTGGGAGAAAAACACACAATTGCAACTGTAATAGTAGACATTTGCAATCTGATGAATATTATATCCATACAAATTGTATAGGGAAATGCCCATCTAAGAATGCACTACCTGTCATTATCAAGTGTCTCAGTGATGGCCTCAGTGATGAGGTTACAGTCCTTCTCCAATGAGTTAAGCGTGTTCTGCACAGTCTGATTTATGGTCTTTTCTATAGTCCGACACACCTCCTCAATCTGATTGACACATCGGCTGGGCTGATGGAGACAGTGAGGAAAGATACATTAATATTACAAAATAAGCGGTTGTCGCATACAATTGCGAAGAGCTGAAAGATTTATGATACCTTGTTAGGGTTGGGAACGTAGATGGTGGGCATGTCAAAGCCACACTTGTTAAGTCCTGGACGCTTGCAAAGCTCCTGCACAATCTGCATCATAACTCTCTGAAATAACCAATAACACAGCCATCAATGTGCGATTATCAAGCAGTCAAACAAAAACTATTTTCCTTAAAACAGTCACATGCACTACCTTTTAAAAGTTTGGTGTCAGTAAGAATAAAAAATAAAAAAATGAAATTAGCTTATATAGTAAGGACCTTTTAAATTGATGGAAATGATAGGAAAGGCATTTATAATTCTACAAAAGATTTCAATTTCAAATAAACACTGTTTATTCAGTGTTTAGACTAGAATCTAGACTTTCAGCTTTGCCATCACAGGAATACATTGTATATTTTTAAAAGATATTAATATTTTAAAATACATTCAAATAAAAATATATGAGCATTGGTGAGCAGAAGAGAATGGCTTTGAACGGTAGTGTACATGCAAAATAAAACATAACAGTGAAGATGAGTGTGTATAAGAGCAGTTTACTTGTCGATCAGACTCTCCTCCAGCCTCATCAGCTTTACTGAGATAAAAACGGAGACGGTCCCCTTGCTTCTCATTCAGTTTCTCTACAATGCTGAGTGTGCGCTTGCATAAAGCCTGTCCCATTGGATCAAAGAATACGAGGATCAGGTCACAGAGCTCACCTGATGTAGACAGGTAGAATCGTAATACAGAGACATATTAGGATCATAAACATACATTTAGAATGCCAAACATATAGACATGCAATAAAAACATTAAAACAATGTCAACTCCTAAACACACAAACAACTAAAGACAAACACACACCGAGCCACAGAATAGCTTGGTCCACATCAAAGGGGTACTTCATATCTCCATCCACCAGACCAGGACTATCAACAAACGTCACCAAGCTGAAACGTTTCTGTCGTGAAGTGCAAATCTCAGTGCCAAGGTATTCTGACACCCCTGAAATTGAGAGAAAGTTGCATTTCAGACACAAATTAATGCACATTTGCAATGTAAACCAAAAAGTGTGTAGCCCTGCTTTTAATAGACTTTCCAAAATTCAACAACAAACCTTTAAAGTCTTGCAGTGGTTTGAAGTGCGGATAGAGATGGAGTGTTGCATTTCCCTAAAACCACACAACAGTTGTTATACAATAAAAGGTGAAATACGTTTATATCAATGGTGCCATTGTAATGCCCAAACCACATCTCACAAAACTTTCATGAAAAATGTATGAGGATCAAACTTACAGTGAGCGACTCCCTCTTTCGCCCACTGGTAACAAAGCTGAAGCCCTGTGTCTCTATAGCGACCCCTGTCCTTTGTATATGCTCCTCCACATACCTGCAAAAGCAATTAAAACATGGGTTACTGCTTGTGAGGCTTTCTCAGTCTCACACACACTAATCTGAGTACATGATTGTAATGCATGTATATTAGCCTACCAATTGATGAAGCTGCTCTTTCCAGCTGAGTGGTTCCCCATCAACATCACAGTTATCTTTTTTCGGGGAGGCAGCAAGGTCACCCCAACAGTTTGAGCGATTGTTATGAGTCCTACAGGACAAGGGAATTAGTGGTTAGACAAACTGGACTGGAAAAGAAAGTGTCATTTATTTTTAATCCAGGTTCAGAGACTGAGTAAGTGACAATTTCATTTTTGGGTAAACTAACCTTCAATGTCAGAAGAAAACTTTATTGGATTACACAGGGTAATGAATGCAAACAGGTGAAATGCTTTTGGCACTCTAAAGTGAATAAATGTCAAACCAACAGGCGTTCTAGCTATCCAGCTACCGTTAGCACCTCTCACCCACGCCTGGAGACAGATCTAATTTCTTAATACCTTACAAAACCAAATAAATGAATGAGAATGTAGTCGTTTAAAAAGGGATTTTTTTCTCTCTAACCGCTATCCGGTTCGATGTACATCTGATGGCAGTCCCGTAAGATGCGCTCGTCGCAGGACACACTGCCAGATATGGAGTCGGCATTTGCAACACTCCTGCTTTTGATTTTCCCGGACATAGTGATGTAAAATTATGGGCTGTAATAAAGTAGCGTGTTTTAGCGTGTACAAAGTAAACTTGACTGGTAAAATTGTATGAAATGTAAGAAACAACATAGACTTTTACTCACATCCAAATTAAGTTCAAATCGCCCCGGTCTGCTGGGTAACTGTGGCCACGTCACCGCGACTCACAGGTTTTCGCAGAGCATTATGGAGGTTGTAGTCTTTATTCCGTTTAGCTCGCGCTGTTTCCGCCCTAGACTATTTATAAATCACGTCGTCTGTAGACCATTATGTAACGATTAATCATTTAGGAGTTGTGCCCTTTCTACTTAAGAAGCTTGTGAAGAATGCCATTTTATAATTTGAGAAATTAATTTTATTACAACTGTTGTATGAAGGTACCATGTTAATTATATACACACACACACACACACACATATATATATATAATTTATATATCTGTGTGTAAATATGCGGGTAAAAATGTTATCCATCATACTTGTGATCACTGCACACTACTTTTAATGCCCTGTAATGTTAAAAATTATAAAATCTCCTAACCTAATTTCAATGGTGGTGAAAAATAAAGCTTATAAAACACGACAAAGGTTTTCATTTATACCCCATACTTTAATGTAAAGAATTCAGGTTAATATAATATACATTAATGGTTTAGCATTCAAAGAAATACTTTGCTACACAATCATAAACACATTTACATGGCATGTCTGCTCTAGCATGATCAGATCAATGTCTCTGTACATGCTCCTCAAATGTTAGATTATACTTACAACATTCTCATGGACAAAAATGCACGAAACAAGATGAACAAAGATGAATTACATCTTATAAGCTGTAAGTGAAGTGTCTTAAGAATATCAGTCAAATGTGGACAATCTCTATTCTACAGACAATAAGCCTGAAGCTCGCTCACACAAACACACTTATGAGCAGATGTTCATTTGTTGGGATTCCTCAGTGACTTGGTAAATTAAAAGATGAATTCAACCGAAATGACTGAATTTGGAGGCATGAATCATCCTTTATGCAAACTCTCACAGACGCATATTGCACATAATCCTCTCTAAGCCACACACACACACACACACACACACACACACAAACCACATATAGTAAAATAATTTCACTCACACTACCTCGTTCACAAAGACCTCGTTCTTTAAAGTAAAAATTAATTGAATAAAAAGTCATTGGATCTTGGCATTTTGATCACACTTTGCTTAACCTCATGAATTGCACTTAATAGGGAGAATTTGAGGGCTTATGTCAAAATCCCAACAAAAATCAAGAAATTTTTAAAACTGAATTTAAGTGGTTGATTACTAATTTTAGCACAGTTTCTCCTAAGCCTGCCTTGCACACAAGCACACTTCCAAACACATAAACACACACACAAATCAAATCACCCAAGATATATATAAAAGAAAGCATATCTCATGCCATTGCAAGTGGTGACAGCAAGTTAAAGCAAAGGCTGAAGGCTTCAGTCCCAGCCATTATCCTTAATCATGTGAGATAATTCAATAATAAACTTCCCCTCCTTGTACTTCTGACTTAACTCAAATGCCTGCTCCTGTAGAGGAAGGGAGAAAGAGCACAAAAACAGAAATTGTGATCAGACTGTAGGGTTATTAATTAGTCATTTAGGCATGTGTCCTACTTCATTTTCTCTTAAACATAAGACATACTTACATATTTCCAGCCCAGTGTGGTATGGCAATTCTCACAGTAAATATCAGCCACAGCATGAAGACCGGTCAGCAGCAGCCTTTCCTCTGCTGGACCACAACCCACATTCACCCTGAAATCACAAAATGGCAGTTAAACAAAATATTTCCTCTATCAAGATGTGATCTAATTTCTGAGATTTCCTTTTCTCCAGAAGTGATACTCACACAGAATTGAACAGGTAGGCACGTCCTTGACTGCCTTGAAATGACTGAAAATACACAAACATGCGAGTCTAACGCAAACAGCATCACAATTCACAAACCTAGCTGTAAATGTGCCACAAAAGTCACACAAAGTAACTCTCACCTTTGAAATGAGGTCATCATGGTTAGCCAGGTGTGCACGGCAGTGGACGCAGCTGTAGCGACGGTGACAGTAGTCCAGATAGGCCTGGAAAGTTTTGGCCTTGGTCTGCTTCACCATGTCTTTGAAGAACAGACAAAAACAATGTCAGATTATACCTCAATAATCCTGCTGCCCCTTCTCATCTGAATCTGACCATGAAAACTCGAAGGCAAATGCTACAAAACAGCTTTGACTGCCAAAACATTTCATGGCGAGGTTGCCAAATAGCCTTGCGTAGTTAGGAAGCATGGCATTGACATAAACCAGTAATGTTGTGAACATCAAAGCAGACTAAATGCTTTGAGATTGATTTTTTATGCATGCTGGATGTGACATTTACAGCAATTTTTTGTTTAGGCAATTGAAAAGCATTTTAATATCATCTCATATCCTTATTCAGAGATATTCAGGAAAAAGGAAACATCCACATGACCTACTTTGCTTGGCTGCCCACACTGTAGTTACCCCATATATGGCCCGCCAGGCACGAGGGTAAACAGGAGTGAGAGGCAATGGATAACTATGGCATGCAGTAATAATACAGGTTTAGATACAATTTTGTGTTATACGATCTTTACAAAGTTACTAAATCTCCACAGACATGCTTACGATTTTAGTTTCGGTTTTTATGGACTTTCGTGCTACAGCTTGGCCCACTAATGCAGCTGGAAAATAACGATGCACGAGTCGCGAACGAATCTTTCATATGAGTCGGGTACTTTCAACGATTTGGTTGAACCGGTGTACAAAACCGATTCGAAATAAACAGAAAATATGTTAATATTCAGTGAATTTGCAGTGAGCCCAGAATTTGACTGATGGGGCAAAAAGTAATTTAGCAAATCACAACAATATTACAAATAAAGCTTACTGTAAACTAATTCACTTCACTTTGTGTCGATCCATTATAGCATTATATCAAAACGTGCCCAAACTCTTATTTAAACGTAAATTCCAATTGAACTCTTACTTACATTAAAATTACCATTCAAATTGTAAATGTAAATTAATTAGGTACAAAATAACATTTGGTTAGATGAATCACCACTGCAAAAAAAAAAAAAAAAAAAAAAAAAAAATTATTATAATAATAATCCAAAGACACGAAATTAAAATTACATCATATAAAGGCCACATTTTAACTGGGGAAAGAGCGTCGGGATGGGGGACAACTCTATTACGTAATAACGACACACTTAAAAGAACCGAATCGTTTTTTGAAACGAACTGTTCGAAAGAACCGAAACATGGAATTAATTCGGACTTCCAATCACTAACCTTACTGGAAAATCTCACTAACTCGCGTGGCTAGATGCACGCTAAATTAACGTTTCAAACTAACCTCATAAACATATTCAAGTAATATAGTCGCTTCATAATTTCATCATATTATTCAGGTTCTCAGCCTGAGTGGAGCCGTTTTACATTAGAACCTTTCTAACATGGTCACTCCATTTGAAATGCTACGCAACAATAAAAAAGGACCCACCTATATATGAATGATTTCTTCAAGACAAACGCTGTTCGTAGTATTGTCACCAGAAGAGAAGCGTGCTCAACTCAACGACATGAAGCCTGAGCATTCACTGAGCTCACTTTGAGCGCTCTCAACCAAACAACCGTGCGGCACGCTGCGCTTTTCCTACAATTCCCTCCTTTGTGTCCCTCCTGTCGACCTGCTCTAATGGGCAAACCGTGTGGTATTAACTGAAAGCCTCGTAATTTCCAAAACTCAAACAAGCCACCGTGCAGAATATGTCGCAGCCGAATATAATCCGTAGATTTGTTTACTGTATTTTTGAGGAAGTGCCTTACACGTCATATGGCGCAAAACAAAACGCCGTCGACCAATCAAAATCCAGAAAGAGGCGTCCTGAATATAGGTCAGCCAATCAGATGCGCTCTTCCCGTGCGTTTGAAGTCACCTGAACAGTCAAAACAACAAAGCCCTCGTGTTTTTGGTTATCTTTATCTTATCGCTTTTTTGGAAGTGGCGATTTCTGTCTCCCCTGGTTGTTCGATAATTAATGAGTAACGTAGACGATTTGAAAATAGCATGCATGAACCTTGGCCGACGTTTTGTATGACATAAAATGTTTCTCTAAAAACCAATGTATTTTTGGATGTAAATAAGATTTTACATTTGATAAAGGACAGGGCAGCCTTTGATGTCCACTGATTCTATGTTGGTCACAGCTGGATGGACTTTGCACGGTCTCTCACAAAAGTCGAATGTTTGTTTGCAAACATGCAGGGAGGCGCTAAACTGACACTGACTGAAAACCATAATGGACATGGTGGGATAATAATATAAGGACCAAAGAAAACACCCTTAAACAGTTCAACTGTAGAATATATGAGTTCCATTTATTTTGTGTTCAGTCATACAAATTGTCCCAAAAAGATTCCATAAACCAAGTATTCAGTACACTGTACTTTATGGCAAGTGTTGATTATGTAATAGTGGCATTAAAATAAACTTGGCTTGCAAACTGTATTTTTACAGTGTTTGACTAGACAAAGGTACACTCTGTGCATTTGATCATGTGGCTTGTTTGCACCTTCTAATATAGTTTGATAACAGGGTGGGATAATCAGACATGACTCCAGTTGCTCCTGCGGCAAATGCAGCCTCAATATCCTGTTCCACATTGCAAACAAAGAGATGAATCTAAAGAGAAACAAAGAAAAACATGCTGTTTTTGTTTTTATTTTGAAGCATGTAGGTACTCACAATTTGAGACCAGTGGCAAATTGCGTAAACATAGCCACTGTTAAGACCGTCTTTAGTTTTACTTTTTGGAATCAAATTAGACCAGTGTACTTTTTCCATGTAACTGGCACGCACACACGCACGCACACACACACACAAAGTTATGACAAGTCTTGCTTTTTTTTTTTTTTTATGATGACAAGCTTGTAAGACTAGTCCAAGCAGTTTATGCAACCAGACAGCTTCTCACCGAAAACACAAGTTACTCAATACACTATGCAGTTTCTTAATATTGCAAAACAGGACATGATATAGCATGGCCACAAACCTGAATTCCTCGGTCTCTGAGGTGCTTGAACATCCCTTTTCTCAATGTCAGTCTGCCACAAAAAAAAACAAAACAAAAAAAAAAAAATATATATATATATATATATATATATATGTAGAGCACAGAAAACCATTTCAAACAAAATTAAATTTGTAGGTTTATTTTGACACCACTACTAAGATGTTACCTTTCAATTAAAAAGATGACCAGACTGCTTCTCAAAATCCACATATCAGGTATGTATTGTCTGTAGGAAAGAGCTCAGTGAATATGCATCTGTGTGATTACCAAGCACACAACATAGTATGGAAATTGTTAGTGTATACAGACCTGTTGAAGATTTGTGGCAAGTAGAACTGCAGGAAACTTTCTCCGAGGGGAACAAATGGCAGAAGACCAATGTAGTACAGCAGGAGCAGCAGTAGACCTCGATTTACAGTGAACATATAGGGCATAGAGGAGTTCTGCCATTGACAAAAAAAGGAAACAAAGATGTAGGGAAGAGAAAAGTATGTAGACTATTTATTACTGAAACAAAACAGGTAGAGTCATAAATGCACACGCACTGTTTTGCGACAATTTCTCATGATGGAGGAGTCAACAGAGGCCCAAACTGAGATGCCTTCTCTGTTGTATTTTTTCACAAGATCAGAAATCTGAAAGAGACAGTGTATAAAACCTAATGTTATTGTGGAAAAAGATGCAGTTAAATAGGGTTGAAAAATTAGGAAGAAAAAATATTAGGGGCCAAAATGTGACTCGGGTATTGAGGTCCAAGTCGATAATGATGACCCCGCTCTTGCCTTCTCAATCAGCATGGTGTTATTTTCTTTCACTTCAATGTTCACAGCTGTATGAGGAAACTTGCAGAAAACATCCTCTAATAATGCAACGTTTCTATCAGATCCAGTGCTGAAGTGGCCTGTACAAGGGGAATTAATAAGTAACCATTATGCATTAATAAATACATTAATATACGTTGGCAATTTCACTGCTAAAAAACACGAACCTGTCTTGAAGGTGACCTCGACTGTCTCTTTATAAGGTGGCAACTCCTGAAAAGAAATATGAAAACAGAAAACAACTTAACCAAAAAGTTGTTATACATGTAACGCTGGTGAGAACTCAGAGACGAGGGAGGGTAGGATCCAAATGCAGTTTATTAGACAAACAACAATCCAAGCACAAGGAGCAGGAACCACAGGAGCAGAACTGAGGACACCAAAACCACATCCAGGGGTGCTTCTCAATATCCCTCCTCGTCTCCTCGATCCTCCGTCCTCCATCCTATGACCCGGAAACCAATCGAGCTCAGCCATCTTGAAGGACATCTCAATTCTCTAATTGCACCGCGAGGAGGCGAGGATCGAGGAGTGAGGAGGCTTCCAGGGGAGCTATGAGCGAGGATGCACAGTTGCATGCTTTGCGGAAGTGTTTTATCTACTAAATGTGACGCACGTATCAATTCTCCTCCCCCCTCACGTCGGTCACAATCATTTCAAATTATACTTTACCTTTGCAGTTTATATAAACCACACATCTCACATATTTCAACAGGGTATCTTGCTTTATTATTATTTATTACTAATTTATTAAATAACCAAACTTCAACAACATGTGAGGAAAGCGAGGAAAGGAAACGAGGACGCACAAATAAGAATTGAGAAGCACCCCAGCACTGGACACAGGAAACACTGCGTTTATATAGGCCTACACAAGGGGTAATTGGCAAAGACACACCTTAGAACAATCAACTAATCAACAAGAAAACTACAAACTGACTACAAGCAGGAACAGGAAACAAGAAAAGACCGGGCAGAATACGACCCAAAAGTAAAAAAAAAAAAAAAAAAAACAGAAACACAAGGTACACAAAATAGAGAAATAATAAATTTCTTAATGATTTTTAATGTTTTTGAAAGAAGTCTATTATTCTCACAAGGCTGCATTGATTTGATCAAAAATACAGTAAAATAGCAATATTGTGATTGTGAAATATTATTACAGTTTAAAGAATTTTGAATATATTTTAAAATGCAATTTATTCCTGTGATGTCAAAGCTGAATTTTCAGCATAATGCTGAAATATGTCATATGAAATCTTCAGTGTCATATGATCCTTCAGCTAATACACTGATTTCATGCTTAAGAAATATTTATTATTTTAAAACACTTTACTTAATATTTTTGTGGAAACTGTGATTCATTGTTTTCAGGATTCTTTGATGAATAAAAAACCCATATATTTGCATTAGAAATCTTTTGTAACATTATAAATGTATTTAATGTCACTTTTAATTAATTTAATGCATCCTTGCTGAATAAAAGTACTGTTGTGTAGGTCCACATGGAAACTGCATTCCCCCCCAATCATGACAGTGTAATTAGATAATTATTTGTAAAAGCATATCAGGAGAAAATGTTAATGTTGACCTCTGACCTCCAAGTTTAAGGAGGAGACAGTGACATCTTGCCCAGTCTGCCTCAGGAGGTTCTCATCATGTGACACAATCACATGACCATCTTTAGTCAAGTGACAGTCCAACTCCAGCATCTCTGTGCCCACTTCAACAGCACTGAGAGGCAAACAGAGAGGAATTTTAATCAACAGTCAGGGCAGATGTTTTCAGTGAATAATGACTTTATTAGGGGCCAAGCACTGAAAGTGCGTAGGCACCTATTGAAATCGTTGGCATTCTTATTCTTCTTCTTCCGTTTCTTCTTCTTCTTACGTATGGAAGTCTGTGGCAGCCCATAGAACCGCTTGCGGGAAAGTTATGAAATTTGGCAAACTGATAGAGGACAGTCTGATCAGTCACCATAGCAAATTTGGAGTGTCTAACTCAATCCAAATTACTATGTTGTGTTTATTCTGGCTACTATCTTGTATGTAGCATTTTAATATGTTGTGTTTATGTATGGCTGCTACCTTGGCCAGGTCTCGCTTGTAAAAGAGATTTTTGATCTCAATGAGACTTCCTGGTAAAATAAAAATCCCTCTAGCGCCACCAACTGTCCAAAGTTTCACTCATGTTTATGCTAATAACTTTTGAACCATAAGGGCTAGAAACAAAATTTAAATTTACCACTGATTCCTTGGTTCAAGATGATGCGATTGCATCATATGACGTGATATCCCGTCATGTAAATCTTTCCGCCATTTTGAATTTTTTTTAAAACCTACTTTTTCAAACTCGTCCTAGATGGTTGCTCCGATTTTCAAGAAAATTGAACCAGATCATCTCCAGACCATGCCGACAAAAAGTTATGGAATTCAAGTTGATTTGTCGAACCATTCTTGAATACCGCACAAACTAATTTTACATAGCACTTGCAAAAACAGACGTAAGGCTGTATCTCCGCAACGCTTTATCGTACTCAGACCAAACTTGGTACATGTCATCACAAGCATGACTTGAGGCTACATGCTGCGTTTTGGCGCAGCGCCACCTACTGGTCCGGAGATAGGAAAAATGGCTATTTGGCTGAAAATCGCCATTTTGGCTGAATGATTTGTCTAAAAATCATGTAGTCCAAAAGTCCAAAATCCCAAAGTGGTCTTGTTAAATTCAGGGCGTCATGCCGAGTCGATCGATATCCAATTTTTACATATCGTCCATTTTAGGTGTCGGCCATTTTGCATTTTGTACTAAAATGCTGTATTTTATGAACGCATGAACGTATCATTACAAAACTTGGTATGGGTCATCGGTACGATGCTCTGAAAGAGTCTGAGAAGTTTCGGACCAGCGCCACCCAGTGGTGAAAAGATTATTTACATGCTTATAACTTTGGATTTGGTTGACTTATTTTCACGGGAGTCATCTCCTTACGTTCCTGAATCCTTGCCGAGTCTAACGATACCAAACATTCTAGGTTTTGCCTTATGGTTAGCCCACTGTTGTAAATTAGTGCTTACAAAACATTTGCCAATATCTTCGAAACCGTTAGACCGAACGAGACGAAACCACCGTAGGAAGTTTGGAAACATAGGTCGTTGGCGAAATGCTAATTGCCAAATGTCAAAATTTTGATAGTAAGTGGCAAAAAAATCCAATCAAAGTCACCCATGGGTAATTCTTATATACTTATACATATAAATGTCGATAACTCCAAAACAAAATGAGATATTTTCACCAAATTTGACAGACACATGTATGGGCTCACTCTGAGAACACATAAAAAAAGCGGTGGAACTGCGCCACTTGGTGGTGCTATAATAGAACATAACAAGGACATTGCCATTAATTACAATATAATATCATGATATCAAATGCAACACTTTACGAATGCATTGGTGTACCGTTACAAAACTCGGTATGTGTCTTGATAATCCATTAAATCATATTTTTAGTTACTGTATATAGGATTTTTCAGCCATTTTGCCTAAAATCATCCTTAAATGTCTTTAATATCTCATTTTTGCAGTTGGTCTGACACTCCCAGCCATGTTGGCATGTCTTATTGTCTTCTTTGCGCTTGGCCCCGATAATTGCTGCTTGCAGCTATATTTTATATTTTATTCTGTTCCTCACACAAAGCTATTATAAGAATTTAGACCAGTTGATCTCACACATTTTGACTCCAAGGCCCATCCTTTTATTCAAGACTCAATAATCGAAGGCCCTCCTATCTAAGCTGATATGCGCCTCTGTTACTTCTGTTTTAATAAAATAAATAAACTCAAAAATATGCCAGTTTCATGTACATATTTATTTTTAATGTTTTTTTTTTTTTTAGCATTTTATTTAAGATTATGTTGCTAATATAACTAAATTTAATTCATTTAAAACTTATTGGGCCCCCTGTTGAGAAGACACTGCTTTAGAAGACTTGACATTTAATGAAATAAAAAAATCATATGAAGTATTTTTATTATACTTGTTTTGAGGCACTTTTTGTCATTTTGGAGCATGTTCTAATAAAATCATACATGTTTGGAAAAACATAATGATGAGTAAATAGTGAGAGAATGTTCATTTCAGGGAGACATATTCCTCTAATGCCCGGTACACATTATACGATTTTGAGCTGTCCCAGACGGATTTTGGGCTGTCCCAGACGAAAGATGACCAATTGTGGCAATTTCTGTGGTCGTGGCTCCTAAACGGTGGTCCTACGTCATACAGTGAGAGAGGTTCAAAGATGGCCATTGTCACGGTCTTGCGACCAAAGATAGCCTGCGATAATTTTCTGACAATGTCAGAAATTTAGCATAATCATCTCAGTGTGTTTGCTTCAGGTGCGTTTTGCTTTTTTATGTTTTTAATTAATGTGTCGTTACATAATATATTGTTAGGCTATATTATAATACTGTCATATTTTGTGCAGGCAATTAGCTTACTTCGCTGTAAATAGACAAGCCTGACAATATCACTGCATAATATACCTGTATGGTGGTATTCCACCATATTTCATTCTCACTGACACGCCCCAACTCGTAAAGATTGGAAATCCCGAGCTTCCCACGTAGCCTATTTACGACATTGTGGCGGTCATGTGCGTCCATCTCATAAATACGATCTTTACGACATGACATGAACGCGACATTAGATCCATGTAGTACAGTGTGATTTGTAACGATCTTATATGGTTGCATAAATCGCAGTCTGTAGCAGGCATAACATGTTTGGGAAAAGACAAGCATTAGAAGGACAAATAAGTAGGGACTTAAAAGAAGCTGACTGATCTACTGTTCAGTCCGAAATCTTTGAGGCATAGGCTTCCCACTCACTGTGTAAAGGCCTCCATAGTGTTCTCAATCCTTTCACCACAGCCTGAGGACAGAGAACAAACAGGAGGTCAGAAATTGTGGACCGACTCAGTCTCATACACACACAAACATAAAAATTCCTCAAAGAGTTAATCACTCACTCAGTCACATATTAACTAGCACTTTATATACAAAACCCATGAGGAAAACATTCACAAACGCTGTCACAAACAGAGAATTATCGAATGCCATTCACTGACAGTTTTATGAAATAGTCACAAGATTTCTCTAACAGAAGTTTATAACTTTTGACGCAGTATGATCTATCCTTGAAGGAATTTGGCTGTGACATGCATAGAGCAACAATTTCGGTTCATTTTTAACGATAGTTGATTAGTCAACAGCAGCATTATTGCAATTAATTAGGTTTAATGTGGCTTAAATCTTAAACGTGAAAGCCCTGAAGGTGGTTACTGACTCAGATCAGATACTGTACCTCCCCTATGAGAGATGTGGGTGCAGTAGAAGGCTGTCTGCTTCCTCCTGTGCAGAATATGAGGGTTCTTCAGAAAGTACAGTGACGTGAGAGCGTAGCCCCCTACTGCCGGGAGCAGGTAGTACAGGTAGCTCGCCATAATTCCCACGGGAAGGGGAAAGATGATGTTTCGGGGGCTCTGAGTGAGAACAGCAGATGAATGCAAAAACAGAAATCTGATCTTTGAAGAAAAGTTTTATTTTATTTTGTTCAATCAAAATGTGAATATTACACAATAATAACATTAAATAAGGGCTTAAATTAAGCCAGGATTAGGCCTTAGTTCAATTGGGATTTTATAAACGTGCCCTTTAAAAAAAAACATTACTGGTGTGCATCTTGAGACAAAACAATAGCACTGACATGTTTAGTGCAAGTTGCTTTCAGTTAAAACAGCTCAAACATGCATTTTAGTCCGGGGCTAGCCTTAAGCCTTTTAGGTATTACATATACTCATTAAAGCAAATAAATATAAATCAAATAAATATTTTTATGCATGTGTCTATTGTGTGTGTATATGTATATATATATATATATGAATGAATATTAAACAATAATAGCATTAAACAAATGTTATATTAAGTATTATATATACTCATCAAAACAAGTGTAAAATAAATATGTTAATGTATATATATATTTATAGATATAGACAACTTACCAGGACTATTTGCTCCTTCAACTCCTTAATTGAGATATCCTGGGGTATCTGATCCAAGAACACGGCAACTCCCACAAGCACCTGTCTTCAAAGCGTACGTCAATATGACTGTCCTTATCTTTCCTTTTTTCTCCTTGTATCTCTCACTGCTAGTTTACTAAAGTTTCTCAGCCACTCCTGTTCTGAATTCCTTTACCTTGCCTACCAATCAAATTACTTTGCAAGAAATGTTGCCCAATGTGCTCCAAAGCAAAGCAAAACTACACAGCAATGTAAAGGTCCCCCTTCATTCCTACTATAGCTGCAACCGCAGCAGGGAAACAGACCTAAATATGAAATCTTTCTCTCTAGGTGTGTGTTTGCAGTAATCAGTCAGTCATTGGTGGTTAGTTACACTCTTTGTGACTGCTAATTCCCTCCTCCTTTTTTTGTGACTAAATGGGGTATGGGTGTTTTGGAATGCAGTTTGCTTGACTTTTTGAGTGCATGTGGCAAGCACAGGTTGTCAGTGGAATCCCAGCACATATTATTCTGCTTGCACTTTACATGTGCTTCATGACTTTATAGTAGTAAACATAAAAAACAGGAAAAAAGTTGGCACACCAAAGCTCCATTCCAAAAATGTCTCTCACACAGGTGATGTTTTGAGCACGCTGGCTCTTCATCAGACAAGTACAAATTTAAACCATCAAGCCTTTATACTAACAGGTGATTAATTAAGGATCACATGACCTGTTATTTCTTTTGTCAAACGCCCAACTTGAGCATTTTTGTCAGTGATGTGCGTGCTCTTGTCCCGTTTTTGTTTAGTAGTAAACATATACATGTTCTCACTAGTTCAAATTAGGCCAGATTTAAAGGGAGAAACAACAAAATGGGGATGAAAAGCACAAGGGGCTTCTGTATCATTGCAACAGTTGGTAGAATTGGAGGACACGATTTGATGTTTAGTCAGTATTCATGTTTTCACACATTTCAGTGTTTAACAACGGTTTACGGTGGGATAAATGCAAACTCACAGTAATATAGGCTACACTCTGTTGGTTCTGCCTGTCAGCAGAACATTTTTGTTTTCTATTGTTCTGGTTTTGTATAGAATTGCTGAGAGACTGTTACTGAACAAATAAAAGAAGGCAGAGACAGATGGGAAGTGAGGCTGAGATAGACACTAATAATTCATTCCTAATTTGTAACAGCATTGATTAATCTCAGTCTCATATAAAAATTGCAATGAATCAATGTATTAGGTGACAGTTTTGCATTTGAATCAGTGGTATTAGAAAAGCACACTCTCAACCCAAACAGCTTGATCCGTCTTGAAGAGCAGAACGCCTCGCAGCTGAATTCTCGAACCATGCTGGAACATGTTGTCGAAGCAGAGGAGTGGTCTAACTGGACTGGCAACTTGGCATATGTGAAAGAGGAAAAAGGTAGAAGAGCTCCCAGAAAACAAGAAAAATATTAGTGCATTCATTATACATAAAATAATGAATCATCAACTTCCAATAAAGTTAACCTTTGCTCGGTTTAAACTTGACATGCACATGATCCATGCTTTATTTTTCCATAGCTAAGGAAATTTTTTTAGCTTTTGATTGCTATGCCACTCCCTTCACAGGAAACCAGATAAATTAATTCTTCCATCATGACTAAAGGCTAATCAAATATGGCTAAAGGCAAATAACTGTGGCTGTCAATTTATTCACAATACACTTTGGAACAGACCTTCCAGCCATTCCTTTTAAAATAGAAGCAAGGTCATAAATGCATTGATATTAATACACTAATACAGAGAAAAGATAATGATCTATATTTGAGTGGCAATAAAAAAATAATTGAGCGCAATCATTTTTATTATTATTTTTATTATACAGAGCAGTTGATTTTAATTTGACATGCACAATTTTTAAACAAAACAAAAACTAATATACCTGAATTAAGAGAATTTGTGAATTCACTTTTTAAAAGATCATTTGCAAATATATTTAAACTTCAGAATATTAAATGTTAATGACGATTATGATTATTTAAAATTATAAGTGGTGTACATCCATTTCATTTTCATGTTTGTTGAAAAATATTGTTTAATTGTAAATTTTCTGTTTAGTAAAAATCTGTCAAGCAGGATTAAGTTATTCTAAAAAAAACACACACACACAACACAAGGACTTACAGTATAAGGAATTTTATTTAATATATGTATATAATTCTGTTTTTGTTAATTGTTTAATTTATTATACCCATAAGCATATACATAGACTATAACCATCCATAGCTCATTTCTCTTGACAATCTACCCATATCGTTTAATCATCTTTTAAAATAATTCCTTATAAGATTCAGGGAAAAAATAGACTTCAGAAAGAGTGAACAGCCAATTATTTTTCACACCCAAAGCGAACAAAATGAAAGAAAAGCAAAACATACTTTAAAAAGGACAAAAGTTTTAAAATCCCTTTTCAGTTTTTAAAATAAAAAAAAGACCACCAATATAACACCAGCAATAATCATAATAACAGCCATTAAAAGAACATTATGATATCTGCCTCCTTTGCAGGCTTTTGAAATCATATACTGTATGCGTGCAGGTTTATATGTCAGAAATACATCCTTAAGTGTGTGTGAGTGTGTGTGTGTGTGTGTGCGTGTGTGTGTGTGCGCGTGTGTGTGTGTATAAGACTGTTGACAGTCCCCATGGTCCCATTCACAATAAGCATATCATTGCCATTGACAATACAGTAATATAAATAATATTTTTCTTGGTAATGAATATTCCCCTCAGATCACAGAGCGGGATGATCTCCCCCCCTCATGAGGAAGCAGAGAAGAGCAGCTTCTGGTTGGAAAAGACAGACGTACAGACACAGACATGGGACGCGACCAACCGTCATTGCCTGTTACATTAGATTTTACCCTAACAAGTGGTGGATTAAGAAAGACTAAAGCGTAGAAAGAAAACAGACAGAAACAAGGAACCTTTTGTCACAGGAATAGATATAACAAAATAAAATTGCACTAAAAACTGAAACAAAACAAAACGTTTGGTCATGAGACACAAAGTGCAGGTGCACCGATTGAAAAATGTCACGTGATTGACGTGCGGTGTGAATTTCCTCTGCAGTTGGGGCTCGTCTCAATGGGGTTTTACACAGGGGGGGGGGGGGGGGGGGGTTATTCATTTATGCAAATCACACCCTGTATTTATACAAAAACAGCTACACACTGTGCCATTTTAACTCTTCCCACTTGAACATGCTTTCCTCATCCACGACTGGCCAAAAGCAATGACGGTTTCTTTAAAAACAGCTCTTTTTTTTCTCCACTGAAAACATGTAATAAAGGCAGGTTGTTACGTCTTAGATGCAATGCATGCAGAGTAAGTCAGTTCGAGACTAGATGAGCCAATCACAGGCAGGAGAGGCATGAGGTCAGCAAGCCCTGTGGAAAAGCCCTTTGAAAAGTTCTGACATCACAGGGAGGGAATGAGGAAAAAATGTGCTATGGCTCTGAAAGTGTTAAGCTTGGCTATGATTCCTCAATCACTCCAGGACAAGTGAAGAAAAGCAAAACAAAAGAGAACAAGGATGATGCGAAATAAAGAATAAGGGACCGATATCTGCGAGTAACAAAGCCAGAATGTGGGGAACTATGTGTGACTTATCAGAAAGGAATCATGGCAACAGTAGCCATGGACATGGTAACCAATGACAACTATTGTTATTCACAAAGAAATCAGTATCAACCCTCCATAAAAAAAACACACGATAAAGGTCTGCTGCACAGAAGCCACAGAACCTCCATGAAATGAACAGACGAGCGAGAGGAGGAGAAGAGAAGGAGGGAAAGGAAGCCAACATTAAAAAAAGAAAAGATGATACTGATGGCTTAATTTTCCCAAGAACACTGGCAAGAAATAGTCTCAGTTCTCAACAGTAGAACATGATATTTTACAGCAGATGATCCTATTCCATCTTGCTCTCTTTCCTCCGTTCAACCTGCCTGTCGCCGTTTCTCTTTTACGCAATATATTTCTCAAGAATCAAAACAAGACCTCTTTTTCTCACAACAGAAAACAAAATAAAAGTCTAAGCTCATTAATTGTAACATCATTTGTCTTTGAATGAATTAAAAAAGAAAGGAAACACAAGCAATGACTTTATATTTCAAAAGATTTTCAAATATAAATTCCCAACATTACAAAACACGATTTGTAACCGATCTTAACGTTCAAATTACAGTGTACATACAGATCGCCAACTTACAATACTCCAATGAAACTCAAAACCACTTATATATACACACACACACTAGTCAGTGCCCATCGTAGAGATTCTCTTTCTCTCTCCATCTCTGTTGGAATGGGAAGAAAAAAAACACCCAGAACAGCACAGACCAGTAAAGAGACACCCTTCGAGAGAGACATAAAGAGAAAGAGACGGATACAGAGAGAAGCAGGGTATTGATAGAAAGGGTGAAAGATGCAATTGTTTCAGAGAGCAGGAGCTGTGTGCGGTATGCGAAGAGAATAGACAGTCTGACGGCCTCCATTAATGGCATTATGATAAGATGTTAGAAGCCCAAACTAGCGCACAGCTTCCCAGCAAGAAAGAGAGATGGACAGATAAAACAAAGTTGAAGTTTTTAAATGTACATTTTTCCTCTTTTAAACTTTTGTTTTTTTTAAATGTATATATGCATGTATATGTTTTCGCAGGTTGTCAGGAGTTATCTCTATCTGAGACTCCACGCTGCTCCATTATTCTCAATGATGGCTGCAAAAAAAGGATTACTGACCATCAGTGGACATCAAAAGGTTTAAACATGGTTAATTCTTTGAGTTAAAATAAATAAATAAATCAAATTAATTTAAATACCTTCCATTATTTTTTAACAAACACTAAAAAAAATGGTCTGTTCAGCATATTAACATACATGTATCGAGAATTCTTTTGAAGGTTATATAATTTCAAATGATCTTTTAATAAAAGCAATTACTCAATTTAAGGAGAATATAAAAATTGCTTTCATTAAAAGGTCATTCGAAATTATATAGCCTTCAAAAGAAATCTCGTTACATGCATGTTCATATACTGAACAGACCAAATAATTATGTATCCAAAATCCAAATAAATATGTATCCATATTTTTAAATATTTAAAAAAATGTTGAAGGAATAGTTCACCCAAGAATAGACAGCAGTAGTTTTCAAATCTCATTTGTACATCTACATTGAGATGCATTGCCAATACGAATATGCCAAATAATATGCACATGCACAAATTCAATTTGAGAATAACCATTCAAAGATCTTGCACAAATATAGAGCATGAGTCATATAGACAATTTTAATGGTGTTGCCTTTTTGCAGTTTGACAACCTCTGGTCACCATACCTCTTTTCTGGAAAAGTACAGCTTAAATATTTTTTAAATTAATATCTTGTTTTTGTGTTTCATGGAATAAAGTAAGTCATATATGAAGGCGAGTAAAACTGTCAATTCATTTTTTGGGTGAACTATGTCTTTAATTGCTCGTGGCATTTGACTTCCTCTAAACTTATTTTAGTCACTTTTCTTGAAATCTATCATTTATTTCTTGCATGCCGTAAAATGTTAGTATATATAAATATATTAAACTTGTAGATATTTTGTCACGTGTTTGCGTTTTTGTACCTGTCCCTCTCAAGAGCCCTGGTAGTTGGCCTGGAAGCGTTCCGTCTCCTGAAAGATGAGCTCTTTCAGCTTCTCTTTAGGAAGGTCGTCCAGCTCCATGTTGAAAGTGAAGGGCTCCTCAGCCACCGGCTAAATTTGCAAACAATATGAAATGCTGTTAGGCTTAACTAACAGATATGGGATTGTACAGATGACAGATTGAAGGGGAGTGAAATGGACGCAGCTGGAGAGGGGAAAGAGAGATACCTCATCAGTGGGGTCATAGTACTGTTCCAGGTAGGGGTGGGCCAGTGCTTCCTCCACGGTTATACGTTTGATGGGGTTGAAGGTTAGCATGCGGTCCAATAAATCCAGAGCTGAAACGTAAAGGTAGAAGTACATAAAGCAGTTCCACACTACTATGTTAAATCTATGATTACAAAAGTTAAATCTATGATTACAAAAGAACTTATTCATTAGTACTACTATACAGCCTATAAATCATGCACAGCTAACAAAACACAAACCGATGGTCACAGAGAAAAGGCATACCAGGATGTAAACGTACAAACACAGTAGTTGATTTTTCTTTTTTTGTCTTTCCAGCCAATGTTTCATTAAACATACTTGCACAAGGCAGCCAGACCATCAAAAGACCATTTGTTGACACCCACATTTGTTCAGTACTCCCACATGCACACACGGACACACTTGTATATGTGGTTTACAGGGACTCTCCATCGACGTAATGGTTTTATACTGTACAAACTGTATACCCTATCCCCTTACACTGTGTCTGCAACAGATGTGACAGTCACTAAACATTCCTAAAGATCCTAATGCGTGAGCTTACCTTTGTTGTCTGCTTTGGGGAACAGCTTGGTCCATGGGATTTTCGGTTTCTGGGGTAAAGACTGGAGGTAGTTCCTGGCCTTCATGTTGATGATGCAGTTTAGATCATCTTGAGAGGGGGAGCCCAAAATACCTGGTTGATGGGGCAGGAAAATTAACACATAATGAACGAGCTAAAATGCTTGCATGCACAAATGAGTCAAATAACAATACAATGGTCATCAACTGAAAATCATTGTTTCTACAATCTCCTTGGGTTTGCTTCTGTAAAACAGACAGCAAGGAAGAACATGATGCTGAATAAAAAAATAAAATGCTAATGCTAAAATGCTAGTAAAATGTTTAACTAACATTATATTTGTGCCTGGTTAAGCTTTTCAGTTTTTAAAAGGGAGTAGAAAATTCTTCTGTGCTGGGTTGCCACTTAAATACAGTAATAAAATGAATATAAATTATACTAAATACATACTAAAATAGATTTCATGTCAAAAAGATCCACAGATCCACTGCTTTAGTATATCGTCTTAACATAAAATTTAACTTATTCCTGTGATTTTAAAGCTGACCTTTCAGCATCATTACTTCAGTCTTCATGCTAATCTGTTGCTCAATTATTGCTTGATATCAATGTTGAAAACAGTTGTGCTGCTTCATATTTTTGTGGAAACCATGATAATAATTTTTTTACAGGATTATTTGATGAATAGAAAATGTGAAAAAACAGCATCTTTACTTTTGATCAATTAAATGAGTCCTTTAATAAAAGTATTCATTAAATCTCCCTGACCCAAAACCTTGAAACAATAGTGTACTACTGTACTTTTATGTTATTTCCGAACCTAAGCCCAGGGAAGTTAGCTGTCAACATTGCACACTGTTCAGAAGCTGATAGTCCATTCTCTTCAGAGTGTTTCCTGCCCTCACTGATACAGTGTGTCACTCCTTACTACATGCAGATCCATAAAAGTTCCTTTTTTATATGTTATGCTTCAGGTAGTGCAGATTTGAGAATAAAAGAGAAGTCGGAAAAAGAGGAAATTCCATTTAGCATTAGACTCATGTTCTTACCCAATATGTGGTTGAGCTGGTCCAGATAGTGCTTTCCAGGGAAGATGGGTCTGTTGGACAACATCTCAGCCAGGATGCAACCCACAGACCAAATATCAATGGACATGGTGTAGCCCTGAAAGATAAAGAGATCATGTCAAAATATGCATCCAGTTCATATCTTAAATGCTAAAGACAAACACACATATGCACAAACCTTGGAGTTGAGCATGATCTCAGGGGCACGGTACCAGCGAGTAGCCACATACTCTGTGAGGAATCCAGTGTGGTCATGTTCTGGATCGGCTATCCGTGCCAGGCCAAAGTCACAGATCTATGGGTGAGGAAATATAATTGTCCTCTATACAACCCTCCAACATACAATTTTGCTTAAAAAAAAGCCCCTAACTTCTATATTTAGCTTCACTAGGATCAATGCCTTCAGATTAAACAAAGCACAAGAACAATATTACTAAATTTGGTCCTGCATTCCTCAAAAATATCTTCACCAAAATAGATCTATTACGAAATAATTTCCACTCATTAAAATCACATTTGTTTTATATTCATTTAATTTTTAATGTCAGATTAAAAGCTGCTGTGTTATTACCAATTGTTTTCTAAACACTACTTCTTATATTAAGAGTTTTATGTTTGGTTTGTTTGTTTAAGTTTGGCTGTTCTGACCTTGAGGTCACAAGTGGTGTTGATGAGAAGGTTTGAAGGCTTCAGGTCTCTGTGCAGGACATTGGCAGAGTGAATGTATTTCAGCCCTCGCAGGATCTGGTACAGAAAGTAGCAGATATGGTCGTTGCTGAGTTGCTGTGTCTTCAGCAATTTGTAAAGATCGGTCTCCATCAGGTCCTGTACGATATAGCTGAAACGCAGTTAAAGAACTACAACGTAACGTACAATATAACAATGTGATAATATACACACTATTTTCAAGATACAATTTGGCCTAGTGCATTGTGAGCCAGTTGGTGTGCATGTTTAAGGATACACATCCCTCATAAATTCGATGCGGCGAGCTCTCAGGATGTCATTGATGCCTATGATGTTCTCATGACGGAACCGCAGGAGGATTTTGATCTCCCTCAGGGTGCGCTGGCAGTAGGTCTGATGTTCAAATGGACTGATCTTCTTAATGGCCACTCGGATCTTATTCACATTATCAAAAGCTGAGCTGCAGGCGGCAGGAAAAGAGATGATGGGAAGAGAGGAGAGAGAATAAAATAAAAATCAACTCATACAAGCTTGTGCATGTATTTAACTTGCATTGAATGTGGAATAATGTAAAAAAAAAAAAAAAAAAACTGCATGATTTAGTGGCACATTTGAAAGTAAATGGAGGTTAATTTAAAAAATATTTAGTGTCAACCTCAAGCCATACTAAATATTATATGAGCTGTTAATTTTTTTAATATAAGATGTCTATATTGTTTAAACCTCTGTTTTGTGTGTTTTAGAAATAACATTTAAATGGAAAAAAATTATATATATATATATATATATATATATATATATATATATATATATATATATATATATATATATACACACACATAGATACATTTAAGAAAAGACATAACATTTATAAATGTTTACCAAATTGAACATCGAATCAACACATCAAAATGACAACATTTTTATATAATTTAAAAATAAAAACCTGTGAGATTGCACAGGCCAAAATATACAATTTTCCATACATTTGAATGCGTTTAAAACTACTAAAGTGTATTTGTGGAAAATATCTTGTATCTAGATTCTCTATATTTTTCTTCTTCTTACGCAGCAGTCTGATGTCCCTAACCAAAGATATCCATAGAAGGCCTTAGTGTTTTATTACAGGGTGTTTGTTTACATCCTCCTGCTAAACTTGACAGTCATTTTGAGGATGGAGGGCAGACCAACGCGCTCACCTCTGAATTCTGCTTATTATCTATTTTGTTTACCATAATTTGATGACATATTATAAGCAGTTGACATTATATTTAAAAAATGGTGGGTATGTAGTTTGACAAAAACCGCAAAAATATTTCCTAAAACACTTAATCCACATTTGGCCGCATCGTAACCACGCCTGTTTTACGAGCTCAGAGTGAGATGTCAGATTGCTAGCTGTGGCGCTAACAGCCCTAGCGTGCAGATTCAGAATGCAAACAACTAACAAGACTCCCAAAATCAAGAGTGACAAGGGACATTCAACGTCTGAACTAAACGCCTGTTCTCAATAACACAGATTCACGTGCAGCTAGACACTGTTTGTGCCTTTAAACCAAGTGAGCTGCCTACTTAGATAGGATTTTTGAACATTTTAAACGTGCCTATGATGCAAAAATAGAAAGAAAATATGTTTATGTAGGCAGTTCGCTGTGTTCTGAAACACAGCCAATGTTGAAGAAATGGGATTTAATCCAATGCATTAACGTTACTCGAAATCTATTGTTAGCCCTGATATTCTGGGAAGGATATGCAAAAACTTGTTGAGCCAAACAAATTATTCAGTTGATTTCGAAACAACGTTTATATCTGCTGTTCTGTCCATGAAATTGGAATGCTATTAGTTTTTGGCGAATCAACACCCTGTTTTTCTTTACTACGAAGAGCTGATAAGTAGTAGCACTAGCCCACTCGCCCCGATCCAACAGTATCTCCATCGAAGAGTGCGACTGCAAAAACGAGCAGTTTCCGCTTACCAGACCATTCCATAGGCCCCCTCCCCGATGTACTGGAGATCGGTGTATCGGGGGCCAACGTCAAAATTTTGTCCCTTCACCGACTCCAGGCCAGGCTTGGATCCCGCCGCTCCATTTGGTCCCCCGGGTGCGACGGCTCCTCCGGTCCCGGCGGCGCTGCTATTCGAGCCCGCGGCTCCGACCGCCGCCGCGCTGCTGCCCGATTCCGCCATCGTTTCTGTCCACAAATCAGTCGACTTCGCTCAGTCTTTGGCGGGAGGGGGGCTCGTATTTGCCTTCAGATCAAAGACAGGTTTATTGGATAGCAAAAGCTGCCGTTATACGGTGCGCTTTCTTGACAGTCGAAGAGGAGTCGTCAAGGCCCCCCTGTGGATGCGAGTGCGGAACGAGCGTGCATCTAAACCAAACGGATCGAAAGCGCGAACGCGCATTTCTCCTGTACAACATTCGGGGGCGCGCGCTCGCTGCGCGTGAAAAGCGAAAAGCCACAAAGCAGACGCATTTACACAGCGCTCGAGTGGGCGTGCAGAATGCCTCCCACGGTTACGGTTAGTAGGCACTCCGGCGTGATTTACAGTTTGTGGTTGGAAAAAAACTAAAGACAGAAGGGGATATCTTAACAAGAAATGCAAGAGAAATAGTATACATATTTTCCATCATTATAATATCATTTTAGTGCTGTCAAATCGATTAATCGCGATTAATGTATGCATGTATAAATTATGTGATACAGTACACACACACGCAGAGAGACAAGTGGATACACACACGTATTATGTAAACAAAAACTTGTCGATTTGACAGCACTACAATTTATACGGTAGTGCTGTGAAGTTGCCAGTCTGAAAACCAAAACCATATATATACAGGTCCTTCTAAAAAATTAGCATATTGTGATAAAGTTCATTATTTTCCATAATGTAATGATAAAAATTAAACTTTCATATATTTTAGATTCATTGCACACCAACTGAAATATTTCAGGTCTTGTTTTAATACTGATGATTTTGGCATACAGCTCATGAAACCCCAAAATTCCTGACTAAAAAAATTAGCATATTTCATCCGACCAATAAAATAAGTGTTTTTAATACCAAAAAAAAAGTCAACCTTCAAATAGTTATGTTCAGTTATGCACTCAATAGTCAATACTTGGTCGGGAATCCTTTTGCAGAAATGACTGCTTCAATGCGGCGTGGCATGGAGGCAATCAGCCTGTGGCACTGCTGAGGTGTTATGGAGGCCCAGGATGCTTCGATAGCGGCCTTAAGCTCATCCAGAGTGTTGGGTCTTGCGTCTCTCAACTTTCTCTTCACAATATCCCACAGATTCTCTATGGGGTTCAGGTCAGGAGAGCTGGCAGGCCAATTGAGCACAGTAATACCATGGTCAGTAAACCATTTACCAGTGGTTTTGGCACTGTGAGCAGGTGCCAGGTCGTGCTGAAAAATGAAATCTTCATCTCCATAAAGCTTTTCAGCAGATGGAAGCATGAAGTGCTCCAGAATCTCCTGATAGCTAGCTGCATTGACCCTGCCCTTGATAAAACACAGTGCACCAACACCAGCAGCTGACATGGCACCCCAGACCATCACTGACTGTGGGTACTTGACACTGGACTTCAGGCATTTTGGCATTTCCTTCTCCCCAGTCTTCCTCCAGACTCTGGCACCTTGATTTCCGAATGACATGCAAAACTGAGCAACAGTCCAGTGCTGCTTCTCTGTAGCCCAGGTCAGGCGCTTCTGCCGCTGTTTCTGGTTCAAAAGTGGCTTGACCTGGGGAATGCGGCACCTGTAGCCCATTTCCTGCACACGCCTGTGCACGGTGGCTCTGGATGTTTCTACTCCAGACTCAGTCCACTGCTTCCGCAGGTCCCCCAAGGTCTGGAATCGGTCCTTCTCCACAATCTTCCTCAGGGTCCGGTCACCTCTTCTCGTTGTGCAGCGTTTTTTTGCCACACTTTTTCCTTCCCACAGACTTCCCACTGAGGTGCCTTGATACAGCACTCTGGGAACAGCCTATTTGTTCAGAAATTTCTTTCTGTCTTACCCTCTTGCTTGAGGGTGTCAATGATGGCCTTCTGGACAGCAGTCAGGTCGGCAGTCTTACCCATGATTGCGGTTTTGAGTAATGAAACAGGCTGGGAGTTTTTAAAAGCCTCAGGAATCTTTTGCAGGTGTTTAGAGTTAATTAGTTGATTCAGATGATTAGGTTAATAGCTCGTTTAGAGACCCTTTTCATGATATGCTAATTTTTTGAGACAGGAATTTTGGGTTTTCATGAGCTGTATGCCAAAATCATCAGTATTAAAACAATAAAAGACCTGAAATATTTCAGTTGGTGTGCAATGAATCTAAAATATATGAAAGTTAAATTTTTATCATTACATTATGGAAAAGAATGAACTTTATCACAATATGCTATTTTTTGAGAAGGACCTGTATATATATATATATATTCATACTGGCAACTTGAATATTATAATTTGATGCATTTAAACCTGTCCCAAAAGGAATAAATTGTGTCCATTGTATTGGGTACGACTGTCCTTGTATATGATAAATGATCAATGTAAACATCTACCAGAGAGATTTTACCGGATTTTACGATGATTTTACAGATCAGCAGAGCACTCTAGTGGCTCATAATCATTACAGCAAGTCGCATGAATTGCGTCAAAAGGCTGGGCTGATCTCTCACTTCCTGGTTACTGCAGCTCTGGGTTTCATTTATTGATTTGGAATGAAAACTGTTTCCCGTAACTGGGTTGCATCGGTGCAAGTAGCGCTTAGTCTTCTTGGGCTTCCGTACTCTGCTGGTACAAGTGGAATCTGGTATGTAAATTACTGTAATGAATGAAATGAATTTAAATTCTGACGCTGTTGTTGTGATAACGTACAAGTTTGACGGCTATTATCGACAGCTTTTTCATTTCTTAATAATGTACGTTTTCTTGTAGTACCTTGTATTTTGTCTTGTGAGTATTCAAATTATTATTATTTTAAGAAACATCACTGACTTTGTAAAATTGAAACTTCAAGTTTAAATGAATTATTTTAACCCATTTTCAGCAGGAAGAACGCCATTAACAGGATTCCCAGTCTCTGTTCATCAACATCTGTCTACATGTCTCCTGTCGCGCACATTAAGGCTCGTTGTCCAGTATATCCTGGCTCAGACACACGCCGCTTTTCTGTCCCAGATGACAAGGTTGACTGGGAGATAGACTGGCCCCAGTACAACCCTGTTAACTATACGGCCTCCACTGTGCTGAAAAAGCCTGTTTGGGCTGACCCAGAGATTGGGTGTGTAACAACATATGTAAAACACACCATGAGTAATGAAAATAAATCAAATAAATATATTATTTTATTTGTTTTCATTATATACCGTTATATATATTTTTCAATCCAAACCGCTGCACTTAAAATTTCCCTTACAGATTTAAATATGCACAAGTGAATTATAGTGGTTAAAATTAAAACGGTATACCTGATAATGTGTTGAAATATATGTGTAAAAGTTTCTTTTAATACATTTAGACTATTTGCACTTCCTTTAGCGCATTTTCCCCACAGTTCAATTCCTTGGATGGATCTGTGGACAGGAGAAGCCACGAGGACCCATATCGTATCCAGAATGGAAAACCACTGTGAGTCAAACTAAGTCAAGTCACCTTTATTTATATTGCGCTTGTATCAAAGCAGATTCAGTGTATTTATAAAAGTTCAGTTCAGCTATAAACTGCTCTACTGAAGACAATAGTGTAGTTATTCAGCTCGAGTCAGTTAAATGTTGATTCAATCCAGTTCAATAACTGTCGATGCTGCAAATTAATCTATTATGAAATGAAGAGATTCAAAACAATAAAATACTAGGTCATCCAAAATATTTAAATATTTGCAATATTAATTACAAGGCTTGATTTGCTGCTTATTAAAATCTACTCGCTGTAAATCATCCTCAGTAATCCACATGGAAGAACTGGACTCGAGGGCAGAGGATTACTGGGAAGGTGGGGTCCAAACCACGCTGCTGATCCAATAGTTACCAGGTACTAGAATGTGTCATAATAAATGGTAACCAACCTTTCAACTGCAGTCTTTCTCCCATTTGACCGGTTTAACAATTCCAAGCATGCAAAGTATTTCGTGTTCAATGTGGCAGAGTTCACATGCTTAAAACAATCACCCATTCCCATTTCCTGTGGCTGCTTTATTCAGGTGGAAAAGGGACTCGAAAGGACAACATGTCCACCACACTACCTCACAACTACCCTTGCTGCAATTTGTGTCCATCAAGAGGGTGGACTGCGGTGAATGGGCCATCCCAGGGGTGAGTATAAACTGTGATGCTTATGTAAGCATTTATCTGTTATATATTTTTAACAGGGACCATCTCACACAATACATTTTGAGTCAAATTTTCAGAATGGTTATTTTGAGTGAGCAGCATGTGTGGGGTGATTTTTAGTGTTTTTTGTTTAAATTCATTCTGCTAATGTGGTAACATAGGGTTATAATCTTTTTGTTGTTGTGTGTTCAGGGTATGGTGGACCCCGGGGAGCGCATTTCTCAAACATTGGAGCGCGAGTTCTCAGAAGAGGCATTGAACTCTCTGCAAGCATCTGCAAGTGAGAGGGAAAATATCCAAAAGCGAATCACTAAGCTTTTCAGCTCAGAAGGTCTTCAGGTGAGATCATGTGCTTCTGTGTGGTTTTCAGTGTCTAAAGGTGCAGCCACGTTATTGAAATTTCACGAGAACAAAGCTCCATTGTCAATAGTGTAGTGATGCATGAATCACATCACACCTCATAATGAACAATGTTGTGTGACCACACCTTAACCGTTGCAGTGCTTTATAACACAGCAACTTTTTTCTATAGGTGTATAAAGGTTATGTAGATGATCCAAGAAACACAGATAATGCTTGGATGGAGACAGTTGCGGTCAATTTCCATGATGAATTGGGTAAAAACAGTATAATGATGAAACACTTAATAATATAAGTACATTGTTCGACCGCACGTGTTTGATTCAGTTTTTTTCCATCTAGGCAATAGTGTAAGTGAGCTTCCATTGCAAGCAGGCGATGATGCTGGTCAAGTGAGTTGGATTGATGTTGACTCCTCCTTGGACCTTTATGCGAATCACTTGCATTTCCTGGAGACAGTTGCTAAGGAAAGGAATACCCACTGGTAACTGGTAAAAACTGGAAACTGCCTTTCTGCTGTGACATAAATTAAGGAAAATCTAATCTGACTGAAGCATAAGAAGAACTGTAGCTTGGAGACATAATTCAAATGTAAACTAGAAAAATCAGTTCTGGTGCTGGCACATATTAATATGGAGTGTGACCCGTCTCAACACTTCCAAAACTTGCATTCCAATAAGCAAAATATCTGCACTTTCTTAAAATCCAGTATAAAGCATGGCTACCGAAAATGAAGGCTTACTGATTATTTAAGTTATTCTTGTTAGACTGAACTGAACACTATTACCTGAATAAGAACTTGGTCAGCGTATGCATGTACTGTCTCTGTAATAACCAAAAGAATAAGCCATCTCATACTGTGCACTTACTCTGTGTGTTGCTTTACCTTTTGTCTGCTGTGCTGCTGCTTTGATACTGAAGTGGTTCAATTTCTTTTATTTTGACATACTCAAAAGCAACTACTAGAGCTAGAAATATGAAAAAAGTCTGCTTGGTCTGAACATGCATAATGTGAATTCTCTGAAAGCCTGTTTCTTTTGAATTGTTAAGGGATAGTACTGGTTAAATACAATTTGCACACAAAAATGAGGGACATTTAGGCACTTCAGTTGTGTATATTCACGCATTGCCTTTTTCAACAGATTTGATGTCATCAGTACTGCTGATATGTGAAGGAAAATAATTTGACGTTGGTTTTAACCTTGCAAAAATTGCCAGTCATTGTCCACTGAGCGACTGAGCCATGTTGACATCACTGATTATATAGTCTTTATAGTCTTGGATTTCAATGACTCTTTTAGTTTGTATGTGCTGCTAGATTCAACATTTGGACAATTTATAAAATAGCGATATATATATATATATATATATATATATATATATATATATATAATGTACAGCGGGTAAAATAAGTATTGAACACGTCACCATTTTTCACAGTAAATATATTTCTAAAGGTGCTATTGATATGAAATTTTCACCAGATTAGAATTTAGAATAAGAATGACACAGGGAAAAATTATTGAAGACATGAAGAAAGGGAGGTGCAAAAAGGCATGGAAAGGCAAGACAATCAGTAATTAGAAAGCAATCCTGCCCCTTGTCAGTGCAAATTAATATCAGCTGGTTCAGTCCCAACTGATGGCCTAAAAAAAGGTGTCTTATTACCAAGGTGTCACACAAAAAACATCTCATGATTGGTAAAAGCAAAGAGCTCTCTCAAGACCTTCGCAACCTTATTGTTGCAAAACATACTGATGGCATTGGTTACAGAAGGATTTCAAAACTTCTGAATGTTCTAGTGAGCACAGTTGGGGCCATAACCAGGAAGCGGAAAGAACGAACATCATTTCACCATAAACCGGCCACGACCAGGTGCTCCTCGCAAGATTTCTGACAGATGAGGTAAAAGAATTATCAGAACAGTTGTCCAAGAGCCAAGGACCACTTGTGGACAGCTTCAGAAAGACCAGGGGCCTGTTTCAGAAAGGAGGTTAAGTGAAAACTCTGAGTATGTTAACCCTGAAATGATGGAGACTCTGGGTTTTCCATTTCAGAATGGGAGGTATGTCAAACCCGAGAAAGAAGAGTAAGTCATGCCCGTTTCAGAAAGAGAGGTAACTTCTACTCAGAGTCAGTTACCATGGTTACTTACTCTGTGAACCTAACCTGGTTGGGAGCAGATTTTCTTATGTAAACCCAGAGTTTTTCTTTTAGTAAATGCATCTTGATTTAAGAATCTTTAGATATTTTGACTGGAAACCACAAGACAAAAATGCTAAGTAAGAAAAGCATTTTTTGCAGTGGAGTACTACATTCATTCATTGCACATTTTTCTATATAACATCAGAGAGAGCACACTAGTAAGGCCACTGTATCAGAGCAGGAAGGAAAGTGTGCCTCGCTCTCACACTCTTTCTGAGAGTTTTCTTGGACACAAACCATGAGATCCATCAAAGAGGAGTTTCACAGGATTGCAGGACAGTGGTGGAGAAACCGGTTTAAATGAGGCTAATCTGATAAATGATAACATCTTGCTGTGACCTCTGAAAGTAACCTAATAATTAGAATTTCCTTTAGGATTTCCAATCTGGTTGGATGCATTGATGACATGCATACTCCCATCATCGCACCTTCCGAAAATGAAACGGATTACTGTATGGAATGGGAGGATGCCAGATGGAAGAATAGTCCGAGATGTATGCCGTAACCACCACCACAGCTGTTAAATACACACAAGTTATGCACAATTTATTAATCTTTATTTCCTACAAATACAAAAGCAACAGTTATTCTTTTTCCTGTTGGATTTTAATATTCTTCCAATATTGTGTATCTCCTCTTCATCTATCAGTGGTGGTGCAGGTCCAGCCTATGCCGTCTTGCTGTTGGCTCAGTAAAAGTCAAATGTTAATTTCATTAGCCTAATTAAAAAAATGTAACAGGTCGGATTAGAGAACATTTAATTATGTGAAAAGAGCATTGCACTATGTGGAAATAGCTGCTGCACATTGAAATAGACACTGAATTATATTTATTTAATATATCAAATGTTTGTAAAGTCAAGTAGCCATGAACCTTTTATGCTTAAAGATTTAACTGATTGAATTATGAATTTATTGTTCATTTTTAGTTGCTACCACCACGGTCTTTTTTTTTTTGTGGGATACCATGAAAATGTGTATTAGTAAGACGTGTATGGATGGATTATCTCGGCAAAGGAGAAGTGCTCACTAACACAGATTTAGACAGATTTGTGAACAATATTTGAGAGAAATAGGCCTTTTGTGTACATAGAAAAAGTCTCAGATCTTTGAGTTCAGCTCATGGAAAATGGGGGCAAAAACAAAAGTGTTGCATCTATAATTTTGTTCAGTCTAGTTATCAGTATCCCAGAAACTATCAATGTGTTGGACCTTCTATATGTAGCCCACGTGACCATGGTTTGATTTCTTTGCATGTATGGATTGCGTGGGTTGTTACCAACATCTGGTGAACATTTCATGTCAATAGCACCTTTAGAAATAGATTTACTGAGAAAAATGGTGACGTGTTCAATACTTATTTTACCCGCTATATAAATATATATATGTGTGTGTGTGCGTGTGCGCATCAATGAGATTCCATTACCATATGAAACCTGTGAATCAAAAATATACAATGTAGTGACTCAAGTTTTCACACAGCACCTAAAAAATGATAAGAGTTATCTTTAGAGTATGATCGTGTCCTTGACATTTAGGATTTATCGCTTGCATTGAAAGCTTCTCTTCCATGGTCTATGATTCAAGATTCTGTAAATTATTCAGGTGCGAATATAAACATTTTGATCGGCTCTAACTGATTACAAATATGCAACACTGGCTATATAAATACAAGCAGCATAAAACTAACCACAAGTTCATGAATATGCTCATTTCTGTACAGATGTATATATGCAAATATACAAACCTACTCATTTTATTTTTGTTGGGAAAAAATATCACCAGTTTGAAAATACAAAACTTCCACATAATTAGGGACAGTCATAACAGTTTCAAATACATTTTACAAGATGTAAGAAAAGGTTTGTATTGAGGAAGGAATGTGAAAGCTTATGAAAAAAGAGAACTAAATGCTTTAACTGGTCCATTCACAGAAGTACTGATGTTCTGCAGATAAAAGGTGGCCAGCAAAAACAACAACAAAAAAAAGCATTAAAAAAGGCAGTCTATACAGGTGTTGTTTCTGACGCTTCCAAATGTCCTTCTGGACTAGAAAGTCAAAGGAAGTAGTCAGCCACAGGTTTCTTAGAGGGGAGGCCTCTGGTTTCCTGAGGTGCTGCTTCAAATATGATAAACTCCTTCTGGAGATGCTCATCAAGCTCCAAAATGGCTGCCACATTACCACACCTAAGAAAATATAACAAGAGAAGGAAATAAAATAAAAACGCTCCCGGTGAGACATTTCTTAGGAGCTGTAAATTAAGTAATGCAAAGCAGCATGCTAACATCTGAATAATCATTTGTACACACAAGTTATGGAACCACTGTAAGAGTGAAAAAAAAAAAAAAACACACACCTATAACAGTAGTTTGGCGCAGACCACACAGTTAACACGGTCTCACTGAAATGCCACTTGTAGCCCTCCATCACCAGCTGATGAGCTCTGCAGATCATGCTGATATCATTGGCAGCATTAAACTGCGCCACCACATCACTGCCAAACAGATATCCAGCCCCTCTTGGACTCACTCCCCACCCTGTGGTGTCTAGAAACAAGAAAGAGCAAACAATCTTAGGTCTTTAGGTCAACATATTAAAGGTCCTTCCTTTATGTTGCATTTTATTAGTCTCTCACCCTCAGGGTCAGACCACAGTAGGTCACACATGGGTCCATCATGAGGAACTTCCTGCTTTCGGTCAATAGTTCTGATCTGATCCAAAGTTTGAATAGATGGAGAAAGCCCACCATGCACACAAAATATCTGGGGAGCAAAAACAGTATACATACAGTACCATTAAAAAGTTTGGGGTCAGTAATTTTTTTTTTTTTTAAGAAAAAAACCCCCTAAACCATTTATTCAGCATGGATACACTAACTTGATGAAAAGTGACAAAAAATTGTTTTACACAGATACAAAAGACTTCTATTTCAAATGAGTAACTGGACTGCAATAATAGCTTTGCCATTACAGGAATACTTAGATTTTAAAATTCAATTCAATTAAAATTTATTTGTATAGCGCTTTTCACAATACATATTGTTTCAAAGCAGCTTTACAGAAAGTGCATTTCAGAAATGTACAAAATTGAATTGTAATAGTTTTTACTGTATTTTTGATCAAACAAATGCAGCCTTGGTGAGCATAAGAGACTCTTTCACACACAAAAAAACCCCCCTGAACTTTTGAAAGAGTGTGTGTGTGTTTGTGTAGTAGAGATACTGTGTGTGTGCGTGAGTGTATTAGAGATCCATCGGCCGATTTTTTTTATCAATTTAAAACCATCAGAGGTGGTATTAACATTAAGTGTCATGGCATCTTGCGCACAGAAGCCATTGGCACATGCCGCTATGCTAAGTGGCACATCCTGTTGTCATTGGCATGTGCCATTAAAACTTGTGACGTGCCGTGCCACTGACATTTTTGCGGAGCATGTTGCTGTATGTTGTGGCACCTTCAGTAGCTTAGTGACACATGCCACTGTCTGCTGCTCATTATGTAGATGTTGTATTATGCACTAAACGGCAGAACGACATTTAATTAGTTGTTTTCAAACAGAGTTTATTACATCCCAGGGGCAATTGTTACAACCATTAAGCGTCTCCCTATTTAATATCTGCCTTGTGGCTTGTTGTATGTTTATTATAATACATTTCTTTTTAAAATAATTTTCACAATGTAATTAAATAGATATTGTAAATTCACAGTTGTTTTGATAACTCAATTTTTTTTCTATTTGCATAGGATTGATAGTTCAGCTGTGTCTTTTGGAATTATAAAATAATTTAGATGGGTAGCCACAACTAAAGTGAAACCAACAGGGATATGTGCCACCACAAATTGACACTTACCAATCAGGTATTTCATACTTTAAACTACTATTATGAAAACTGGGACCAAGCATTCAGAAGTGTGTTGGAACTTGACATTGGCTCTTCACAATGTAATGTAGGTCTCAAGATATTATATTGAACTTGTTAAAAAAGGTTTTATTTCTTATTACATAATTCCATAAAAATTATTTGCGAAATATTAAAGCCATAGATAAGAACCTTTTCTAATGTCTAACTCAAACAAATAACAAACACACCACACGTGGATCTTCCTCAAATGTCGAAGTTTTGGGTTATCTTGCGCTGGCCAATGTTACACTTATACCGACACTTACAGGCGTGCACGCAAAAATAAAGGTTTACAGTAACGGATGCGATTTATTTATTTACTAGAATGAGCAGTTTGCATGATCAACATACAATAGCACTGGTATTACAACAATCAGTGGCAAATGTCACTCAAATACAGATTTGCCACAAACTGACTAAAAATATTAGAGATTTATAAATGCGTTTAATTCTTCTTTTTTTTAACTATAAAAAAAAAAGAATACAAAAATGCACTCTTTCATTAGAAAAAAATATCCCACCTTTAATAGTGGAGCATATTTACAGTAAAAACCTTGTCTGAACTATGAGGGTAAAAAAAAATAAAAGCAGAAAAAAAACAAAATAATTGTCATCAAGATTTTGATTTTAGGTCGCATCATTCAGCCCTAGTACGTACAGATCCAAAGCGCGCGACCGGAAATCCGTGTTTTGGACAACGAACAAATACTGAATTGAGTTCTCTTTCATTTCTAAATTATAATGAAAAAATACCTGTCTTGGCAAGTATCCCTGTAAACATAGTCAGTTATGTCTTAAGCCGGGTTCACACTGTACAATTTTGGTCACAATTTGGCCGCCTGAGACCAATTTAGTTTGACAGCCGATTAATGACTGTTGGGATAAAATTTTACCTCTGACGAAATTTTCACCGTCTCAGAAGTTTTGACTCACAGTCCTGCAGTGTGACTGTCAAATTGGCTTTGCTTCTTAATTTTTTTAAATTTGTGTATAGTCTTAAAAACGTGCAAAGAAAATAAATAAATCAATTTTAACGACAAAAAGTTCAAATAAGACAGCAAGTAACAAATATTGGTATCTGTCAATAGTTATTTGTTAAAATCAGTATCGGCCAAAATAAAAATCCAATCGGTGCATCCCTAACGTGTGTGTGTGTGTGTAGTAGAATGTAAAAGTAATAGAAAGTGGAAAGATACTAAAATATAAGAGGACCTACCTTGCCATCAACAATGGCAGAGAGGGATAAGTAGTCAAATATCTCTGTGCAGTACCTCCAGACTGTAACAGAGCCATATTTTCTAAGACACTCGTCATAAAAGCCATACACTTGTGTGATCTGCCTCGACTCGTGATTCCCTCTGATCAGCGTTATTCGGTCAGGGTATCGCACCTGAAGGCATAAACAAAGAACTGAGAATAGAACAGACTACAGAGTGTAGAACAACTTTAACGCAGCTATAACATTACAAGCAAACAAGATTCAAGAACTTCTGGACAGATTTTGCACCTTAAATGCAAGCAGCAATAGAAAAGTCTCAACGCTATAGAACCCTCTGTCCACAAAGTCCCCCATGAAGAGGTAGTTTGTCTCCGGAACTTCACCCCCCACCTGAAAACCCAGAGGACAACAATCAGAATCAAATGACACACGCATTGGGTATAAAAAAAACTGATCTACCAAGGGCAATACAAATTTGAAAGTAAATGTATTGTGAATTCAATGAATGCTATGTTGCATTCTCAATTGCTTACCCTAAATAGCTCCTTTAAATCATAAAACTGCCCATGTATATCTCCACAGACCTGCAAACAAAATAGTGATTTGGTTTTTAATTGCATAATCCTATGAAAAGTTAGTTAGATAGTACATTTATAAAGAAATACACACTGTGACAGGAGAATCTACCCTCTGAACATTACTCTCCTCCACAAGAATCTCCCTATAGAGCAAAACAACGACACTTGCAACATTAATTCAATCATCAACTCTATACTGATATACAACATAAGAACAATCAGGAATAACCATTTAGATGCATATAAAAAAAAACTAATAAGACATGAATACTGAGACATCTGGTCTCTGAAAGGACAAGTTCGGTATTTTACATTTGAAGCCCTGTTTCAAGATCGTTTCTGATGAAACAGGGCTTCAAGTGTAAAATACCGAACTTGTCCTTTAAACACCTGAGTGTAGGCATTACCTCGCTTTGGCACACAGCGCCTTGACCTCATTTTCCTTGATTAGTTCACAACGTCTGAGTTGCTCGATCTGTCTGTCCAAGTCAATGACGTCGCCCATGATGACACACATGCATACACTCACAGAAATACTCCTCAATGTGAGGCTGATAAAAACCCTGTTACTGGCTCTCCAGTCGTCAGTTAGTCTCACAGAGACCACAAACACATTCCCCCTCCTGAGAACTTTAGAGACTATGAGGCTGTGCACATAATCACACACTCAGATGATCCTGAAAGATGTCAAGATGAGAAAATAACTGAAAAACAGAGACACACACACAAAAATCATCAGAAATGCTAAACAATCACATGTATGCTTGGAAACCAGACTAATCTCCTGAGTCTTTCAGTGAGTTTAATAATAATATAATAGTAAGAATATAGTTGCATCCAAGGACTTTCATATTAATATTTTATATTATTTTATTTAAATATTTAAGGTTTTTAATATACAGAAAACTTTTGTTTGTATGTTACATTAAATCTACACTTTAATTGCGTGGCAAGAGTTTCGGTATTAGTTTTAATTATGCATTATTATAATTTAAAATAATACTAAAACTCATAACGGGACTTTAAATCTAATATCAATGTAACAACAAATGAAATAAAACAAATTGAACTATTTGAATATTTTTAACTTAATTTGAAGTATCTCACCCTTTTTTGTTTGTTTTGTTAAAAAAATAGCATTTCTAATACAAAGCCTGGTCTACAAAAATAGCGTACAGACAAAACTGGTAGCATAAATACTAGTAATGCTTTGCTGTGTGTTTTAGAAAGAAAAGGTTTTCTGTTAAAATAAGAATTGCATTTCACACGCTGAAATGTACGTATAAATGCATATAGCATACCTTGGATTTTGGATTAAATTCGTTTAGGCATCCGTCGTTTCTTTTGTAGACGGTAGTTGGAAAAGCGGCGTAAGCAAGTGTGACCGTCGCATCAACAAGCCCGTATCAAACGTTCGGCTCATCTTTCAAAATAAAGGCGGCGATCACCCGTTCTACATGACAGCATACATTAATTGCTCTTATTAATGACATATATTTAATTAATAAAAATTTTTTTACAGCGAGAGAGGGAGAGGGAAAACCCTTGATCTGACAGAAAATGTTAAGATAACGTTAACGTTAACTTACTTATTAAAGAGCATTCAAGAGTGTTTTGTCATAATACACATACGTTTAAACCTCAAATGTGAGATATGTTAGGGTATAACACATGATTTAACCCGTAGTTCAAGTTGATTACATTTAAGAGGACAATATAACAATGTTAATATAAATTAATTTAAGAAATACCTTTTTGTTCTTGTGGCAAACCTTTCCCAGATTGACTGTTGGAGTGTTGCTATTTTGAAATCTAATGTCGCGCTTTTTCCTGTTTGAGAATGTATGACGAAACGGACTGTGATTGGCCGAACCGGCGCGGCGAAAGACGTCCATGATATTTGGCGCCATTTGTCGAAAACAATTCAACTACACTAAAACCTACATTATTACAGAATATGGGCTCTCATTATTAGCGTCAAAAGCACTTTTGATTTTAGATTTACACGCAAGGCGGGTTTCGGGTTGGATAGTACCACATATTATGTTTGTTTTTCGCCGGTTTGGGAATGTATATCGATGTTTGAAAAATGTGTAGATAGATAGGCTTTGTGTTTACTTAAACTCGTTGTTGTATTCATAGTTTATACCCTGTGATCTGTAATTTTGGAGCATGTATCAACGTATCACAGAAGGAAGGAAAAGAACCGGTGAGTGTGCAATGTTTATGAATTTCTACAAACTCATAACGTTAGTTGACAGGTAAACTTTTAATATATGCAGTTATGGAGGCATCGTTTATTCAAACTAACTGTAGCTCCTTATGAATTAAGAAATTATACAAACTTACATGTTGTAAATATGTTTAAATACACTTGATTCATGTGTCTTTGTTTTGTGTATTTGTCTTTGAACTCTTCTAAAACCTTGGATTTGTCTGTTAATTCCATACAGATTTTTAGTTTTGGGGGTGAAACGATGGCTGGTGCCGTTGCTATGGCAGCTGTCATAGAAGATTTTGAGGGTCAGGTATGTGTCATATAAAAAGTTGATATGCTGATATATGGCACTGATTTTATATTCGAAATACACTGAATGATTTTCATCACTCGTCATTATTGCTCTGTTTCTCCAGCCATGCAAGAAATTGAGGAAGGATGGCGATGCACCATCTGTCAAAACTATTACTAACTACTTTATGCCCAAGCCAGTGGAGAAACCGTTTTCACCACCACGGTCTAACAACATTATGGACTACTTTAAGAGAACCTCGCCTGCACAAGAAATAAAAAGCTGTTGTCTGGTAGCTAAAGAGAACTCCCCAGAACCTTCAGAGCAAGGAAGTCGAGAAGTCCCTGGAAAACCTATAAGAGGACAGGGGCAGAAGCGAACCAGGAAGGCCAAGGACCACAAGAAGTCCAAAGAGGAGGGTGCACAGATGGTCACAGATGATGTTGTCTTGATAGAGAGTACCAGTGAATCAGCTGTAAAGGAAAGGGATGTTGTTGTTCCAGCTCAAGCCTGTAATGATGCCTTCTCCAATAAAGAATCTGGCGCAAGGAAAAACACCACAGAGGCTGATCCAGATGTCCTGAATTCTGGGGAAAGTTCTGAGCAAAAACCCTCTTTAAACCAAAGCAGGAAGAAAGATTGTGGGAACAGAAAATCTGGTGTGAGGAGAAACCGAAAGGCGAAAGGGGGCAGTGAAGAGACTAAGGAATGTGATGCTGATGCTCAAGAGCCTGTATGTGACGCTAAATTGGAGGAAAGTGCGGAAAAGAAAAGTAGCACCGTCACAATCTCATTTGAAGACTTCCTACAAAATCAGAACCAAGAGCAGGAGGAGAGCAATGCGATTCCCAAGACTGACACAGCTGAGACGTCAAATGAAGGCAACACCTGTAATGGTCAGAGTGATTCTGCAATCGGTCCTCTGCAGGTGTCACCCCGAACTCTCACGATCCAAGCTGAGGTGCATCCCATTTCCCCCGATCATCATGAGTCTGTCAAAACTGCCAAGGATTTAAAAGTCGCATCCATTTTTAGTAGAAATAAAAAAAGTCAAACAAAAGAAGACAAAAGTTTGTCTGTTCCTATCCCAGAGGTTAAACCGGACGTGTTGCCTGACCTCAAAAGGAAGTCTAACGTTGTTGTTCTCGAGGAAGATCTTGAACTTGATGTGATGGAATCCAGCTCCAATCCTCCTAAAAGCACTGAGGCAGAGAGAAAGCAGTTTATGAATGCCTTTAAGCAGCCTAGTCTTGATGGATTTAAAAGCAAAACCAGCAAGGGTCAGAGCAAGCAGAACCAGGTTCAAGAGAAGGATCCAGAGACAACAGACAAGGAACATGAAGAAAAATCTCTTGAGCACAAACCCGAAACCAGCTCTGAGCAGAACGAAGAACAGAAGAGCTGTCCTGGGGACAAAAAGAAGCGAGGTAGGAAGGCTGGGAAAAAGGGACAAGCTAAGAAAGCTGAAGATGCACAAGCTGCAACTCCAAAACCTGAAGAACCCGCCGCAGACATCGAGGTCAACAATGAGAGTAGGTCAGCTGATAATAACAGCAGTGAACAGGCTGTCAGAGAGCTGAGGAGGTCGACCAGAGAGCTTTCACACAGACAATCAGCCACTGTTCTCAATAGTGTGTCGCAGAAGAAAGAGAGGCAAGAGAACACTGTGAAAGATGACGATGAGTCCCAAAATGCACCCTTACCCTCTTTGGCCTCCACCCCAAAAGCTCACAGGCCCAAAAAGGGCATTTATAGAGCTGAAATGCTGTGCCCACCAGACAAGAAAGGCAGCCCCATCAGGTGAGACTAACTTTTTAATTTCCTACAATCTCCTTTTATTTTTTCTTGAATTATTTATTCTCTCATGTATTTGCCATTTTGTTTGATAGGATGAAAATCACCAGAGTATTTCCATCCTCTGCTACAAAAGCTGGTGATTTTGAAATATCAAGTCCTCTCTCCACACAGGTAACTAAAATTTATGATTTATGTATGTTACAAAAAAGAATGCTATATAATTTTTTTAATATTTATATTATTGTTGTTTATAAAAGTGTTTTATATAGTTGTTTTTAATTAAGAAAATCTATACAATAACATTAAAATAATAAATACAAAATAAATTATTTAATAATTATTGTCATTGCCAGATGTTTTAAGATTAAAGATAACTCACGAAAACTCTCATTTGTTAGGAATTAAATGCAGTTAAAAAAAGAAAACAAGCTAGAAAGCTGGTGCAGAAAGCCAAAGCTCTTCAGCAAAGTAAAAAGGACACTAATAAGGAGAAAGACACTGTTCGACGCTCTACAAGAGGCAAAGAGTCAATCATAAATTACTGTGAAGATGAGGTGAGATAGTGGATGCTACTTAAGTGAATTGGTGTAAATGTTTTATAAATGCTGCTGATAATTGCTCAAGTTGTTCTCTCATTTATATCAATATCATCTTTTTAGGACTCTGTAGTTTTTTTGGATGAAAGCGAAAGCACTCCAGTCACCTCACAGGAAAGTGACAAAAGCCAAAAGAAGATTCGTAGTTTGAACGAGGTTTTGGGTAAAAATACAACTCAAAACAAAACATCCAAAACTCCTGCAGGTAACTTGGACTGACACAAATAGTTAAAATTAACTTAATATCTGAAGGTTTTTTTGGGGGGCAAAGAAGGAAACTGCATTCAAGTCAATTCAAAAAATGCATTCGTATCTATTTCCGATTTCTTTTTCAGCTTCTAAACTGGCTCCTCTGTTTGTTGACAAAAAAGCTCAGAGAACGTCTGTTGTCATCTCCATTTTTGACGACAGCAGGTATTACGCTAATGAAAACAGACAGTATTTGAATTGGCAAATTCTCTTCAATGCTCTTATTTTCTCATTAGTTTAAAAATCTAATAAATGCTTTTTCCCAAACTAAACCCTGTCAGTCGAGAGGCATCCGAGACCTCGCAAGATGATGAACAGTTCAGAGCAAAGAGAGAGTTTCTGAAGAGCGGCCTTCCGGAGTCTTTTAAAAAGCAGATTGCAAAAACAGCAGCCAGCCGAGAGGCTTATAGTCAGGCCTGTGCTTCCTTCCAGACAGTGGTGCATGTTCAGCAGAGGGCTGCAGGTAAGCTGACATTGATGTGTGTGTCCTTGTTTTTCTATCCCGGTTGGTACTTCAACCTGAATGCACACTGACTCATGGGAATTTGTGTCACTGTGGGGACCTAAATTGAAGTCCCCATGAGGAAACACGCTTATAAATCATACAGAATGAGTATTTTTGAAGATATTAAAATGCAGAAAGTTTTGTGTGATGAGTATGTTTAGGGGTAGGGTTAGTGTAAGGGGATATAATAAACAGTTTGTACAGTATAAAACCATTACGTCTATGGAGTGTCCCCACAAAGTTGGCGAACCAGACGTGTGTGTTTGTGTGTGTATTTGAGAATAATGTAAGACGTATGTGTTCATTTCTTTCCATGTCAGATTGTTCTGTTTGGAACCTCCAGTGGCCTACAAATCCTTTCCTTGTATGCATAAAGGAGTCCTATAATTTACCAGCTGTTCAACTGATGTCTTTGGAGAAGTCTTTAGGTTATGCTACAGTTCCTGCTAAGAGAGCATTTTGCCAGAAGGTTGGTAATCTTTTGGTGACAATTTTAAGATTAAGGTTTTTCACTTTTTTTTTTATTCAAAAGGCAGAATATTTCTTATTTTTATTGAGCAAGGAGGCATTCAACTGATCAAAAGTGACAGTAAAGATATTTATAATGTTACAAAAGGAATCTATTTGAAATGAATGCCTTTTTTAAATAGTTTTTATTAATCAAAGCATCACAAATAAAACTAAAAAATATTAAGCAACTGTTTTCAACATTGATGATAGTAATAAATGTTCATATTAGAATGATTTCTGAAGGATCATGTGACACTGAAGACTGGAGTAATGATGCGGAAAATTCAGCTTTGACATCACAGGAATAAATTACATTTTAGAATAGAAAACAGGTTTATAACTAGATCAGAGATCGCAGATTCTACCCAACCTAAAAAGCCTCTGTACTGCATCCATCTAAAAATCTCTATGAAAGGGAACATATTAAAACACAGATAAATCAACTTATAGGTGTGTATATCTCCTCGCCTTCCATTATCAATTTAGCTTGTTCCTGTTGCGTGTCCTCAATCTGGAAACCCGCGTGAGCTTCGAGTCTGAGGAGAAGGTGGCGGTGAAACAACCCTCAAAAATATTTTGAATTTGAACTGCAGTACCCATTTCAAACCACTAGCGGTCAATCTTACATACTGCACCTTTAAATTGTAATGATATTTCACTATATCACTGTTCTTACTGTATATTTAATCAAATAAATGCAGCTTGGGTGAGCAAAGCAGACTTTTTTTATGCATCCTGCATTTATGTACAGCAACGAATTTAACTTGTTTTCTTTTTATTTATTGTTTAGGTTTCTTGTCGGAATTCAGAGTTTTCTGAGCCAATCAGACAGCATCTTTTAGAGGAGATGAGAATCTCCAATCCCTCCTTCCCTCATCAACGTTTCTTTATGCGGTTTGTTAAGAGACATGAAGACTGCATCCTCCAAGCCTCTGCCTCAGGTGACTAAAAAATACAATTAATCATTTTGTTTTTGTTTTTTCTGCCCACATGAAGATATAATGCATACATGTATTTATAATGAAACATGTAACCCAGAATTATTCACCGATTTTTTGCATATGTCTATTTATATGATTATTTGTAGAACCTGAAGGTGAGTCTAAGGTATCCCGCCCTGCTGGATCATCTGATGGCGTCGGAAGGAAACGGAAGCGTGTAGATGAAGGAGAGACAACAGGCAAAGTGGGTAAAAAACCAAAGGCCAGTCACTCAGAAGGGGATGTCGTAGTGATTGAAGAAAGTCCACCATCAGGAGGTCAGGCAGCACGGAATGTCTCGGACACAGTTCCATCTGTCAGAAGTCGAAGAGGTCGATCACAGAGGCAAAAGCAGAAAGAAGAACCCAAGCCAGCAGAGTTACTCTCAGTGGGGAATCAGAAGGACATTCACATTATAGTAGATTCCTCTGTCCCAGAGAATTCAAGCACAGAAGCAGGTGAAAATGAAATAAGTTTGTAGACAATCTTTTCACACTCTTGAGTAGTTATCTTCCTCTTAAAGGAACACTCCGACTTTTTGGGACTTCAGCCTATTCACCTTATCCCTCAGAGTTAGATAAGTCCATACATACCTTTTTCATCTCTGTGCGTGCTATAAGTCTGTTTGACGCACCCACCGCTAGCCTAGCTTAGCACAAAGACTGGATGTAAATGGTTGCAGCTAGCATACTAATCCAAATAAGTGACAAAATAACGCAAACATTTTCCTATTTACATGTTGTGATTTGTATACTCACAGAGTGTACAAAAAACAAAGTCACATGAGACAGACATATTTTAACCGTATAAATACTGGGAACTATATTCTCTGAAGGCGAAGCACTGCTACTTGGGCGGAGTGATAACCGCAGCACCTGAGACGCGCTCTCTGCTCCTCACCACGGCGCGTCTCAGGTGCTGCGGTTATCACTATAACAGACTTATAGCACGCACGGAGATGAAAAAGGTATGTATGGACTTATCTAACTCTGGGGGATAAGGTGAATAGGCTAAAGTCCCAAAAAGTCGGGAGTGTTCCTTTAAAATCTGTGTGAGAATTTTGGTAACATTTTACAATAATGTTCAAGTCATTAGCATTGGTTGTAATTTTACAGAATTAATTAATTGTTAATTTCTACATAGACATTTTTACATTTTATGTTGGATAAATCAGTTTATGTATTGTAAATGAATATGAATTAACAATGAGCAATAGGCTTTATGCCGAGCGTCACGTGACCAAGCCGGAAAACAGATCACATCGCTTCCGATTCAGGTCTTTTGTATGTGCTTCATGAAATTTTTTGCGGTTTTACTCAAGATAACTTAAAAGGAGCAAGCAAAAATGAGCATAACCAATGTCCCTCGCATGTGCAGATTGATATTTAAAAGTTTTTTAATTTTTCTTCTTCACACTAACGTTTAGATATTTAAATAGCATAAAACACCAATAACAAAGTGAACTTAGTAGGTTAGCTGATTACCTTAAAAATCCATAGATATCGTAGTTAGTTCTTACGGCCGTTAACACTTTCTCTGACAAGCGGATGCAATGAGACCCGTTTTCCGGTTTGGTCACGTGACGCTCGGCATAAAGCCTATAGTATAAAAGTTTGGGATCAGCACATTTTCTATTTTTATACATTGTAAAATGTAATTTATTCCTGTGATGTCAAAGCTGAATTTTCAGCATCATTACTGCAGTCTTAAGTGTCAATTCTAATATGATGATTTGATGGTCAAAACATTTCTTCTTATAATAAATGTTGAACACAGCTATGCTGCTTAATATTTTGAGGAACCCATGCTAAAAAAAATTCCAGGATGCTTTTAAGAATAGAAATCTAAAAAGAACCGCATTATTTGAAATGTAATTTTTTGGTAGCAATGTAAAAGTCTTTACTGTTAGGGTTGATCAGATTAGTGCGGCCTTGCTGAATACATTTATTTTTTAAAACCTGACCTCAAACTTTTGAACGGTAGTGTATTTATAAACTAACATTTATCTAGAATAATACATGCTGTACAACATGGTTGGTAATTGTTAGTGCATGATACCTAATGAACTGAACCTAAAGTATTACCAAATATTTATATATGTTTCTTAAACTTGTTTGCACTATGTTTAAATTAAAATGTTCATTTCTAGATGGAGTGAAAGAGGATGTGCTTTGGACAGAGAAATATCAGCCTCAGCACTCCAGTGAAATAATCGGGAATATGGAGTCTGTCCGGAGACTACACAGGTTGTTATCCTGCCAAGTTTAATCAAAGATTGTGAAAGTTCCCATTCTCTAATCAACGTGTCAGTAATGAATATTTCTTTTTTTATATACATTTCTTCCCATTTCATTTTGATCGTTACTGTTAGCTGGCTGAAAGAGTGGAAATTGAGAGCTGACCGGGAAGAGAAGAGGAAACAGCAGGAAAAAAAGCAAGAGGAGGACAGTAATGGTATGAAAATATCCTAAATTTACTTGCTGTTTTGCTTGCCATTTTCAGCTGTACCAATATTCATATTCGTGTCATTGTCTCAACTTTATTTCTATGCAGACTCCTGGCTCATAGGTGAAGGCCTGGATGAGACAGAAGATCATCTGTGTAACACACTTCTTATCACAGGACCCACTGGAGTGGGCAAGACTGCTGCAGTCTATGCCTGTGCGCAAGAACTGGGATTCAAGGTCTGGTTCATTTTTCATTTCACTTTCCTTTTTTGAACTTCACTATAGACAAGTCTCAAAATAGTAAAGTTTTTCTACCCACCCTGTTGTTTTTTTCCTTCAAGGTATTTGAGGTAAACTCCTCCTCTCAAAGGAGTGGTCGTCAGATCTTATCCCAGCTGAAGGAAGCCACTCAGTCCCACCAAGTAGACATCCAAGGTGTCAACTCTCACAAACCGTCCTACTTCAGCAATTATAGCAGCAACAGCACCACCATCAAACCTGGCTCCTCTCCCAGTATGAATTTTCTCTTCTTTGATGATTGGACTACAATATATAGTGTGCATGACTATTCGTATGAGTTCTCAGTGTCTCTTCTAATCACAGGAAAGCTGAACTCCCCCAGAAGGGTTGTATCATCGCCCAGGAAGCCTCCTCAGTCTCCTCGAAGTGCTCCATCCAGAAAAGGGGGTTTGGCTCCGACATCTCTGGCCAATTTCTTCAAAGCAGGTGGAAGACTCACTGGCAAAGAAGCAAACAGTCAAGACAAGAACACACAACCTGGTAATAATTCAAAAGCCAGTGATCTAAGTCAAGTGTTACCAAACACAAATATTGAATTGATATTGACATTTATTGTGAGCTATGTTAAGGAAATTGTTTTCAAGCTTCATGTTTGAGACCTTTCTAATGGCATTTCATGTTTTATTATAAGCATGTCCAAAAAAGTCAGCCAAAGCAAAAGAGATTGACGGCAAAAGCAAAGAGTGTCCCAGTGGAACTCCAGCCGGCACCAAGATCTCAGCTGAAGACCAGGGCAAGAAAACTGCCACATCCCTCATCTTATTTGAGGAGGTGGACATCATTTTTGATGATGACACTGGATTCCTGGCTGCAATAAAAACCTTCATGACCACAACCAAGAGACCAGTTATTTTAACAACTAGTGGTGAGTAAAGTTGGCAGTGTACAGAAATGTACTATGCAAGATTTGTGAATTAGTCATCATTGGCCCTTTTTGTCCAGATTTGACCTTTAGTGCTACATTTGATGGGTATTTTGAGGAAATCCATTTCAAATCTCCTTCAGTGGTAAGTGCAGTTAATTTATTTTTTCTACTTTCCTAATTACTTTCTCCTATATTCTCTTATGTTGTGTTTGGTTTGTGATTGTCAACGCATTGACTTTTTCCACTCCACAGATAAAGCGTTGTTGAAATCCGGTTCGCGTACCTCGAAGTGATAAAATAAAATTCTCTATCAAATTTATAGGCAAGACAAGTAGTTTGTTTAGGCATGGTTTGTTGGGAAATTACAAACCTGCGCACACATATTCAAACAAATTTAACTATAGAATCAATTTTGAATGCGCATGTGAACGCCATCAGGTCACAGGTTCGCGTTTAAAGTCTGTTTAGAGAGAACGCCGTCATCTTAGTGGCCCCTAATGTAATAACAAATGGTTATTTTGCGGGAAGTGAATCAATCAAAACCAACTTTAGCTGGAAATAACATTATTCAAAAATCGCTATAAAGCCAAAACAATCTCTGTTACCGTAAATTGTATGTTTATCTCTGTAAAGCTGCTTTGAAACAATCTCCATTGTTAAAAGCGCTATATAAATGAAGATGACTTGACTTGACTTTTTCCAGGCGGATGTGTCAAGTTACCTCCAGCTGCTATGTCTAGTAGAAAACATGAGAACGGACACTAAGGATGTGTCCTGTCTGCTAGATTGGAACAGCTGTGATATTCGGCAAAGCCTCCTGCACCTACAATTCTGGGCATGCAGTGGTGGTGGACAGCAGATGCAGAGACCTTTGCCTTCATCAGGTAAATATATATTTAATTGATTTAAAAAAAGGTGCACTAAGAACTTTTGGATGTATATCATAATTTCTGTATATAGTTATCAAAAATATCTTGTTTCACGCTGTAGATCTCAAATGTAACGTCACGGGTGATATTCACCATCAGTCTATCAAAGCTCAGGATCTAAATGAGGCTAAATTACCACCTTGCCACACTGCATGCACAGAGACTTTGCTGGGAATCTGCAATATGCAAACAAAAAATATTGCAGATTTTCTGCTAAAGGTGAGTATTGAATTTGATATTTTCAAATTAAGAATGCAATGATATTAAAATTGTGTCCAATACTGTTAAGCCGATAATTATTTTACAGTATTAGCAATAACTGAAAATGGCATATGTGTGTGTGTATATATACAGTGAGGAAAATAAGTATTTGAACACCCTGCTATTTTGCAAGTTCTCCCACTTAGAAATCATGGAGGGGTCTGAAATTGTCATCGTAGGTGCATGTCCACTGTTAGAGACATAATCTAAAAAAAAATATCCAGAAATATATGATTTTTTTAACTATTTATTTGTATGATACAGCTGCAAATAAGTATTTGAACACCTGAGAAAATCAATGTTAATATTTGGTACAGTAGCCTTTGTTTGCAATTACAGAGGTCAAACGTTTCCTGTAGTTTTTCCACCAGGTTTGCACACACTGCAGGAGGGATTTTGGCCCACTCCTCCACACAGATCTTCTCTAGATCTGTCAGGTTTCTGGGCTGTCGCTGAGAAACAGTTTGAGCTCCCTCCAAAGATTCTCTATTGGGTTTAGGTCTGGAGACTGGCTAGGCCACGCCAGAACCTTGATATGCTTCTTACAGAGCCACTCCTTGGTTATCCTGGCTGTGTGCTTCGGGTCATTGTCATGTTGGAAGACCCAGCCTCGACCAGAGATGGGGACTCGAGTTTGAGACTCGGACTCGAGTGCGACTTAAGTCGCACACACAGTGACTTCAGACTCGACTTGAGACTCGTCCTCGAAAGACTTCAGACTCGACTCGGACTCGAGCTGCGGGACTCGTGAACAATGTTTATTTTTAGGAAACGTCTGATGAGCTCTCTGTTATTCCCCTCCCTCCGACCCGTTACCTAAAACCTGCCTACATAACACGTACTACGTGCGCGTGGCCACACATGAGAGGACAACAAACAAACATGTCGATTGCACCGGCCGCTGCTGTGCCATTCATCGTAAGCTTTGGGTTTAAAAACTTCAAACAAGACGGGCCAAATAAAAGAAGCGCTCAATGCAAAATATGCGGTATCTGCGCGCGTGCACCTCATGGTGTTCCATGAGGGAGAGAGAGCGCGAGAGGTATGGGTGAACGAGAGAGAGAGAGAGACGTGCGAGAGGTAGTGCGGCGCGAATGCGCTATGGCGCTCTGCATTGCAATCAAATACGATTTTAAATAGGCTTAGTAAAAATAAAATAAAAAATCGAAAATCAATGTGTGGCGGTCAGCCAGTGTTGATATTGTGGCGGGCCGCCACAAATATATGAACGTATGAGGAACCATGTATTTCACATCATTTGGTTCCAATAGTGTTTTGCATTTAGCTACACTGTGATGTTTTGCACTGTCAATTTTAGTGCTGTGAGGTAGGCTATAACATTTTCTATATTTGGTCTTATGGCTCCAGCTCCACAGAGCCAGCACAAGGAGCCAAGGCCTTTAATTATAATTCAGCAACAGACATGAGAGTCCTTTTTCTTCAGAACCTCAATTTTTACAGATGCAGATATTAACTTAAAAGTAAAGCATTCTTGGTGTTTTTGTCATGTTGAAATAGCCTGTTTACACTGATTATATACCTAAATCAAAGCTGATACTGTTTGCTAATAGATAAAGGAGTCATAATAACATACATGCTTTGAATTCCTTATATATAGCTATGAAGTGTTCTAAGCAGCCTGGATGGGTCGCTGTACGTGATGCAACACTTATTATAACCACAAGAGACTTGACTTGGACTCTAGTTCAGAGACTTGAGACTTGACTTGGACTCTAGCTCAAAGACTTGAGACTTGACTTGGACTCTAGTTCAGAGACTCGTGAGCATCTCTGGCCTCGACCCATCTTCAATGCTCTAACTGAGGGAAGGAGGTTGTTCCCCAAAATCTCGCAATACATGGCCCCGGTCATCCTCTCCTTAATACAGTGCAATCGCCCTGTCCCATGTGCAGAAAAACACCCCCAAAGCATGATGCTACCACCCCCATGCTTCACAGTAGGGATGGTGTTCTTGGGATGGTACTCATCATTCTTTTTCCTCCAAACACGGCGAGTGGAATTATGACCAAAAAGTTCTATTTTGGTCTCATCAGACCACATGACTTTCTCCCATGACTCCTCTGGATCATCCAAATGGTCATTGGCAAACTTAAGACGGGACTTGACGTGCTGGTAAACAGGGGAATCTTCCGTGCCATGCATGATTTCAAACCATAACGTCTTAGTGTATTACCAACAGTAACCTTGGAAACAGTGGTCCCAGCTCTTTTCAGGTCATTGACCAGCTCCTCCCGTGTAGTTCTGGGCTGATCCCTCACCTTTCTTAGGATCATTGAGACCCCACAAGGTGAGATCTTGCATGGAGCCCCAGTCCGAGGGAGATTGACAGTCATGTTTAGCTTCTTCCATTTTCTAATGATTGCTCCAACAGTGGACCTTTTTTCACCAAGCTGCTTGGCAATTTCCCCGTAGCCCTTTCCAGCCTTGTGGAGGTGTACAATTTTGTCTCTAGTGTCTTTGGACAGCTCTTTGGTCTTGGCCATGTTAGTAGTTGGATTCTTACTGATTGTATGGGGTGGACAGGTGTCTTTATGCAGCTAACGACCTCAAACAGGTGCATCTAATTTAGGATAATAAATGGAGTGGAGGTGGACATTTTAAAGGCAGACTAACAGGTCTTTGAGGGTCAGAATTCTAGCTGATAGACAGGTGTTCAAATACTTATTTGCAGCTGTATCATACAAATAAATAGTTAAAAAATCATATATTGTGATTTCTGGATATTTTTTTTTAGATTATGTCTCTCAAAATAGCAGGGTGTTCAAATACTTATTTTCATCACTGTATATATATATAAATATGTGTCTAAAGCCAGCAGCCATATCACCCTGTAGCCCAAGACTGGTTGCCCACTGAAGCTAAGCAGCGTTGAGGCTGGTTAGTACCTGGATGGGAGAGCTCTTAAGAAAACCAGGTTGCTGCTGGAAGAGGTGTTAGTGAGGCCAACAGGGGGCGCTCACCCTGTGGTCTGTGTGAGTCCTAACGCCCCAGTATAGTGATGGGGACACTATACTGTCAAAGTCCACCGTCCTTCGATGAGATGTTAAACCGAGGTCCTGACTCTCTGTGGTCATTAAAAATCCCAGTAGTAGGGGTGTAACCCTGGCATCCTGGCCAAATTTGCCCCTTGGCCTCTGTCCATCATGGCCTCCTAATCATCCCCATGTATATATACTGATTGGCTTCATCACTCTCTCTCCTCTCCACCAATAAGCTGGTGTGTGGTGGGCGTTCTGGCGCAATATGGCTGCCGTCGCATCATCCAGGTGGATGCTGCACATTGGTGGTGGTTGAAGAGATTCCCCCTTCCATGTAAAGCGCTTTGAGTAAAAAGCGCTATATAAATGTAACGAATTATTATTAATTATAAATCCAAAAATATTTTATAAAAAATTTCCCTATTTGTCCCATATTGTTGTTAAATTATTTTTAAAATGTTATTTTTTTTTATTAGCATGCACTATTAACTATCCAATATCAATACAGATAATAAAAAATAATAAAAAACATTTATTGGCCAATAACAGATATAGTACCAATATATTGTGTATCATTGGTATTTATTTATTAATACACTAAAAATATAATTGTTTAAACATGTTAATTTCCAGAATTTGTTCCTGATCAATCTGATTTTATTTTACAGCACGAGTCTTCAACACTAGAGAGCATTAAGTGCTGGGATATTCTCTCAAAGGTCCACAGAATGGGAGTGGAACTTCTCTACTCCAATATGGAGAGTCTGCTTCCCCTGCCAACTCGCCCTTTACTGCAGTCCACCCTCAAATCACAATCAGCACCAAACCCACAGTCCCAACCCGAGCAAGTACCTCAAAATATGAGGTTAGAAGCTTTGGAAGAGCCCTCTGAAGAAGGTAGTCCCCTTAAATTGTCCTCCAGAATGAGAGGGCGCAAGAAGATGGGCAATAAAGACGTTTTCCAGTCTGATTCAGAGTCGGAGGAAGACTTCCTCTCACTGCCAAAAACCAGCAGAGATCCTGCTAAAAGCACTAATGCGGAAGCAGCCAATCTGTCCGTGAATGTGCCTGAAGTTGCGCCGAAAAAACCGAGGCACATTGTGTTATCTGAAGCCGAAAGAAAGAAGAGCAAGCCAGTGACGCATTGTTTAAGCAGTTTAGCAGAGTATATGGACCACATGTCCTTCCTGGACTCCTCATTGCACTTCCAGCCTTTGCAGGCAGAGGGTTCCTGCAGACCACAGGACTTTGGCTGGACCGGTGCGAAGGTCAAGAGTGGGATGACCGATGACATTCGGTCAGAGTGTGTCAGCCGGGTAAATAGTGTTAGTGTTGATGAAATCCATGCTGCATTGGGGCATTTGAGCTTTAGGAAGTGCAAGGCTGTAGTCTCTGAGGCCTGGGACAGAGCTCAGCAACTGGAGGACGAGATCAGAAGAGAGGCAGAGGAGGAGCTCACCCTCCCTGTGGCTTCACACAGAGATGGCTTCAGCCTGGCTCAAGTCACACCTTGTGAACCATGGTGAGAATTCAGCCTCTCTGTGTGTTTTTTTTTTTTTTTTTGCTTTTATTTATACTACATTTAATCCAAGGGTAGGTCATGTATCTAAAAAAAAATCTCAATAATACATTAACAAGAAGCAATATTAACCTACATGTTTTTATATATATATATATATATATATATATATATAGAGAGAGAGAGAGAGAGAGAGAGAGAGAGAGAGAGAGAGAGAGAGAGAGAGAGAGAGAGAGAGAGAGAGAGAGAGAGAGAGAGAGAATATATATTCTATTCTCTCTCTCTCTCTCTCTCTCTCTCTCTCTCTCTCTCTCTCTCTCTCTCTCTCTCTCTCTCTCTCTCTCTCTCTCTCTCTCTCTATATATATATATATATATATATATATATATATATTTAACAAAATGCCATGCAGAAAATTTCCTGAAAGTTCACTTAAAAATGAAACTTCTGTCATCATTTACTCACCCTCAAGTTGATTCAAACCTGTATGAATTTCTTTCTTCTGCTGAACACAAGGGGAAGATATTTTGAAGAATGTCGGTAACCAGACAGTTGATGTACCCCATTGACTTGATGATAGAATTTTAATTTTTAAGTGAACTATTCCTTTAAGTTTAAAATCATACGTTATATATAAAAATGTCTTATATACCCTTTACAATAAGGTCTCATTTGTTAACATTAGTTAATGTATTCATTCACATGAACTGACTATGAGCAATACATTTGTTACTGTATTTATTAATCTTTAATAATGTTAGTTAATAAAAATCCAGCTGTTCATGTTAGTTCAATGCATGAACTTATGTTACAACATTAACATAAATACAACATTTGATTTTAATAATGTGACTCCAATAATTTGATTTTGAAATGAACATTAACTAAGATTAATAATAACTGTAGATGTATTGTTAATTATTAGTTCATGTTAACTAATGTAGATAACTAATGAAACCTTATTCCAAAGTGTTACCAAAATATTATATCAAAATGCCAATGCTGAAACTTTCCTGAAAGTTTTTTTCCACTAAATGTTATTAAAATATGTATTTATGTTCTTAAACCTGCAAGTTGTGTGACAAGGAAACTAGTTGAAACTAGTCTTTGGAAAACCAAAGAAATCTTCAAAATCATTGTAAACTTAACACAAATATTCTATATACCCATCCCTTGTCTCAATGTTTTACATTTCCACTGACCTCTCTGCCCTGTGAGGCGGTTTATACACAACGTGCTGTAAGATTGTGTTAATTTTGTTTTGTACAGGCTGATGGAGAGGAGAAGTGAGGTGATGAAGTCGCTGCTCTCCACCATGTCAGCTGGTACGCTGGGAAACCGGGCAGCAGTGGCTCTGGACTACCTCCCCTCTCTGCGTACCATCTGTAGGTCAGAGAGACTGAAGGAGCAGGGAAAGATCAAACGCAGGTGAGAGTTATTAGATACATTTATAGACTATCTGCAGTGAACACATGTCATTAGTGGTTACAAAATTACACAAAGAACTGTCTTTTTCTAATTATAGTGGGGTTTTTTGTGTGCATATTACTGATTTATTAATATCAATCATATGAAGAGTTTGGTTCCAAAATGCAATAAATCCATTTAGATTAATTTGAGTAAAAATGTGTTTTCTTTACCAAGAAAGTGGAAAGATGAAAACCACTATTTTCTGTTTCAAACTTTCACATAGCATTTGTAGGTCATAATAACAAAAAAAATTAAAATCCAGGTTTTGATTTTCAAAGATTTATTATAAAAACGGATTATTTTTTTCCCCAAAATGCAATAAATCCATTTAAAAAAAAAAATCAAAATGCTATTAATCCATTGAATCAATATAAAAGTTTTTTTTTTCATATTGAAACTGTTGAAAATACACAACAACGTAAGTTTATTAGTATAATATTTTTATTAAGAACTGTAAAGAAGATTGAAAACATCTCATCTTCTTAATCTCCTCACGTAAATGATTCGATTTCGATGCCTTACGTTTCTTACCCACTGCAGAAACAACCACAGGTTCATCAATGCCGTCAAAATTATTCATTTTTTTGTTTGTTTGTTGATCGAAAAGTACAAAATAGATAAGAAAAACTAGGAAGCCGGGTGTATTTAAGGCGCTGCCGTTACTGTTTACATTGCGTGGAATGGTCCGTTGTGATTGGTTGAGAGCGGATATATCGCATTCTGCAGAGAAGGGAGACTGGCGTTTGTCGCGGTTTGGAAAGAAAGGGAGAAAACATGACAGAATAACACGGTGGATATCGCATTTTACTTAAAATTAAACATTGACTTTTCAATACCAACCAGATACAATACTGATTTTTGCAGTAACAAATTTTTTTTTTAAATGCCGTTTATCGCGTTTTGGAACCAAACTCTTCATATTATACTGTTAATTATAGCATGCATCATGCGCTTCCACTAGGTGGGGCATCAGTGAGAAGTCTGGTGTATGTTCCTGTATTTTACTGTATTTGAAATGGGCATTAAGACTGTATTATTTTAGTGTTTCCATGACTAAAAAGTCATGGTAATTGATTATTTAAGAGGTATGGAAACCCTGTGACAGGTTAAGAGAGAAATATTTTGGTTTAAAATAGTCTGCTGTACACTATTGTCTTGACCACCCTGAAAGCCTGAAATGTCTCAAATGCATGACACAACCTTGTTTATGAACAAGAGACCCTGTTCTTTGGTACGCTCCCATTGTGAGATAATTTCCAGTTATTCAGATACCACACTGAGTTGAAGTGACAATGTATATACCCTTTACACAGTGGGGTAAAGGGTAAGTCTCATGAAGGTGAGCTGTCTCATGAAGGTCAAACACTATATTTGATAACTAACCAAAGTTTTACAGTCTGAACTCGCATCTCATAAATATGTTTAGTACCTGATGCATTTGTTTTTTGCTTAACTGACAGACGTGTCAAAATTCAACTTGGTCATAGTGCACAGGTCTAAAAACAAAAACAAAATGCAGTGGAGGGACAGGATGTGGCTTTTGCAAAGCTTAAATATGGCATGAGGTCACAATTTAACAGTTTTGTTTCTTGTTTATGTCTTTGAGTCGTTTACGGTTTGTCGACTTGTTTTAAATTATCACATTCACTTGTCTTGTAGTGGCAAAACTACTCTAAAGATCCAAATGTAACAAAATGATCATAGTGTTGTTTTCCCCTACTTTTACAGGTTCTTGCACTATTTGGATGGTATACACTTCACTCTTCCTAAAAGCACAGTGGAGTTCCTGGCTTCCGAGTTCCCTTAAATTGCACCCATCTTTAGGCAGCCGCTTAAGGGCTGCTGGTGAATATGCATTTGTACAGTAATATATACTCAGAAGGAGTGTGGTTTTATGTTGTTGTAGACCTCACATATTTGTACTGATTTTTTAAATTTGCTGATCCTTTATGTTTTGTACTTTTTGTCATGCATCTTCCAAAAAGTTTTATCAAGTAATAAATGTGGATTTGCTATTTGCCAGCAAACATGTTTTTGTTTTTTTCAAAATATGTATGTAAATTGCAAGAGCTCTGTAAACAGAATTTGTGTACAGGTTGTGCATGATCCCCACCACCACCAACCATATTTCATATTTTATCATGAGACGATAGACCTTACATTGTTTTTCGTGAAACTTTGAGTCATGAAGCACACTTTTCACTTCCACATCTCCTAAATGGGACGGTTTTAGTCCACTTGAATCCAGGAAGATAACTGTTAAACCTGAAAATGCAACATTTTTGTTTTATATGCAGTCTCAGTGTGTGATTGGAGTAAATGTACTAGCTAGGCAAGAATATTATAGCTGTTGGCACCTATGATTTAACATATCAGTTAACTCAATCTTGATATTCTCATGTTTTGTTTGGTACAAATATAATATTTTATTATATGTAATATTTTAACCATATTAAGCACGAAAAACTCTCTACCCACAGTGAGACACTGTTTACAACTTGTTTTCATTATTGCCTAATTATCCTCTCATATTTATTATAGAGTAATGAGAGTTAATGGATTATTAAATAGAGCACATATCTTAGTTGTAGCTCCGAGTTTGTTGTTTTCTCCAGGAAGTGAACTCGAAGGGGGGGGGGTTTAGTGAATGCTTACGGAAGACCTCGAGTCCAGCTGCTGAGACCGCAGCGTTTTGCCGCGTTGAAGCGCATATGAGTTTCGAATCTGACGCGACCGGTGCGCAACAGTTTAATTTAGGTGACTGAAATATACCGCGAAACCGCACCCTCCGGGATATCCAACGCTTAAAGAAACAGATAAGAGAGTTGAAAGTACAACCTGTATGTGTTTAAAAGCATTTCGCCTATGGCAAATCGGGAAAAGAACAAGAAGACACTTCTAGAGTTGGTGAAGGTGCCAGAGAATCGCTGCTGTGCTGACTGTGGAGCTGCAGGTGAGTACAGGAACAGATATTGTCAACACTGCATTAACTCACAGCCAGTTGTTATTTGTGTACTTTTACCGGGAATGCAAGTAATTAATAGAAAGTTCTCTACACAATATTTTGACACACTGTTCCTAGTTTAAAGTTATAGTTCTGTAGGTATTCATAGTAAAATTATGGTATAGCCATGAGTAAACAGCTTGTTGTCATGGTTTGATCAGTGTAACTATGGCTTCTATAAACAAGCTGCCATTTTTTTTCGAAACCAGTAGCACACTCCTTTCATAGTTGTATTTATATGAAATATAATTTTTTTTTTTTTTTTACAGATTTGTTGCCAGGTGTTTCCACACACATTTAACCCAAGAATTGCCATGCCTTTTTGTGACTTTTCCATAATATTTAGTCATTCGTGATTACGTAATTAAGAAAAGATATTTAATATAAAAATATTTATTTTTCACTGCCTTTCCTGGAAATCACAATTTTAAAATTACTATGGCTTTCCATGAATGTGGGAACTTTATTTATCAATTGTTTGACTCACTAACTTACTCTCTGTTATCACTTGAAGATCCAGACTGGGCTTCATGTACTCTGGGAATATTTGTGTGTCTAAACTGTTCTGGAACTCATCGCAATCTTCCTGCAATAAGTCGTATCAAGTCCATACGCTTAGACTTCTGGGATGATGAGCTTGTGCAGGTATAAAGGAGCTTGTGAACTAAATGTTTTTTTATGATAAGAGATTGATAATTTCTTGTCACTTTTTGCATAGTCACTGTTTTACATTTCAGCATCTAGTGGTTCCATTAAGTCTTGAATGTGAACCCTACACCATTTTGTTTCCTTTCAATGCATTTTCGGATGAGAAGTTCATGAAGGCCAATGGAAACCTTCCTGCCAAAAACTTCTATGAGAAATTTGTCCCTGTCTTTTATTATCAGCCCCACACAGATGATTGCGAGTGAGTAGTCCTGGCTCTTCTACTGACTGAAAAGTCAAACTAAACACATTCATTTACTGCTGAAACACTAAATTTATATCACAATGAAACAGATCTCTGATTTGGGAAGTAAAAAAAAAAAAAAAAAGGGCTGATCAAGCGAACATCTTACTGGCAAGAAAAAACGCTGTGTACTACTGGGTATCACAGTAACAGGAACTACTATTTCCACTAAAAGTGTATTGAAGTCCATTCCTTTGATTCTGTCAGTTGTGTTCTCGATTCTTAATGCTTCATTGCGCATGTATTAGTTGAATATATGTTCATATTCAACTGAAATAGTTCAATCTAATTTACTATAAAATAATATTGTAAGTGTTCTATAAACTGTAATATATATATATATATAGCCTATATATAAAATGACATTTATACATTAATTGACTACATCATGTAGCTCAACAAAATGCATTATATGTGCACTGTATAGGGTCCTTAGAGAACAATGGATTCGAGCCAAATACGAAAGAATGGAGTTTACAGTGAAAAATACAGAAAGACCCTTCACAACAGGTAATCCATTTCAGCACCCAGAAGTTTTCTTTTAAACTCTGTGCTTTAAATCATTATAGTGTAAAAAGGTGTATTATTGAAGAAAATCAGCTCAGATTGACTGAGCAGCAGGTGAATCATTCCAAATGGCCCACACTTGAATAATAAAAATGACAGATGAATAACTGATATTATACTTAATGCATTCAGCTTGTATCTTAGTCTGTTTACTTAAGTCTGTTTTATCTGCTAATATTAACATTAATCTTTCAACAAAATTGTTTTGCCTGGCTCTAGGTGTCTATGAGGGCATGCTGTGGAAGAAAGGAAAGGATAATGGACAGTTTCTCGAGAGGAAGTTTGTTCTTTCAGTGCACGATTTTACCCTCAAATACTACAAGGAGGATGTAAGAAAAAAAACTTTTCATTGAGCAATGAAGTTTGTGCACCATTTAGAAATTATATTTTTTTTAGTGAATGCATTTGTCGTAAAACACAGCACAGATTGAGAATAACTACAGTATATGACTTTTAAGACAATCAAAGCTATGCATACATCATCCAATATCCTTTTAACACAATACTAGCTCTGTTTTAAAATATTTGCCTTTGATTGAAAAATGTATAGAATCAAATGAATATTAGGTGCACAATTCATGAAATAGTATCTGTGCTTGTCAGGAATCTAAGGGGCCAAAGGCTACTATTTCTGTGAAGGACCTGAATGCAACCTTCCAGCCTGAGAAGATAGGACATGCTCACGGCCTCCAGATCACCTACTGTGTGGATGATCACACCCGAAACCTTTTTGTTTACAATAAAAATGGTCAGGTAAATCTATTTTTCCAGCCTTTTTTCCTGCTTTGTTCCAAAAAATTGTGCAGCTGTAGTGCACCTCATATTTAGTGAGTTTGAATTTAACTTAATGAGTTTCAAAGGCAGCTTGTTCACTAAAGAGTATCTGCTCTGTAATTTCTCTATTTTAGGAGATTGTCAATTGGTTTAATGCCATTAGAGCTATTCGCTACGTCTACCTGAAAACAGCCTTTCCTACAGCTAGTGATAGAGATGTAAGTACTTTTTGTATACTTGCTTTTGACTTACTAAAGTACCACATGTCTACTTAGTGCTTTTAATTTGCTTTACAAAGTTTTTGAATTTCTCAAAAACGTGTTGAGCCTTCTCGTGTTGTAGCTAACATTGCCACATAAAAAGGAAGTTCTGTAAGTTTCCCCTTTTCCGAGTGAGTTTACTTCCTAAAACCATCAACAGGCCTGCCTTCTCTCCAATTTCACAACATGAATGATCATCAGATAAACGCCCTACACCACAACAATGGTAACAGGACACGTAAATGCGTTTTTTTTTTTTTTTTTTTTGTGAGTTGCTGCATCTCTAAACAAGAAACACATTTATTTTATTTGGTTAACAAACAGAATGCTATATTTGTAGTATATTTTAATAGTTTTCTAGTTTAGTCGAGGAACAAATTGTTCTGTGATTGGTGCATCATCACAGAAAATCACTGTAGATGTAAACATCCATGATATTTGTGTACTACATGTTCAACTCTGTAGTTTCCATTTGTGACTTATTGGTGAATAAGGCGCAGAGGCAGTGGCGAAATAGAGTTCCGCAGGGGAGTGGGGAGCTGGGCCCCCCTCGGGAAAACTTTTGCTTTCACTATTAAAGGGGCAGGGGCTCAAGAACCCCAATCCCAACGAGCTGGTTGAGGAATGTAGGAGACATGGTTGGAAGGCCATTGAGGTTGGCTGCAGGCAGGGGCTTTGCAGGGCAGTCATTACATCAGGCATTCAGTCTCTGGCATTTAAGGGTAGCAGGAAAGGACAGCCACCAAGAACATAAATGAAACTGCAGAAAAAGCATTGAGGTGACTGGATTAAGAAGGGTGAGCAATGGTGTAGCACACCCCTTGGACACACAAGCCAGGGACTGATCACCCCCAGCTGGGTCGCCCGGGTAAGGGTGTCTGATGATCTAAGACCCAAAACACCTCATGACCCCCGGGTTCATCGCCGATAATGTGTCCATATTTTTTTGTCTTAAGCTAATACCATGGACAACCAGAAACTACCTGAAAGAGGGTTACATGGAGAAGACTGGCCCTCTGGTAAGTTTTTTTTTCTTTTTTTGTCCACAAATGGTTCTCTCTATTTTCATCATATGTATATTTAAATATCTAGATTTTTCGGTGTAGCAAGGTTTTTGTAGTTGTCTTTAAATTGCACAAACATTTAAAGGGATAGTTCACCCAAAAATGAAAATTCTGTCATTATTTACTCACCCTCATGTTGTTCCAAACCCGTAAGACCTTCGTTCATCTTCGGAACATAAATGAAGATATTTTTAATAAAATCCGAGAGCTTTCTGATCCCTTAATATACAGCAAAGTCATTGCAACTTTCAAGGCCCAGAAAGGTAGTAAACATACTGTTAAAATAGTCCATGTGACTAAAGTGGTTCAAATGTAATGTTATGAAGTGACGAGAATACTTTTTGTGCGCAAAAAACTATTCAACAATTTATTTTCTTCTCTGTGTCAGCTCTCCTACGCTATTCGCATA